AATCCACCCCAAGCTCCAGGGATCCCTAAAGCCACAGGCGGGGATCCATAAATCTACAGCCAGGGATCCCTAAAGCCACAGCCAGGGGTCCATAAATCCACCCCAAGCTCCAGAGTTCCCTAAATTCACAGCCAGGGCTCCCTAAATCCATCCCCAGCCCCGGCAGCCGGACCTGGGTGGGCCGGGCAGGGGAAGGGGCATCCAGCCGGAGGAGTTGGGTGCCCCAGGCCGGAGCCCGGCGGTGCCAGGGCTGGAAGGAGCCCGGCGGGGCCGGGGCCGGTGCCAGGGCCGGTGCCAGCCCCGGCCGCGGGCACAGAACGTTCCCGGGGGACACAAAGGAGCGGCTGGCACAGAACATCCCTGGGAGCTGGCAGTGCCAGCGGGAGGGACGAGCCAGCTCAGCCCAGCTCCCGAGGCTGCCGGCCCTTCCCAGGGCTGTGGGGTGCCCCTGTGCCCCCTGTGCCCCCTGTGCCCCCCTGTGCCCCCTGTGCCCCCCTGGCACCGCTCCCGGCCCGGCCAGCCCCGGGATGCGGCTCCCGAAGGATCCCAAAGCCGCAGAGCCCGCCCGGCCTGGCCGGGCACTGCCGGGGACACGGGGCAGCCGCAGCTTTTTTGGGAATTCCGCCCCGCGTGGAGCAGCTCCCCCCCAGTATCCCCCACCAGCGCTGCCCTGGCTGCCTCCAAAAGGAAAAACCAGGAAAAATTCCCGAGCTGTGGGGCCGGCAGTGACCGTCACCCACCCAGCTCCGTGCCTCAGTTTCCCCGCACCGTGCCAAGCTCCAGCAGCGGGAAAAGGCGAATTTCCCACCCAAATATCGAGCAGAAATTCCTTTATCCCCTCGGTTCCGCCTGGCTTGGGGGAGAGGAGCAGCAGGAGGCGGCGAGGAGGCCCCGGCCCCGGGGAATAAAGGGGCCTTTGTTGTGTCCTTTTCCCTCCTCATTCCCAGGCTGGAAAAGCTGAGGGCAGGAAAAGCAGAGCCAGCCCCGGCTCGGCGGCCTCAGCCCCACCCGGGCGGGGGGAACGGCTGAGAGGGTCCCCCTGGCCAGAGCTGGGGATGGGGAAGGGGGGGAGCACTGGGAATTATGTCAGAGAACTGGGAATCCTGTCAGAGAACTGGGAATTCTGTCAGAGCACTGGGAATCCTGTCAGAGCCCTGGGAATCCTGTCAGGGCACTGGGAATCCTGTGGGGAGCACTGGAATTCTGTCAGAGAACTGGGAATTCTGTCAGAGAACTGGGAATCCTGTCAGAGAACTGGGAATCCTGTCAGAGAACTGGGAATCCTGTCAGAGAACTGGGAATTCTGTCAGAGCACTGGGAATCCTGTCAGAGCACTGGGAATCCTGTCAGAGCACTGGGAATTCTGTCAGAGAACTGGGAATTCTGTCAGAGAACTGGGAATCCTGTGAGGAGATCAGGAATTCTGTCAGGAGCACTGGGAATTCTGTGAGGATCCCGGGAATCCTTTGAGGTTTAGGTTTAGGGTTAGGATTAGGATTACACTTTGGGTTAGAGTTTAGGTCAGGGTTAGGGTTGGGTTTATTTTCCTGGGCAGGGGAGAAGTTCTGGGCACGAACAATTCCTTTTTCTCCCCTCGGACCATCCTGACCCAGCCCTGCCCCCCAGGGGTGGTGAGACCCAAACCCGGCAGCGTTTGCAGACAAGTCACAGTCCCCGTCCCTCCCCACAGCAATTCCAGCCGGGGAATTTTCCAATCTTTTTAAAATACAGCCCGGGAGGACGGAGCTGTCCCTCCCTGCCGCCGGGGGAAAGCTGATGCCACCAGAGCCCTGCTCAGCATCTCATCAGCATCAGCCCCGCAGCCGGAGCCACGGGAACCCCTCAGCCCCCCTGGCCCTTCTGCAGTTACAGCAGTGACCCATTTCCCCAGGGAACGGCGCCTCGGGGCTGCCAGGACCTGCCAGGGGCCGCCAGGACCTGCCAGGGGCTGCTAGGGAAATCCAGGCTGGAAAAACCCCCAGCACTTTCCTCATCTACAGCCCCTTCAACCCCTGACAGGGAATGAGGGGAAAATCCAGCCTGGCACGAATTCCCCGCAGATTCCTCATCTTCAGTCCTGGAGGGCTCAGGCTGGACCTTGCACAAGGTTGGGACACCCTGAGGAGCCCCTTTAGGGACATTTTAGGGACACTGCAGGGACACTTCAGGGACAGCTCAGCCAAGACCTGAGCGAGGCCCGGCCCAGCCTCCCCAAGGGTTGCGGGCACGGGGAGGTGACAAAAAGCTGTCCCCGAGCCCAAAATGCTCCAAACTGCCGAGGGCCCTGCCCCGCCGGGGGAAACGGAGCGGCGGCACCGGGAGGGAGGCGGGGAGGCGGGGAGGGGTCCCGGGAGGGGACCGAGAGCCTCCTCCTGCCCGGGACCCCCGCCCGGCGGCGGGGACAGCGGCGGGGACAGCGGCGGGGACAGCGGCGGGGACAGCGGCGGCACCGGGAGCGCTCCGGGGCTGCGGGGCCGGGCGGCGGCAGCGCCGCATCCCCGCGCTGCAGCACCGAGCCGGGGACGGAGATTGCTCCAAAAACTGCGGGAATGTGTCCCCTCCGTGTCACCTCCGTGTCACCTCCGTGTCCCCTCCGTGTCACCTCCGTGTCACCTCCGTGTCCCCTCCGTGTCCCCTCCGTGCCCCCTCGGGCAAGGAGCGCGAAGGAAACATCCGTGACCTTCCGGGGATGCGGGATGGGAACGGGAGCGGGGGAGGAGCGGGGTGGGGGGGCTCAAATCCTTCGGGATGCAGCCCCGGGAAAGGCACCAAAAAAATCTGGGAATAACCGGGGAGAAATAACCTTCAGCCTTGTGGGGATGCGGGGATGGAAACATGGAGGGGAATAAGGGGGAAAAGGAGCAGCGGGGGCTCTGCCGGCGCTCCGGGATGCTCAATCCCGCAGGATGCAGCCCCCTGGAAAAGGCATGGAAGCACGGAGAAAAACAGGGAATTACCGGGAGGAAAAACCAGGGAAGAACCGGGAGGAAAAAAACGGGAATAACCGGGAAGAAAAACGCCTCAGCCTTGTGGGGGCAGGGACGGAAACGTGGAGGGCGACATGGAGCAGGGGCGGCTCTCCCGGTGCTCCGGGATGCTCAGATCTCACAGGATGCAGCTCCCGGTAAAAGGCACGGAAGAACACGGGAATAACCCGGGAATAACCGGGAAGAAATAACCTCAACCTTGAGGGGATGCGGGGATTGATCCTGGGGGGGGATGGGGCGGGGGGAACCGGAGCCGGGGCGGGGGGAACCGGAGCAGGGGCGGGGGGGCTCTCCCGGTGCGCCGGGATGCTCCATCCTCGGGGATGCAGCGCCGGAGGAGGGCACGGAACAACCTGGGAATAACCTGGAAGAAAATCCGCTCAGCCCTGCGGGGCTGCGGCGCGGGGAAGGCGGCGGGGGCTCCGCCGGTCCCTCGGGATGCTCCGCGCTGCGGGATGGATCTCGGGGAGCACAAGCGGGGCGCATCCCTCCCCCCCCCACAAACGCATCCCCAGCCCCGCGGCGGGGCTCTCCCCGCGCCCCCAGCCCCGTTCCCCCGGGCCCGAGCCCCGCACTGACCCGAAAGAGGCGGCGGGAGCAGGCGCGGCGCAGCGCGGTCCAGCCCAGCGCGCAGAGCCCGCAGAGCAGCAGCTCGGCCCAGCCCAGGTGCGCGTTCTCGGCCCAGGTGCGCAGCGCCAGCCGCCAGCCGCAGTCCCCGCAGCCCCGCGCCGCCGCCGCCAGGCTGCCGTAGCCCCGGCGGAGCAGCTCCCCGTAGCCGGGCATGGGCTCCGGAGGCGGCATCGCGGAGCTGCCACGGCCGCGGCCCCGCGCAGGCTCCGGCGGGGCGGGCACCGCGCTCCCCCCGCGCCGGTACCGGGCGGGAGCCGCCCCCTGGCACGGCACGGCACGGCACGGCACCGCACGGCACGGCACGGCACGGCACGGCACGGTACGGCACGGCACGGCACGGCCAACGCGAGCTCGGCCGCGGCTCCCGGCGGGCGGCGGCGGCGGGGAGAGCGCGGGGGGAACGGGGGAAAGCGAGGAAAGAGAGGAGAGAGAGAAAAGAGAGGAAAGAGAGGAAAGAGAGAAAAGGGAGAAAAGAGAGGAAAGAGAGAGAAAAGAGAGAAAAGAGAGAAAACTGAGAAAAGAGAGGAAAGAGAGGAAAGAGAAAAGAGAGAAAAGAGAGAAAAGATAACAGAAGGCGAAATTCGGTAGCGGGGGCGATGGAAGCGGGAGGCGGCACAGGCGGGGAGAGTGCGGGGGGAAAGGGAGAAAAGCGAGAAAAGAGAGAAAAGAGAGAAAAGAGAGAAAAGAAAGAAAAGAGAATTCGAAATTCGGTAGCGGGGGCGATGGAAGTGGAGGGGCACCGGCGGTGCCAGCGCTGAGCCGCGGCTCCAACGGGGGGATCCGGGGGGGACTTTGGGGGTCTGGGATGGCAGTTTGGGGTCTCAGACGCCAATTGAGGGGATCCAGGTGGGAATTTGGGGGATTCGTGTGGGAATCTGGGGGTCTGGGATGGCAGTCTGGGGTCCCAGATGGCAATGGAAGGGATTTGGGTGTGAATTTGGGGGGGCTCGGGTGTCGATTTGGAGGAGTCAAGTGCCAATTTGGGGGTCTCAGGTGCCCGTTCGGGGTCTCAGATGTAAATTGAGGGGATTCGTGTGGGAATTTGGGGTTATAAGGTGCCAGTTTGGGGTCTCAGGTGCCAATGGAGGGGATTTGTGTGGGAATTTGGGCGTCTCAGGTGCCAACATTTGGCGTCTCACGTGCCATTTTGGGGGTCTCAGGTGCCAATGGAGGGGATTCAAGTGCCAATCTGGGCTTCCCATATATCAATATAATATTTATATTATGTTTATATAAATTATATATTATATAAATATAATAATTATATTAATGTAAAAATTTATATAAATTATAAATTATATTTATATGATATAAATATAAATTTAAACTGATTTAAAATAAAACTGATATAAATAGAAAATAAACTGATATCAATAGAAAATAAAAAGGACATAAATGTGGTTTATTTTACTGCTGTGTCCCCCTGTCCCCCCGGGCCCTTCCAGGCGGGCACAAAGGGACCTTTCAGTGCCACCTTCCAGTGCCACCAGGGCCGGGGCACCGCAGGGAAAACCCCAAAACTCGGGCACAGAGCCGTGGGGAGGGGGAAATTCCAAAAATCCAGGTGGGATCTGGCTGGGAATGGGGAAATTCCCATGGGGAGGGGGGAAAAAAACCAAAAATCCAAGTTAGATCTGGGAGGGATTGAGGGAAATTCCCATGGGGAGGGGGAAAAAACCCAAAAATCCAGGTGGGATCTGGGAGGGATTGAGGGAAATTCCAATGGGGATTCCTGCCACAATAATTCCTGAAAATCCAGGTTGGAGCCAGCAGGGATTGGTGACGAGGACACTGCAAGGGGGACACCAGACTCAGCCTGAGCCTATTACAGGAGGATTATTTTTGTTTTATTTGTATTTGTATTTTTATTTATTTGCTATTGTTTTGGGGTTTTCTTATCCCAAAAGGAATCGGCAGAAGGGCTGGAAGGTGCTGCGGAATTTGGGATGGATCCGTGGAGACGTTGGAGTTTCACCTTCCCCCAGGGCTGCAATCCCAGGAATTCCAGGGCTGGGAGATCCAGGAATGAATTCCATTTCTTGGGAACAGTTCAGGCCTCAGGCGGGGCTTGAAGCCCAAAATGTAACCCCAAATTTGGGGGATCCCACAGGTGTGGGGGCGCAGATGGGATTTTCTGGGTTCCAGGAGGGATTTTTTTGGCTTCCAGAGGGATTTTCCCTGTCCAGGGCTCAGGCACTGGGCGCATATTGCAGGGCCAGGCGGTCAAAGTCGTTCTCCTGCAACCACAGCCAAAAATAAATGTATTAAATTAATTATCAATTAGTTAATAATGAATTATTATCAATCAATCCTCCTCAAATTTACATGTATCACCTCTCCCCTAGCAGAACACACCACAATCAGCTCCCTAAAACTCAATTAATTCCAGCAGCAAACCCAATTTATCCCTTTTTTTGTCATTTGCTGCTTTTCCCTTCCCCTCTCCCCAAATTCCCCAAATTCCCTCTTCCAGTTTTTTGGTGGTTTTTTTTTTTTTTTTTTTTTTTTTTTTTTTTTTTTTCCTGTTTTCAGCACAAATTTCCACCTGGATTAAAAATCTGCATCTCAGGCAGACTTGGGATTCCCAAAAAGGTTGGAAAACCTGAAGGAGGTGGAGCTGCTCCCTTGGGATTTGTTTGTAAAGAACCCCTGGGTCCATCAGAATGGGGGAAAATTCCATTTATTGGATTATTTTGATTATTATTTCTGTTTTCTCCCATTCCCTACCTTGGCCTGGTACTCCTTGATGAAGGGATGGTTTTTGTGAGCATCTTTCAGCTGGGACAGGTAACGATTGGTGACCTGGAGGGACCAAAAAATCTCAATTTGGAGGTGGCAGAGTGGAATAAATCCCACCTAAATGTGGTTTTTTTTTACACCTAAAATCCTGATTTTTCTCACTCTCCCAGTTCAAACCAGTAGGAGCCACGCACACACTTGGAATAAAAAATAAAACACTTCAAAATCAACTTTCAGTGGTTGTTCCAAGTTAAAAATGAAATAAAATCTGGAAGAGCAGAACTTAGAGCTCTAAATGCTTTTTGTTTTTTTCTCCAAGGATTTTTCTCAGTAATGTGGAATTCTGGAATGGTTTGGGTTGGAAGGGACCTTCAGGATCATCCAACTCCATGGGAAAGGGCAATTCCCAAGAGCTCCCTGGGGCTGTGAGCTCCCCATTCCCCAAATGGTCCCAAAATGATCCCATTTACCCCCAAATGATCCCATTGAACCCCAAAATGATCCCATTTAACCCCAAAATGAGCCCATTTAACCCCAAAACGAGCCCATTTCCCCATCCCTGCCCCCAGGACCCCGCTCACCTCCGGGGCCTTGCCCAGGTGCTGGGACAGCACCACCAGGTTCAGCAGGGTCTCAGGGTGCCCACTGTCCTGGAAAACACAGCAGGAGAAATAAAATAACATAAAATAAAAATAAAATAAACCACTCTGCAATCCCAAGCACAGAGAGGTGCATCCATAAATTGGCACTGCTGTGGATTTGAGCAGGAAAACTCCCGGGAATCTGGGGCTGTACCTTGTCCTTGTGGGATCTGGGGAACTTTGTCCCTGTGGGGTTCGGGGTTTCCCTGTGGGGTCTGGGGTGTCCCCTGTCCCTGTGGGATTTGGGGTGTCCCCTGTCCTTGTGTGGTTTGGGGTGTCCTTGTGGGATTTGGGGTACCTTGTCCAACTGGGAATCTGTGGTGTCCCTGTGTGGATTTGGGGTGTCCCTGTGGATTCGGGGTGCCCCCGTGGATCAGGGTGCCTGTGTGAATTCGGGGTACCCCTGTGGGTTTGGGTTACCCCTGTGTGAATCGGGGTACCCCTGTATGAATTCGGGGTGTCCCTGTGGGTTTGGGTTACCCCTGTGGATCGGGGTGCCCCTGTGTGAATCGGGGTACCTGTGTGAATTCGGGGTGCCCCCGTGGATTGGGTTACTCCTGTGGATTGGGGGTGCCCCTGTATGAATTGGGGTACCTTGTCGAGCGCCTCCTGCAGCAGCCCCTCGGCCTGCTCCCAGCGGCCCTGGCCCATGGCAGCGGCCGCCTGCCCGTTCAGCAGCAGCAGCGAGGGGCAGCCCCGCTCCGCCAGCTCCTGGAAGGTGTAGAACGCGTCCTGCAGCTTCTCCCCGCCCTGCGGGACCGAATTCCTCATTTACACCGACTCTGGGCTGGGAATTCCTCATTTACAGCCCGGGAATTCCTGATTTACACCCACTCCCAGGCTGGGAATGCCGGATCTACAGCCCTGGGCTGGGAATTCCTGATTTACATCCTTTGGGGCATGGGAATTCCCGATTTACAGCCACACGGTCATGGGAATTCCCAATTCACACCCTCATGGTCATGCCTGGGCTGGTTAATTCCTGATCAGGAATTAATTTAAAGGATCCCCAGGCTGTGTGCCCCTGGATCCCAGAATTTGAGGAATTCATTTAAAGGATCCCCAGGCTGTGTGCCCCTGGATCCCAGGAATTTCAGGAGTTTCTTTCCATCCCTCCTGCATCCCAAACCCAGCAGTTCTGCCTCACTCCCAAACACCTTCAAGGACATTTTGTGTCCTGGAGTGTGGATGGGGGCAGCAGAGCAGCTCCCTGGGGTGTTGTGGGGATATTTTGGGGGTGTTTTGGGACCATCTGGCTCCTCCTGGCAGGAGGGGTGCCCACCAAGGCCAGGTTCACCCAGGCTGTGGCCAGCTGGGTCAGCGTCGCGTCCTCGTCCTGCTCCTGCATCTTCTTCAGCTCCTTCCTGCAGGAAAAGTGGGAATCACAAAGGGAAAGGGATTTCAGCACAAAACCAAAATAAAATCTGGGTGTTTTCACCTTGAGTTTTCCATGTTTTATTTCATCAGGTGAGGCTGGGTTTGATTCTTGGAAAAGGGGAAAGAAAAGGAGAAGGAGAAGGAAGAAAGGAAAGGGGAATGGGAAAAAGGGAAAGGGAAAAAGGGAAAGGGAAGGGCCAATCCCACCTGGCCAGGTCGAGCCTGTCGAGCTTCAGCAGGATCTGCACGGTCATGGCCAGGCTGCAGGGGCAGAGAGCGGAGCCGCTGCACTCGGAGCCCAGCAGATCCCGGGAATTCCCAGCGGCTGGAATTCCAGGAACGGCTGCACAGGGCTCTGAGCCACCCGGGACTGACCCCAAACCCACCCAGGACTGACCCCAAACCCACTGGGACTGACCCCAAACCCACCCGGGACTGACCCCAAACCCCACTGGGACTGACCCCAAACCCACAGGGACTGACCCCAAACCCCACAGGGACTGACCCCAAACCCAGCTGGGACTGACCCCAAACCCACTTGGGACTGACCCCAAACCCAGCTGGGACTGACCCCAAACCCACAGGGACTGACCCCAAACCCCACAGGGACTGACCCCAAACCCACCCAGGACTGACCCCAAACCCACAGGGACTGACCCCAAACCCCACTGGGACTGACCCCAAACCCCACTGGGACTGACCCCAAAATCTCCTGGGACTGACCCCAAACCCCACAGGGACTGACCCCAAACCCACCCGGGACTGACCCCAAACCCTCCTGGGACTGACCCCAAACCCTCCTGGGACTGACCCCAAACCCACCCGGGACTGACCCCAAACCCACCCAGGACTGACCCCAAACCCAGCTGGGACTGTCCTGAGGGTCCCTCCCCACCCCAAACCCCCATTTTTGGGGGGGATGCGATCCCGTTTTTGGGGGTCTGTGACCCCGTTCCTGAGGCAGATGTGATCCCGTTTTTGGGGGTCTGTGACCCCGTTTTTGGGGGTCTGTGACCCTGTTTCTGGGGGTCTGTGGCCCCGTTCCTGGAGGTTTGTGATCCCGTTTCTGGGGGTCTGTGTTCCTGGGGTCCCTCACCACTCCAGGCTGTCCCCCTGGTGCAGGGCCCGCAGCGCAGCCTCGGGGTTCTGGTCGTGCAGGTAGATGGAGGCCGCCAGCAGCAGGAAGGTGCAGTTGGCCACCTCCACGCTCTTGGCCATCTTCTTGTCCAGCTCGGCCACGATCGAGTCCCTGCGGGTGGGACGGGGCAGAAAATGGGGGAAAACAGGGAGAAAATGGGGGAGAAAATGCAGGAAAACGGGAGGGGGGAATGGGAGAAAAGGGGGGAGAAAATGGGGACAAAATGGGGGAAAACGGGGAGAAAATGGAGGAAAACAGGGACAAAATGGGGGAGAAAACGGGGGAAAACAGGAGGGGGGAATGGGAGAAAAGGGGGGAGAAAATGGGGACAAAATGGGGGAAAATGGGAGAGGGGAATGGGAGAAAATGGGGGGGGTAAATGGGGGAAAAAAAGGGAGGGAGAAAATGGGGATGAAATGGGTGAGAAAATGCAGGAAAATGGGGGAGAAAATGGGGGAAAAGAGGGGAGGGGAAATGGGATAAAATGGGGAAGAAAATGGGGGAAGAAAATAGAATGGGGGAAATGGGATAAAACAGGGAAGGAAACGGGGGAGAAAAGAGGATAAAACAGGAGAAGCTGTGGCTGCTCCGTCCCTGGAAGTGCCCAAGGCCAGGCTGGAGCGCCCTGCAGCACTGGAGGGTGTCCCTGGATGATCTCCAAACCCTCTGGAGCACTGGAGGGTGTCCCTGGATGATCTCCAAACCCCCTCCACCCCAAAGGCCCCTGGAGGAGCAGGAATCCTGCTGCCCCAGAGCTGAGCCCCGGGGCTGGGCCGTGCCTCACCTCTGGCTCTCGCTGGCCAGGAACTGAGCCAACATCCTGACCGCCTGCAGCTCGGGGCTGCAGCTGCCCTGCAGCTCCTCCAGCACCACGCCGAACTTCCTCTGCACGGCAGCGACAGCAACGGGGGGAAGGACAGCAGGGAAAGCAGGAAAACAGGAAAACAGGAAAAGGAAAGAAAGAAAAGCACAAAAAGAAAACCAGGAAAAGTAAGAAAAGAAAAGAAGGAAAAGCAGGAAGAGCAGGAAAAGAAGGGAGAGAAAAATGAGAAAGGAAGAGAAGGAAGAGAAGGAAGAGAAGGAAGAGAAAGAAGAGAAAGAAGAGAAAGAAGAGAAGGAAGAGAAAGGAAGAGAAAGGAAGAGGAGGAAGAGGAGGAAGAGGAGGAAGAGGAGGAAGAGAAGGAAGAGAAGGAAGAGAAGGAAGAGAGAAAGGCAGGAAGAGCAGAAAAAGCAGGGAGAGAAGAAAAATAAGGAAAAAAAAGGAAAATAAAGGAAAAGGAAAGAAAGGAAAAGAAGGGAAAAGCAGGAAAAGAAAGGGAGTTAAGTTTGAGCAGAACTCTCAGGGACCTGCAGGGACAGGACACAGGGACAGGGACCCCAGGGCACGAATGGAAATGGACTTGGGATTGGGATGGGAATCCCAGGGCCCAGGGAATGGATCTGAGATGGGAACGGATTTGGGATGGAATTCCAGGGCCCAGGGAACGGATTTGGGATGGGAATGGATTTGGGATGGAATTCCAGGGCCCAGGGAACGGATTTGGGATGGAATTCCAGGGCACAGGGAAGGGATTTATACTGGGAAGGGGCCGTGGGTGGGATTTGGGAAGGATTCCCAGTGGGATTCGGGAAGGGATTCCTGGGTAGGATTTGAGAAGGGATTCCCCGGGGCCAGGGGGTGTCCCCGGGCGGGTTTAACCCCTTCCCCGCCGGCCCAGCCCCCTCACCTGGGCGATGTAGGCCCGGAACAGGAACACGTCGCGCTGCAGAGCCTGCTCGGGGCTGCGGGGCTGGGGGAGAGCAGGGATGGGGAACCGGGGAGCGCAGAGCCTGCCCCACAAACCCAATCCCACACAAACCCAATCCCACACAAACCCGCCCCACACAAACCCAATCCCACACAAACCCGCCCCACACAAACCCAATCCCACACAAACCCACCCCACACAAACCCAATCCCACACAAACCCGCCCCACACAAACCCAGCCCCACACAGCCGCTCCCGGACCCGCCAATCCCCGCGCCCCCCAGGGAGCTGTGGGCAGCTCCGCCCGCCGTGCCGGACCTTGGCGCGCTGCGCCTCGTTGATGGCGGCCTGGTAGGCGCCGATGTAGAAGTTGTTGCGGAGGTCGAAGAGCTCGTCCGGCTCCGCCGCCGGCGCCGCCATCGCCGCGGACACGTCCCCGGAAGCGGCCGCGCCGCGGGGGCCGCCGGGAGCCGCCGTCTCCATGGAAACCGCCAATCGCAACGCGAGGAGGTGACACGTCACTAGAGCGACGCGCTGCGGATAGGAATGGGCGGGGTTAGGGCGAGCCGGCCAATGAGCGGCGCGGGCCGCGGTGACGCCATCGCGGCGCGCGGGCGGGGCGGCATGGCGGCGTTCCGGGCGCTCGGGCTGGCGCCGTGGCTGGCGGAGCAGGCGCGGCAGATGGGGCTGCTCCGGCCCACGCCCGTGCAGGCCGCCTGCATCCCGGCCGTGCTGCAGGGTGAGCGCCGCGGGGCGCCCCGCAACCGGGAACGGCCGGGGGCGGGCCCCGGTCCTTCCCCGGGAACGGTCCCGGGCCATCCCCGGTTCCCGTTCCCGGTTCCCATTCCCCGTTCCCGTTCCCGCAGGCCGGGACTGCCTGGGCTGTGCCCAGACCGGCAGCGGGAAGACGGCGGCGTTCGTGCTGCCGGTGCTGCAGCGCCTCTCCGAGGATCCCTACGGCATCTTCTGCCTCGTGCTCACCCCCACCCGGTACCGGGCACCGGGGCACCGGGGCACCGGGGCGGGGGGGACCCAGGGAACCCGGGGGAGCTCCGGGGAACTCGGGGAGAACCGGGGAACCAGGGGAGAATCGAGGAGAGCTCCGGGGAACCGGGGCAGAGGTGGGGGGAGCTCCAGGGAACCGGGGGGAGCTCCGGGGGAACCGGGGGGGAACCGGGGGAGCCCCGGGCAGCCCCGGCGGGCTGAGCCTCGCTGCCCCGCAGGGAGCTGGCCTACCAGATCGCCGAGCAGTTCCGGGTGCTGGGCAAACCCCTGGGCCTGAAGGACTGCGTGGTGGTGGGCGGCCTCGGTGAGTGACCGCGGGGCCGCCCTGGCGCCTTCCCGGTGCTCCCAGCCCCGCTCCCGGTGCTCCCAGCCCCGCTCCCGGTGCTCCCGGTGCTCCCAGCCCCGTTTCTAGCGCTCCCAGCCCCATTCCCAGCCCTACTCCCAGTTCTCCCAGTGCTCCCAGCCCCGTTCCCAGCCCCATTCCCAGTTCTCCCAACCCCATTCCCAGTTCTCCCAGCCCCATTCCCAGTTCTCCCAGCCCCCTTCCCAGTGTTCCCAGCCCCGTTCCCATCCCCATTCCCAGTGTTCCCAGCCCCGTTCCCAGTGTTCCCAGTTCTCCCAGCCCCGCTCCAGCCCCGTTCCCAGCCCCATTCCCAGCGTTCCCAGCCCCATTCCCAGCACTCCCAGTGTTCCCAGCGTTCCCAGCCCCGTGTCCCCGCAGACATGGTGGCCCAGGCTCTGGAGCTGGCCCGCCGGCCGCACGTGGTGATCGCCACGCCCGGGCGCCTCGCGGACCACCTGCGCAGCAGCAGCACCTTCAGCCTGGCCAAGGTCCAGTTCCTGGTGAGCACCGGCCCTGGGGGCTCCCTGGGAGCATTCCCGGGAATCCCGAGGGGCTCCCTCCATCCCTGGGGGCTCCCGGGAATCCTGAGGGACTCCCTCTGGTCCTGGGGGCTCCCTCCGGCCCTGGGGGCTCCCGGGAATCCTGAGGGGCTCCCCGGGCACATTCCCGGCTCTCCCTGGGCACATCTCAGGTCTCCTGTGGGTCCCTGGGCACATTCCCTGGGCACATTCCTGCCTCTCCCCGGCTTTCCCCTGGCATATTCCCTGGGGTTCCCTGTATTTCCCTGGGCCCATTCCTGGCTCTCCCTGGGCACATTCCCTGGGCACATTCCTTGGGTTTCCCCAGGTATATTCCTGCTCTCCCCGGGCACATTCCCCGGGCACATTCCCCGGGCACATTCCCCGGGCACATTCCTGGCTCTCCCTGGGTTTCCCTGGGCACATTCCTTGGGCACGTTCCTTGGGCCCATCCCTGACTCTCCCCATGTTTCCCTGTACCCATTCCCACTCTCCCTGTTCCCACTCCCGCTTTCCCCGTGCCCCCTCCTGCTCTCCCTGTGTTTCCCCGTACCCACTCCCACTCTCCCCGTGTTTCCCTGTGCCCATTCCCACTCTCCCATGCCCACTCCCACTCTCCCATGCCCATTCCCACTCTCCCCGTTCTCCCCGTGCCCATTCCCACTCTCCCCGTGTTTCCCTGTGCCCATTCCCACTCTCCCATGCCCACTCCCACTCTCCCATGCCCATTCCCACTCTCCCCGTTCTCCCCGTGCCCATTCCCACTCTCCCCATGTTTTCCCTGTGCCCATTCCCACTCTCCCCGTGTTTCCCTGTACCCATTCCCGCTCTCCCCGTGCCCACTCCCGCTCTGTTTCCCCGTGCCCATTCCCACTCTCCCGTGTTTCCCCGTGCCCATTCCCACTCTCCCCGTGTTTTCCCTGTACCCATTCCCGCTCTCCCCGTGCCCGTTCCCGCTCTCCCCGTGTTTCCCCGTGCCCATTCCCTCTCTCCCCGTGCCCACTCCCTCTCTGATTCCCCGTGCAGGTGCTGGACGAGGCGGACCGGCTGCTGGAGCAGGGCAGTGCGGATTTCAGCGCCGACCTGGAGCTGATCCTGGGCGCGGTGCCCGCGCGCCGCCAGACGCTGCTCTTCAGTGCCACCCTGACGGCCACGCTGGGCCAGCTGCGGGCCCTGGCGGCCAACAGCCCCTTCTTCTGGGAGGCCACGGCCCCGTGAGTGACAAAATTCCCGGATTTCCCCGCTCCCAGCTCCTTCTGCTGCTTCTCCCCGTGCTGTGCTGCTGAGGCACCGCCCGGCCTGGTGGGGCCTCAGGAGAAGGGCAGGGAGGGGCTGGAGAATTCCTGAGGGGGCTGGAGAATTCCTGAGGGGGCTGGAGAATTCCTGGGAAAGGGCTGGAGAATTCCTGGGAAAGGGCTGGACAGTTCCTGAGGGGGCTGGACAGTTCCTGATGGGGCTGGACAATTCCTGAGGGGGCTGGAGAATTCCTGGGAAAGGGCTGGAGAATTCCTGAGGGAGCTGGAGAATTCCTGGGGGAGTTGGGAATTCCTGAGGAAGATGTGAAGAGGCTGGAGAATTCTTGAGGAATTTGGGAATTCCTGAGGGAGTTGGGAATTCCTGAGGGAGATGTGAATAGGCTGGAGAATTCTTGAGGAATCTGGGAATTCCTGAGGGAGATGGGAAAGGGCTGGAACATTTCTGGGAAGAAGCTGGAGAATTCCTGAGGGGGCTGGGAAGGGGCCCAGCCTGGAGAAAAGCGGGATCAGGGGGGGACATTCCCAATCCCCGCAAGTCCCCGAGAGGAGGGGACAGCCAGGAGGGGCCCAGGGGACCCCAAGACAGGCCCCCAGGCCCCGGGGTGCTCCAGGTGGGAATTCCCTCCTGGAAAGGGCCCTTGGAAGGAGGTGTCCAGGCAGGGCTGGACGAGCTGGGATGGTCACAGCTCGGACTGGTGATCCTGGGGGGCTTTTCCAGCCTCGGGGATGATCCTGGGGTGATCCTGGGGGGCTTTTCCAGCCTCGGGGATGATCCTGGGGGGCTTTTCCAGCCTCGGGGATGATCCTGGGGGGCTTTTCCAGCCCCGGGGACCCCGGGATTCCCATTTTTTCCCGGTTCCCTGCAGGGTGAAGACGGTGGAGGAGCTGGAGCAGCGGTACCTGCTGGTGCCCGAGGCGCTCAAGGACGCCTACCTGGTGCACCTGGTGCAGAGCTTCCAGGACCAGCACGAGGACTGGGCCATCATCATCTTCACCAAAACCTGCAAGTGAGGGGCCTCCTCCTCCTCCCTGCCTCCTCCTTCCTGGAATTGTCACAGTTTTCCCACCCCAGGCCACGCTGGGGTTGTGGGAGGTGTCATAAAGGAAGGGAAAAATGAGGATTTGGGGAATTAAACACAGAAATGAGAGGTGTCCCTGCAATTATCCCAGTTCTCCCACCCCAGGAATTGTCTCAGGCCACGCTGAAGCACCCTGGCAGTCCCTGCCTGTCCCAGCTCTGTCCTGATCCATTCCCTCAGTGCATCCTGAGGATTTTCCTGGTTTTTCCCTCCCTTCCAGGGACTGCCAGGTGCTGAACATGATGCTGAGGAAGTTCAGCTTCCCTTCTGTGGCTCTGCATTCCATGATGAAGCAGGTGAGGGGTGCAGGGCCCTGCCAGGGGCTGCTCCCAGCTGCATCCCACACCCCTCACCTGGAATTTTCCCCTCCCAGAAACAGAGATTTGCAGCTTTGGCCAAGTTCAAGTCCAGCATCTTCAAGATCCTCATCGCCACCGATGTGGCTGCCAGGTGAAACAAAAGCTCTCACACCTGGATTTGTTCACAGAAACAGTTTAGGCTGAGCTTAGCAAGATCAGACCCTCAAACCCCCCAGGTTTGGGTGGGACAGGCTCGTCCCAAGCTGTCTGAGCTGGGATTTGGGGCCCAGGGGTGCTGAGGCTCTGCCCAGGGAGGGCTTGGAGCTTCCTGAGGGGCTCCTGGAGCTGGGAGCAGCTCCAGGGAGACGGAATTGCTGAGCTCTGAGGGAGGAATTGCTGAGCTCTGAGGGAGGAATTGGGGAATTGCTGAGCTCTGAGGGGTTGGAATTGTTGAGCTCTCAGGAATTGGGGAATTGCTGAGCTCTGAGGGGTTGGAATTGTTGAGCTCTCAGGGGTTGGAATTGTTGAGCTCTCAGGAACTGGGGAATTGCTGAGCTCTGAGGGAGGAATTGGGGAACTGTTGAGCTCTCAGGAATTGGGGAATTGTTGAGCTCTGAGGAAGACGTTGGGGAGTTGCTGGACTCTGTGAGGAAGGAATTTATCCTCCAATCAGCCAAGAAATCCTCCAATAAGCCACTTGATCCCTGAGAATCTGGGGCTTTTGGAGAAAGCAGGAATTAAACAGATCCCTGGCATGGTGGAAGTGTCCCTACCCAAGGCAAGGCGAGAATTAAATGTATTTTAAGGTCCTTCCCGCCCCAACCATGCTGGCATTTTATAATTCTATGACATTTAAGCTGTTTTTTCCCCCCCATTCCAGAGGTCTGGACATCCCTGCAGTCCAGGTTGTCATCAACCACAACACGCCGGGGCTGCCCAGGATCTACATCCACCGTGTGGGGCGGACGGCGCGCGCGGGTGAGCGCGGCCACCACGGCCACCCCTGAGGGGTGGCAGCCCCCAGAGGGGCCTCCGGTGTCCCAGCAGCACCCTCCCCTCCCCCGGGATCGCTGGGATCCTGCCCTGGGATCGCTGGGATCGCTGGGATCCTGCCCTGGGATCACTGGGATCCTGCCCTGGGATCGTTAATGGGATCGTTAATGGGGTTTTCAGAGCCAGAAGCGCTCTCTGGGCAGGCAGCGTGGCTCCTGGGGATGGAGGGGTTGGGAGTGCCCTGGGTCCATCCCTCTCTGCCTGCCAGCATGGCCCAGTCCCTGTTTTCCCCCGTGGCAGGGCGGCAGGGCCTGGCCATCACCCTGGTGACGCAGTACGACATCCACCTGGTGCACGCCATCGAGGAGGAGATCAGTGAGTGGGGCCGGGCTCCTTTCCCTCCCCGGGGCTTGGGAAGGAGCAGGAGCAGCCGAATCCCTGGTTTGGGATCCCTGCTTGTGCTCCTGCTGGCTTTTAATGGAGCAGGAATTGTGTGGAGCTCTCCCCTGTGAAAGCAGCTGCTGCTTCAAAAAGCCCAGCCCAGATTCCCTGTCCAGTCTTCAGGTTCACATTCCCTATTCCAATCTTCAGATTCCCTATTTCAGGTTCAGATTTCCTATTCCACGTTTCAGGATCACATTCCCTATTCCAAGTTTGATGTTCACATTCCCTATTCCATATTTCAGGATCACATTCCCTATGCCAAGTTTCAGGTTCATATTCCCTATTCCAGTCTTCAGAATCCCTGTTCCCTATTCCACTCTTCACATTCTCTATTCCAATCTTCAGGTTCACATTCCCTATTCCACTTTTCAGGTTTTCACATTCCTTATTCCAATCCTCACCTTCTCTTTGTGAAAGCCCTTTGTGTCCCCCTGCCTCAGAGCTGCAGCTGCAGGATTTGGGATTTCTGACCCTGAGTTTGGGATTTCTGACCTTGGGATCTGTCACCCTTTGTGTCCCCAGAGCTGCAGCTGCAGGAGTTCCCCGTGCAGGAGCAGGAGGTGCTGCAAATCCTGACCCACGTCAACGTCACCAGGAGGGAGTGCGAGATTGTGAGTTGGGGCGGAGGGCTTCTGCTTTTCTCACAGCTTTTGGGGGGTTTTCTGTTTTTTTCACAGGTTTCAGGGGATTTTTCTGGTTTTTTCACAGTTTTTCAGGAATTTTCTGGGGTTTTCCACAGTTTTTCAGGGGTTTTTGCTGCTGAGGGCTGAGGTTTGTGGCTCTGCTCTCCCCTTTCCTCACCCTGCTGCTCTTCCCTCTCTGCCAGGAGCTGGAGGGGACGGATTTCGATGAGAAGAAAGAAATCAATAAAAGGAAACAGCTGATCCTGGAAGGGAAGGTGAGAGCTGCAGCTTTCTGATCTGCTCTGAGCTGAAAAAATGTGGGAAAGTGGAAAGGAAAAGGGAAAGGAAAAGGGAAAGGAAAAGGAAAATGGAAAAGGAAGGACAGTCCCTCCCTCCCTCCCTCCCTGCTGGGCTCACTCCCCTTCTGGGTGGGGAAGGTTTATTTAAAATAATCCTAAAAGAAATATGAAACAATGTTATATTTAAAAATTTCATATTTTTAACGCGATAATATTTAACATTATGCTGTTGAAAATATGAAATATTGTTAAATATATTCAATGTTACAAGATTAAATAGATCAAGTATTGGGATGTTAAAAATGCTCTGGAGAAAATGGAGAAGGGATTTTGGAGTGTCCTCAGTCGTGGGCACCTGGGAAAGGGCAGGGCTTGTCCTGGGTGTGTCCCCAGTGTCCTGTCCCCAGTGTACTGTCCCCAGCATCCTGGGCCTGTCCCCAATGTCCTGGTTGTATCCTTGGTGTCCTGTCCCCAGTGTCCCCAGTGTCCTGGGCCTGTCCCCAATGTCCTGTACCCCCTCCTGTCCCCATCCCCAGGCTGTCCCCAGTGTCCCCATCCCCATCCCTGGTGTCCCCATCCCGGTGTCCCATCCCCTGGCCGTGTCCCACCCCTGGGCTGTCCCCAATGTCCCCAGCCCCTGGCCGTGTCCCCATCCCCGTGTCCCATCCTGGGTGTCCCATCCCCGGGCTGTCCCCAGTGTCCGAATCCCGGTGTCCCCATCCCAGTGTCCCATCCCTGGTGTCCCATCCCGGTGTCCCCATCCCCGGCCTGTCCCCAATGTCCCCATCCCCTGGCCGTGTCCCATCCTGGGTGTCCCATCCCCGGGCTGTCCCCAGTGTCCCCATCCCCGTGTGTCCCATCCCCTGGCCGTGTCCCCATCCCGGTGTCCCATCCCTGGGCTGTCCCCAATGTCCCCATCCCCTGGCCCTGTCCCCATCCCGGTGTCCCATCCCGGTGTCCCCATCCCGGTGTCCCATCCCGGTGTCCCCATCCCCGTGTCCCATCCCGGTGTCCCATCCCGGTGTCCCCGCAGGACCCGGAGCGGGCGGCCCGCGGGCGGGCGGAGCTGGCCGGGATCCGCCGGAGGAACCGGGAGTGCCGGGAGAAGGCGCGGCAGAGCCTGGAGAGGCGGCGGCAGCTGCGGCTGAGCAGGAAACGGCAGCGCGGGGTGGAGAGGAGGAGGAGGAGGATGGAGAGGCAGCAGGAGGAGCAGCAGTGACTGCCTGGGGCTGGAATTGCCCTGGAATTGGGACTGAGCGCTGGAATGTGGGAACAAATCCCTGCCGGGGAGAAGGAACAGTCCCGGCAGGGATCCCGGGAATTGCTCCGGGAATTGCTGCCAGCCCCTCCCGGGGAGAGCTTCCCCCGCTCCTGCCGGGATGGGTCCCTGGGAATCGCCTGGCACGGTCTGGGAGGTCTTTATTGCCACAAATGCCTGGATGTTGGAGATTTTGGGGGAATTGTGTGGGGATAAAATGGGGTTTGGGTGAGAATTGAGCATTTTGGGTGTTTTATCCCTCAGGCAGCCCGAGCCCAGCCCTAAATTCCCTGAGTTCCCTGAGAACTGTCCCTCAGGGATTCATCCTGGGTGTTTCCTGGGGGATTTTGAGGTGGTTTTGGGGGTGCCAAAGCCGATTTTGTGTGTGTCTGGGGGTGCCACACCACGGCCGCTGCTGCCCTGCGCTGCTGAGTGTAAACCGAGCATCGCTGCTTCAAAAATAACCTCAGCAGCAGCTGATCCTGCAGCTGATCCTGCAGTGATCCTGCAGCTGATCCTGCAGCTGATCCTGCAGCCGATCCTGCAGCTGATCCTGCAGCCCAGCTCCTGCAGCCCAGCTCCTGCAGCCCCGCAGGCTCAGCTCACCCAGCTCCTCGTTAGCGGCGTGATTTAATTACAAACTGATCCTCGCAGCTCCCGGGCTCACAGCCTCTGCTTGCCTCCACCAAGGAGCTGCCCTGACACAAATTCAGGTAGCAGGGGCAGGCTGGTGGAGAACTGGGGTGTCCGGGTGTGTCACACCCCCGGGGACACTTCCCACCGTAAAAGGGACCAAAAAAAGAAGCCAAAAAAACCCCCAAGAGCGGCTGTGATTTGCTCCATTTAATTGCAATTAACCTCAGCCCCCCCGAGGCCAGCAGAGATGCCAGCCCAGCAGCTCGGTGGCCCTGAGGGATGTCCCAGTTGCCAAATTCACCCTCCCAGTTGCCAAATTGGTGCCCAGCTCGGTTCTTCAATCCCAGCGCGCTGTGAAAATGCAGATTTTCCTCCGGGAAGGACACGGGGAGCTCCAGCTCTGCTCCCCTGGGGTGCTCCAGGATCCTGCTGGGAACACCCAGCACTGGGCAAGAGGAAGAGGAAGAACTCGTCCTTCCTCCCCAGCTGGGAGGGAGCAGCAGCTGATCTGCAAAAGGCCAAGTGGTTTCCTAAAAAATAAACTACAGAAAAAATCCCCCGGCCGAGGCTCGGCCCCGTCCCCTTAGAAAATGTAAAAATCTCGGGGCACAGTGTGGCACCAGGGCTGGCACGGCCAGGGCAGGGCCAGGGAGCCTGGCTGGGACTTGGGGTGCTCCAGGGAGAGGGTTTGGGGTTCAGGTGCTCCAAGGAGAAAGATTTGGGGTTCAGGTGCTGCATGGAGAGGTTCGGGGCCTCAGGTGCTCCATGGAGAAGATTTGGGAGCTCAGGTGCTCCAGGGAGAGTATCTGGGGGTTCAGGTGCTCCAGGGAGAGGGTTTGGGGGTTCAAGTGCTCCCTGGAGAGGATTTGGGAGCTGAGGTTCTCCTGGGAGGACTCTGGAGAGGATCTGAGAACTTCAGGTGCTCCTTGGAGAGGATTTGGGGGTTCAGGTGCTCCCGGTGGCCACAGGAGCTCTCAGTACCCACAGGATCTCTTGGTGATGCCCACAGCAGCTCTCAGTGATGCCCACGGGATATCTCGGTGATGCCCACACAAGCTCTCGGTGGTGCCCACAGGAGCTCTCAGTGCCCACAGGAGCTCTCAGTACCCACAGGAGCTCTCAGTGCCCACGGGATCTCTTGGTGATGCCCACAGGAGCTCTTGGTGGTGCCCACAGGAACTCTCGGTGCCCACAGGAGCTCTTGGTGGTGCCCACAGGAGCTCTCGGTGCCCACAGGAGCTCTCAGTGCCCACGGGATCCCTCGGTGGTGCCTGGCCCAGCAGAGCCCGCCCGGCTCCGAGGGGCTCAGTGCTGCTCAGTTGCTCTCCAGCAGCTTGGCCAGGCCCTGCCGCAGCTCGCTGAGCTCGAAGACCTTCACATCCATCATCTCGGCCACCTTGGCCACCTCGTGCTGCACCTTCTCCCTGTCTGCCAGGCTCTCTGCCAGGCTCTGCTCTGCCAGCTGCAGGCGCCGCTCCAGCTCCGCGTTCCGGGCCTCCAGCTCCTGCAGGGACAGCCGGGCTGCTCAGAGCCCCTCGTCCCCTGCCACCCTGGGGTGTCCCCAGCTGTGTCCCCTGGGTCCCCGTGGGTGAGCCCTGTCCCCAGCCTCAGCCCTGCCCGCGGCGTGAGGGGCTGGGAGAGCAGCCAACCCCTCTGGGTCCTGTCCAGCCGGTGGGATCGGCCCTGGATCCTGTCCAGGCTGGTGGGATCAGCCCTGGAGCTGCTCTGGATCCTCCCCAGGCTGGTGGGATCGGCCCTGGAGCTGCTCTGGATCCTCCCCAGCCTGGTGGGATCGGCCCTGGATCCTGTCCAGGCTGGTGGGATCAGCCCTGGAGCTTTCTGGGACTGGCCCTGGATCCTCCCCAGGCTGGTGGAACTGGCTCTGGAGCTCTCTGGATCCTCCCCAGATGGGAACTGGGTGGGACTGGCTCCAGAGGGGTGGCAGCTCCCCGGGGTGTCCCACAGGTGCCACCTTTACCTGCAGCTTCTGCAGCGTCTCCTCGCGCTCGCCCTCGGCCTCCCAGCGGCCGCACCTCTGGCTCTTCAGCAGCTGGATCTCCTGGGCACAGGGAGAGGCCTTCAGACCCCACAGCTGTGGGTCTCAAACCCTGCTGCTGGTCACTAACATTCCTGCTTTGCTGCTTTTCATATCCTGCCCTGCTGCTGGTGCCTTCAGATTTCAGTATTTCTATTTTTCATGTCCTGTCCTGCTGCTGGTGCCTTCAGATTTCAATATTTCTATTTCTCAAATCCGGCCCTGATATTTGTACCTTGAGATTTCAGTTTCTCTATTTTTCAAATCCTGTCCTGCTGTTGGCACCTTGAGATTTCAAGTTTTCTATTTTTCAAATCACACTGTTGGTGCCTTAAGATTTCTATTTTTCTATTTTTCAAATCCTGTCCTGCTGTTGATGCCTTAAGATTTCTATTTCTCGGTTTTTCAAATCCCACTGTTGGTGCCTTTAGATTCCAGTTTCTCTGTTTTTTGAGTCCCGTGCTGTTTTGGTGCCTCAGCATTTTGGTTTCCACATTCCTCAGCCCCTGCCCTGCACTGGGGCACAGCTCTGAGTTTGGTTTTACATTCCTGAGCCCCTGCCCTGCACTGGGGCACAGTTTGAGCCCCGTGCCAGGCGCAGCCTCACCTCGTCCTTCGCCTTGACCAGCAGCTCCAGCTCCTCCAGGCTCTGGCTCAGCTCCTCCTTGCTGCTGTCGCCGCAGGAATCCGGAGTGCCCTGCGCCTCCAGCTCTGCCACCTGCAAGGGGAGGTCTGAGAGCCGCAGAATTCCCTGCAGGAATTCCCCCAGCCCCGCTCTGCCCTCCCTGCAAACCCACCTGGCTCGCAGCAGCTCCCGTGGGGCTGGGAGGAAAACAATTCCCTCTGCTCTGCTCTGCCGGGATCACGCCCAGGAGCACTTTGTGGCTCAGAAAAAAACCACTTTAGAGATCTGTCTGTGCTTTCTGCAGGAGTTCTGCGCTCCAGCTGCCTGACACCAGCACCTGAGCCCCCAGCCCCAAAACCTGAGCCCCCAGCCCCAAAACCCAGCTCCAGTTTTTACACCTCTGGGCAGAGATCTCCAAAATCTCCGGAGCTGCTGCAGCTCAGCTGGAAGGGTTTGCCCATCTCCCCAGCCCTGGAAAACTCGGCTCGGTGCCTTGGATTATTGATGAGAAGAATTCATTTTTAGAAGCATTTCAGTGCTGGGGCTGCTCCGAGCTCTGCAGGCAGCTCCAGGAGCTCTCCCTGACAGGGAGCGGATCCGGCTCTTCCCAGAGCGGGATCCTGCCCCCGGAGCTGCCAGGACCAGCGTGGTGGCCAGAACCCACCAAAATGCTCTGATTTAGGGACAAAAAATGGGAGTTTCACCGAGTTACAGAGTCTCGGTGACACTGAGTCACAGCTCCTTCTGTGAGCCTGCCAAGGCCCAGGGGATCCTGAGGGGATCCTGAGGGAATCCTGTGGGAAGGGATCCTGAGGGAGGGATGTTGGGGATCCTGAGGGAATTCTGAAGGAACCCTGAGGGAATTCTGAGGGAATCCTGAGGTATGGATTTTGGGGATCCTGAGGGAATCCTGAGGGGATCCTGTGGGAAGGAATCCTGAGGGAGGGATGTTGGGAATTCTGAGGGAACCCTGAGGGAATTCTGAGGGAATCCTGAGGGAATCCTGAGGGAGGGATGTTTGGGATCCTGAGGGAATCCTGAGGGAGGGATGTTGGGGATCCTGAGGGAATCCCGAGGGAGGGATGTTGGGGATCCTGAGGGAATCCTGAGGGGATCACCTTTCCTAGCCAGACCCAGCTCACCCAAAACCTTTCCCAGCTCTCCCAAAACTCTCCCAGCCAACCCTAGATCACTCAAAATCTTCCCCAGCTCTACCAAAACCTCTCCCAGCCAGCCCCAACTCTCTCCCAAACCCTTCCCCAGCTGTCCAGGGCTCTGCCCTCGCAGCAGAGCCCCGAGTGCCCCTGCCCAGACCCCACAACGGGCTGAGACCTCCCAGCCCCTCCGGAGCTCAGAGCTGCCCTCATTCCCTGGAACAGCTCGGATCGAGCTCGCAGCTGCAGCCAGAGCCGTCCCCACCCCTCTGCCAGCAGCCACACGCCGCCCTGATGCCCAAACTGGGCCAAACTGGCCTCGACCGTGCTGGAAACTGGGAATTCCTTCCAGAAAAACCCCAAGGGAAGGTGAAATTCTGTGGCTCTGCACTTTGCTTTCCTGGGGAGCTCCCCAGTCCCACGGCCTCGTTTCCTGACACCGTTTCCCATCTGCCTGGATCTGCTGGATTTGATGGGAAAAGGGGTCAAGGGCAGCAGCTGGGCCGGGGTTTCCTCCTGAGAGGAATGAGGGATTTGTCTTTACAAACAAGCTGTGGGTCTGGATAAAACCAGAGAGATAAAAGAAAACACTTCCACTGATTGGTGACTGGAAAAAAGATAATCTGCTTTTACAAACAAACTGCAGGTTGGCCGATAAAGGAAATTGGATATCGAAAGATGAAAGAAACAATGGGGAAAAACCCTAAATTCCGTAAGAATTAAGAATTAAAAGGGGAGGGTTATACAATAGAGGGGAATCTTTGGTAGCAGGCGTTCTGGGAAGTCTGAACCTCTCAAGTCCCTCAGCCAGTGGGGAAAAACAAGGGAAACTGGGATAAATAGGAGGCTGCATCCTCCAAAAATTGGAGAGACCCCGGGGAACGCCCCATGGCCTCTCCCTTTATTGGAACAAAGCAGAAACACTCCTCTCTCAGTCTGTGTTTTGGACAGGGAGGTGTTTGTGGATGGCTTTGCCGAGCTCACCCGCTGGCGCAGCGACTCCGTCTCCTCCTGGTACGCCGCCAGCTGCTTCTTCCACTGCTCCACGCTGGCGTTGGCCTCGTGCAGGGCCGCCACCAGCTTGGTGTTGTTGTCCTGGAGGCTGAAGAACTCTGCCTCCCACTGCACCTCGCTCACCGAGCTGGGGACACGTGGGATGGGGTCAGGAGAGGCTTTTCCCCCCTGCCCGGGGCTTTTCCCCCCTGCCTGGGGCTTTTCCCCTCCTTCCCAGGGCTTTTCCCTTTGGCTTCCTGAATTTTAACTCCTCCCCTGGCTCTGAGCGTCCCCCTCTGTGCTTTATCCCGGGGTAATGTTTGGTTTTCGGGCACAAACCACAAAGCTGAGGGAATCCTGAGGGATGGATGTTGGGAATCCTGAGGGAATCCTGAGGGATGGACGTTGGGAATTCTGAGGGAATCCTGAGGGATGGACATTGGGAATTTTAAGGGAATTCTGAGGGAAACCTGAGGGAATCCTGAGGGATGGACTTTGGGAATCCTGAGGTAATCCTGAGGGATGGACGTTGGGAATCCTGAGGGAATCCTGAGGGATGGACGGGGTTAATGGGGTGGGTACTCTAAAGGGGCTTTGCAGTGTGGGATTGTGAATCCGTTTCCAAAACCCACATTAGAGCAGAGTCTGCTTTGAATAAAGCCCAGGCTCGGGAGAAGGTAGCAAAGGACTCTCTGCTTTTGATTTAGAAATACTCCAAGCGTTCGGCTGGGAGCTTGACAGGAGCCACGGGGCAGAATCCGCCCCGAAGTCTTTTGAAGAGACAAAGAGAGGAAGCAGCAGGGACTTTGCTGGAATCACCAGGGGATTAACACAAACAGCCCCGGCCAGCTGGAGAAGCTGAACATCTCCTGCTATCACAAAATACAGATCTGGAGATGGCTGACACCAGCCCACGCCCCTGCCCCATCCTCCTCCCCACCTGCCCAAGCGGATTTCCAAGCTGGAATCGCTTCCTGCTGGGAAAAGGGGAATGAATCCGCTGGAGGGTTTGAGCAGCGGGCACGGGGCATCACTCCAGAGAATTAAAGGGGCAGAAGGGGTCAGAGTTATTTGTGATGACAAAGCCATGCACCAAATCCTGCCCGAGGGGAGAGTCTGGGGCTCCGAGCAGCCTCACCCCTCCGAGAGCATCTTCTTCAGCCTCTCCTTCTCGGTGGTGATCTCCACGTCGGCGCTCTGGCTGCGGAACAGTTTATCCTCCCCCGGCCCGTTGGAGCTGATGATGGGGCTGGGCAGGACCTGGGGTGAAGGAGGGGTGGGGGGTCACTGCCAGCCTGTGCTGGCCCCGCGGCCACCAACCCACCGGGCCTGGCTGGGCACAGCTCCGGACAGCGCTGGAGGGTCTGCGAGGTGACAGAGGGGACCCACTGCCACCGCCACTGTCACCATCACTGTTACCATCACTGTCACTGTCCCGTCACTGTTCTGTCACTGTCACTGTCCTGTCACTGTCACTGTCCTGTCACCATCACCATCACTGTCAGTGTCCTGTCACTGTCACTATCACTGTTCTGTGATGTCAATGTCACTGTCACCGTTACCATCACTGCCACTGTCACCATCACTGTCCTGTCACTGTCCTGTCATTGTCACTGTCCTGTCACCATCACCGTCACTGTCACTGTCACCATCACCACAGAATCTGCATTCCCAGAACTGCGGCCTTGTAGGCCAAGGCTCAGAATCAACCACAGGCTTTGGGCCGAGACTTTGGAAAAGGCTTCTAAATTTAAGTGCCAGAAGGGAGGATTCATTATTGAAAGCAGAGAAACGTGGATTTATAATTTAAAGCAGAGAAACGTGGATTTATAATTTAAAGCAGAGAAATGTGGATTTATAATTTAAAGCAGAGGCACCTTAAGCGAAGTCGAGGGAAGCTGAGAGTTTTAGAGCACAGCACTGTAAGTTTGTGTCATAACCTGGTTAGCTAAGAAAGTTTACACTGTAGTTTGAGTCTAAAAAATGAAATATTTAAGGAGCTGTGAGATACGAAATGGGCTTGGCAAGGAGTGGGAACCTTCAGGGGCTCCCCGGAGCACTAACGAAGGAATGAATTAATTAATTTGGTGTGACCTGGTGTCACCCAAAGCACTAACGAAGGAATGAATTAATTAATTTGGTCTCACCCAAAGCTGTGCAGCCTGGCCGGCCATGCAGCTCTGGGAGGGAAGGGGATGGCAGCACCACAGGGAACATTTTTTTCCCTTTTCCTCCCCTTTTTTCCCCAAGATTACCTGGTGGGATGTGATGCTCAGGGCAGGGTTGGTCAGCTCGGTTTTATCCTGGGATTTCTCCCTGGCCAGACGTGCGGCTTCCTTCACTTCCTGGAATTTCTCTGCAAACTGGAGGGGAAGGGAAAAGTCACTGCGGGGCTGTGGGACCAGCAGGGCTGCTGCTCTGTCCGCAGCTTCATTTAAAATTTTAATTTTTAATTCCTCTCCAACTCAAAAATTTAGGGGTTTCAATTTGGATTTGGCACTCAGGGCTGTGGGTTCATGCAGCTTCATTTAAGTTTTTTAAAAATTTCTCTCCAACTCAAAAATTTAGGGGTTTCAATTTGGGTTTGGCACTCAGGGGCTGTGGGTTCATGCAGCTTCATTTAAAATGCATTTTAATTCCTCTCAAACACAAAAATTCAGGGGTTTCAATTTGGATTTGGCACTCAGGGCTGTGGGTTTGTGCAACTTCATTTAAAATTTTTTTAAATTTCTCTCTAACATGAAAATTCAGGGGTTTCAATTTGGATTTGGCATTCAGGTGTTTCTTAAGCTTCTGGCCACAGTTTCTCGTGATTACCCTCACGGTTAAGCAGTAATTATATTTAATTACTAAACAACCAGCACACCTAACAGTTCTACCGTTTATGAGGCTGACTCTGCCCCTGACCCCCCAAATCCAGATTTTGGGGCTCACCTGGGCCAGGTGCTGCCCCCACCCCCCAAACCCCGGTTTTGGGGCTCACCTGGGCCAGGTGCTGCTCGGAGGCGAAGCCCAGCCCGTAGACCGTGTTGGCCCGGCTGTCCGCCCACTGCCCGAACTTCTGCGAGGTCTTGGTGAACGTCATGTTGGGCGTGACGGTGCTATTGATGATGGCCTGGGGATCGATCCATCAGGGATTGATCAGGGATCCATCAGGGATGGATCAGGGAGTCAGGGATTGATCATGGATTGGTCAGGGAATCAGGGATCGAGCAGGGATCAGGGATCGATCAGGGATCAATCAGGGACTCAGGGATCGATCAGGGATTGAACAGGGATCAGGGATCAATCAGGGATTGATAAGGGATCAGGGATTGATCAGGGAGTCAGGGATTGATCAGGGATCATTTGGGGAGTCAGGGATTGATCAGGGAATCGATCAGAGAATCAGCTGCTTTTGTGTAGGAAAAGCTGTTTTTGTGTGGGGAAGGCTGCTTTTTTCGGGGGAACAGCTGGGTTTTTGGGGAAAAGCTGATTTTTGGGAAAAAGCTGATTTTTTTGGGGGAACAGCTGTTTTTTTGGGGAAAAGCTGATTTTTTTTTGGGGAACAGCTGTTTTTTTTGGGGAAAAGCTGGTTTTTGCGGGCACAGGTGGGTTTTTTTGGGGGAAAAGCTGGGGTTTTTGGGAGGAAAAGCTGTTTTTTGTGGGCACAGGTGGTTTTTTTTGGGGAAAAGCTGTTTTTTGTGGTGCCCACCTTGGTTCCCCCCACGCTGATGATGCGGTAGACGCTGCGGGTGGCATCGTAGAAGTAGGAGACGGTCAGGGCGTGCTTGCTGGCCGGGATCCAGTTCCTCTTGGTGGCGGGGTCGATCTGGAAGACGTGGGCCCTGGTGCTGAAGATTGGCTGCTCCCTGAGGGACAGAAAACGGCGCCTGTGTCCTGCTGGGCACCGAGCAGCACACAGAAACTTGGGGACTTCCAAGGAGAAAAAAACCCGATTTTGTTCAAACACCTGGGATTTATAGAATTCCAGGGGTGGCCGTGGGTTGGAGGGGCCGAGGCAAGGGGCCAGCGCAGGGATTTCTGCTGCTCCCTCCCCTGGATCCTGCTCACCCTCCTGGGCTCTGCAGGGACAGTCCCGGTGTCCCTGCTGCTGCCACCTCACGTCACCGGGTTCTCCGGGAGTTTTGGGGTTTCTCTCCCAGAGCTCTCCCCTAAATCCCTGGCACGCCCCTAAATCCCAGCTTCCGAGGCTGGGGTGGTCCTTTGCTGGTTGTGCCTCCCGTTTCAGGAACGCTTTCCACGTTTCAGGAATGTTTTCCACATTTCAGGAACGTTTTCCACATTTCAGGAATGTTTTCCACGTTTCAGGAATGTTTTCCCAGCTGCTCCAGGGCTCGGGGGTTCCTCTGGCTACGCCCAGGGCTCAGACCCAAACCGGGGAAATCGGAGGGAATTTGGCCCCGCCGGCAGCTGCGAGGTGCAGGCACACGCTGCCCTGTGCAGCCCCCCAAAACCCGGGCTGCTGAGCTCCCTCCCCGTCCCCAGGGCTCCCAGCTGCCCCGAGCAGCCCGTCCCATCAATCCAAAGGCACCTGGCACTTGCCAGAGCCAGCCCGAGCTCCACAGGGAATATTTGATTTCCTTCCCCCCTCCCAGCCTGCTCCAGGTGCCAGCCCTGGCTCGGGTGTCTCCTGACAGCACGCTCCACACCCTCTCTGCCTGGGTTTTTGGAGCGAGATTCCAACTTCCCAGGCTCCGTTTTCATGTGGATCACGACCTGTCTTTGCCCAGGGAGCTAAAAAAGGGCATAAAGGGATATCCACTACATGAAGGGGTTAAATGCTGGGGTTTTGCCACCTTCGTGTGATCTGTGATTTGTTATCTGTGATTTATAACTTGTGATCTGTGATTTGTTATCTGTGCTTTATAATTTGTGATCTGTGATCTGTGATTTATAATTTGTGATCTGTGATTTATAATTTGTTATCTGTGTTTTATAATTTGTTATCTGTGATTTATAATTTGTGATCTGTGATTTGTAATTTGTGATCTGTGATTTGTAATTTGTGATCTGTGATTTGTAATTTGTGATCTGTGATCTTTGCCACACGGCAGAAATGGACATTTTGCCCCTGAACCCCCAAGCCTGGGCTGGTTTTGGAAAGAACAAAGGCAGGACTTTACCGAGTTGCTGACATTTGTCAGTAAGGGCAGTTAGGGGGTGTCCCCTCCTCCAGCAGCTCCTCCTCAGGGGCCTCTCAGCTGCTCTGGGGCTCCTTCCCAGCGCTGCCTCCACAGGGATTCATTCCCTGCTGAAGGAAAAGCCCAGCTGTTATTAGGCACCTTCAGGGGCTCTGTCTGCCCCCAGTGTCCACAGAGCTCCTCCTTTGCAGTCATTCCTCACCACTGACCAAGGTTTTCCCCCCACTCCTGGCAGATAACCGGGTGAGCAATGGAGCAAATCCCCCTGGGAGGCTCCAGCGCTTCCAGCCATGCCCACGTGGCGCTGCTGCCTGATGGAAAACCCTGCTGGAGATCATTCCTCGGGCACAGCAGCTGTTCCTGGGCTCCTGTCCATGCTGGCGTCCTGTCCCTGTGTCCCTGTCCCTCCATGGGGCTGTATCCAAACCCCATCCCCGTGTCCCTGTCCCTCCGTGGGGCTGTATCCCGATCCCATCCCCGTGTCCCTGTCCATCCAGGATCCCACCCCTGTGTCCCTGTCCCTCCATGGGGCTGTATCCAGACCCCATCCCTGTGTCCCTGTCCATCCAGGATCCCATCCCCGTGTCCCTGTCCCTCCGTGGGGCTGTATCCCAATCCCATCCCCGTGTCCCTGTCCCTCCATGTCCTCTCCAGCTCTCCTGGGGCCCTTTCAGGCTCTGGGAACAGCTCCAGGGTTTCTCTGGATCCTCCCTTCTCCAGCCTTGGGCACTCCCAGGGATCCAGGGGCAGCCACAGCTCCTCTGGGAATTCGTCCCAGGGCAGAACTTTTCCATCATCTCCAGTCTGAGCCGACTCTGACTGGGGCAGTGAGGACAGAGGGACACCCGGGAGGGGACAGCCCAAAACCCCAAAACCCACCGAGCTTTTCCAAGCAGCTCTGGGATTCCAACTCCTGCTCCCCCCTCCAGCCCCCAGACTGAACCCAGCAGGGTCCCTGAAATGCTGACACTCCTCACTGCCCAAGGGCGAATAAATAAACGTGTAAATAAATAAATAAACAAACGTGTAAATAAAACCGCTTCCATCCCCCAGGGCTGGCCTCCGCAGATAATTAAGGAGAAGCAAAGCAAACGAGGAAAGGCCCTGGAAGGGATCCAGGTCCCATCCCTGCCAGCGCTGCTCCCAGCTCAGGGGGAAGGGCAGGATTCGATATCCCAGCACCCGGGGAGCTAAAAAAGGCTTGTCCGGGGTGGACATCCACTGCAGGAAGGGATAGCCACAGCAGGAAGGGATATCCACAGCAGGAAGGGATAGCCACTGCAGGAAGGGATAGCCACTGCTGCACGGAGGGGTTAAATGCTGGGGGTTTGCCACCTTCAGAGCTGGAATGTGTTATCTGTGATTTATAATTTGTTATCTGTGATCTGTTACTTGTTATCTGTCATCCCTGATTTGTTATCTGTGATCTGTTGTCTGTGATTTATTATCTGTGATCTGTAATCTGTGATCTGTTATCTCTGATTTGTAATCTGTGATCTCTGATTCGTTATCTGCGATCTCTGATTCCTTATCTGCGATCTGTTATCTGTGATTTGTTACCTCTTATTTGTTATTTGTGATCTCTGATTCGTTATCTGTGATCGCTGATTCATTATCTGTGATCGCTGATTTGTAATCTGTGATCTCTGATTTGTGATCTGTGATCTCTGGTTTGTGATCTCTGATTTGTTATCTGTGATCTCTGATTTGTTATCTGTGATCTGTTATCTGTGATTTGTTATCTCTGATTAATTATCTGCGATCTGTGTCCTCAATTCGATCTGTGCCCTCAGTTCCCGGCCTGGGCAGAGCAGCCATGCCCGAGCGGTGTGAGGAGATCTGGGGACACGGTGACACACACGGGGACAGGGCCAGCAGCCGTGTGCCAGGAGGGACAGATGGCCCTGAGCAGGGCCAGCACCAGCCCCGAGCCCAGCCCGGAGGGGAGCAGCGGGCACGGGAGGTGCCAGGGGCTGGCGAGGGCCAGAGCCGGCCCTGCCAGGGATGCCACACGGCTGTCCTTGATCCCAGCACTGCCAGGGATGTCACACGGCTGTCCTTGATCCCAGCACTGCCACATCAACTGTCCCCAATGCCAGCCCTGCCAGGGACGTCCCACGGCTGTCCTCGATGCCAGCCCTGCCATGGATGCCACATGGGCTGTCCTTGATCCCAGCCCTGCCACATGAACCCCAATGCCAGCACTGCCACAGATGCCACCTTGATCCCAGCCCTGCCACATCAACTGTCCTCAATGCCAGCCCTGCCAGGCATGCCACACAGACTGTCTCTGATGCCAGCCCTGCCACATGAACTGTCCCCAATGCCAGCCTGTCCCCAATGCCAGCCCTGCCAGGAACGTCCCACGGGCTGTCCTCGATGCCAGCCCTGCCATGGATGCCACATAGACTGTCCCCAATGCCAGCTCTGCCACACGGGCTGTCCTCGATGCCAGCCTGTCCTCGATGCCATCCCTGTCCCATGGACTGTCCTCGATGCCAGCCTGCCGTAGTTCGACCAGCCTTAGCGAGACTTTTCTGACCTAAAGAGCCCTGTGAGCACTTTCAGTCCACACTCAGTAATAAAACACTTTAACATAAAGAAACCGTCACCTTTAACAGATTTTCTCCAAACAGTCGCCATGTGCGACACAAAACCACTAAAAGTTACAATCGAGTTCCCTTTGCTCTTTGCATCTCCCTGCCAGGGAAAGGCCCCCGGGTGCAGAGATGATCACCCCAAACTCTGCTCGGCTTTGGGATTTGATATTTCCATGTACCATTCCGATATTTTGATATTTCCCAGGTTCTGAGCTGCGTTGTTGTGGGAATCTTTACAACTCCGTGTAAAGTGTTAGCAAGTTCTTCTCACGGCTCAGGCAGACAAAAGAACACAGCTCAGAAAAACAAAACAACACAGCTCAGGCAGACAAAACAATCCTTTTCCAGCCCAAGCATGTGAGCAGGACAGAAATTAAATTAGTGAGAGCAGGGCAGAAATGAGAACAGGACAGGAATGAGTGAAAAGGACAAATGAAATGAGTGTGAACAGGATAAAAATGAGTACGAGAAGGAGAGAAATTAGTGTGAGCAGGACAGGAATGAGAGCAGGACAGGAATGAGAGTGAGCAGGATAAAAATGAGTGAGAGCAGGACATAAATGAGAGTGAATAGGACAGGAATGAGTGAGAGCAGATTAAAAATGAGAGCAGGACAGGAACGAGCCCAGCCCTGGCCCCTGGCCACGCTGAGCCAGCTGCGAGCCCAGCCTGGGGCTCTCCCTAAAATCCCCCCAAAATCCCTGAGGGAAAATCCCCCCCAAAACCCCCCCAGGCAGAGCCCGGCACCCAAAAGGCAGAACTGGGGCACAGAGAGGGGCTGGGAGCCCAGCCCAGCCCTTCCTCCTCCTCCTCCTCCTCCTCCTGCAGGGCTGCATGGCTGCTTTCCTTTTATCTCCCCTCAGCAGCCTCAGAGTTGCTGTCTGTCTGTCTGTCTGTGCTGTCTGTCTGTTTATCTGTCTGTCTGTCTGTCTGTCTGGGGAACTGGGGCTGATAAAAGCCAGCCCCCAGCTCCTTCCCTCTGCCCTCCTCCCAAATTCCAGACCCACCCTGGGGGTGCAGGATGATCCCTGGCCCGGTCCTGTGCAGGGCCTGCAGCCGGGTTTTGGGGATCCCTTTCCACCCGGGATATTCCAGAACCCGGGATATTCCACAGTTCAATCCAGGATATTCCACAACCCGGGATATTCCACAGTTCAATCCAGGATATTCCATAACCCAGGATATTCCACAATTCAACCCAGGATATTCCACAATTCAACCCAGGCTATTCCATAACCCAGGATATCCCACGATTCCTCCCCAGGACACTGAACTGCAGAACTGCTTTGGGGCCAAATCCATCTCTGGGAAGACGAATTTAGAGCTTCGGGGCCAAAGTTTGGATTTCGCAGATGGATTTAGGGTACAAAGTTTGGATTCCAAAGATGGATTTAGAGGCCAAAGTTTGGATTCCAGAGATGGATTTAGGGTACAAAGTTTGGATTCCAGAGATGGATTTAGGGTACAAAGTTTGGATTCCAGAGATGGATTTAGGGTACAAAGTTTGGATTCCGGAGATGGATTTGCCCATGCCCAGGAAGGTCTCCAGCCCCTGGGGAGGTGCAGCTCCAGGAACAGGATCCGGCTCTTTCCTCATTCCCGGAGATCCCGGCAGGAACTGGAGCAGCTGCTCCAGAGGAAGGATCAGGGGACAGCCCCAGCAAGGTCACACACACACACAGGGCCTGTAAACCCCGGGAATCCTGGATTTTCCTTGGAATTCCGGAGCCTCCTGCAGGTCCCGCTCCTGCTTGGGACACAAACACGGCTCTGCAGCCACCAAAAATCCCAAATAATCCCAGCAGAGTCAGGAATTCCGCACACATCCCAGAAAATAAGGAGAATTAGACAAACAGAGATGCAGCTTTTCTCCAACTCTCTGCACTTCCAGACCCCCGCTCAGCAAAAAATAAAAAATCCCCCAAAATAGTATTTTTGCCCTTTTTTGCTGCTGTTTTTGTCCTGTCCTTCCCAGGAGCTCTGTGACAAGGACAGGGCCAAGGCCCCGTGGGGCAGAGGGCAGCCAAGGTAAGAGTGGCTGAATTAATTTGGGATAAACTCATTACTGCTCTAATTAGAAGCCAGTAAATTGCACCTCCCCGTGTTTATATATATATTATATTTGACAGTCCATCACCACCTCCCTGTATTTATAATTTACAGTATTTAGAATTTACAATGCCAGCAGAAATGTGAGGACGTGGCCGCTGAGGGCTCAGCTGGATGAAAACTTCATCCAGCTAATATTCACTAAAATTCAATTTCACCCAATTCCCTTCCTTCAGGACCAGGTGTTATTTCCAGCTGTCCCCTAAATCCCGTGGATTTCAGAGGAACCCACAGAGAATTCACCCGGGAAAACCAGAATATTACAACCAGAACATTACCAAGAAGTCTAGAAAGGAGAATCCCTGCTTTAAAAATAATTTAACTAGAATCAGCTCCTTTTTATATCCTTTATAGCCAGAGTCATGGAAATTCTGCTGGAATTCCAGAATTAGTTAAGGAAATTCTGCTGGAATTCCAGAGTTATGGAAGTTCTGCTGCTCAATATCCCCGTGGGACCATCAAGGCCACCCTTTAATCTTGGGAGTGAAATGGGAATTCAGGAATTTTGGGGTGGAAACTTCTGGCTGGGCAATGGTTTCTGCTGCCCCACCAGCAAGAATTCCAGATAATTCCAGGTACAGCAATAATTCCTGCATCCCAAATTTTCCTCCTGGCAGCTCCGGGGGTTTTCCAGCGACTTTGCAGATGGCAGGAAAAACGGGGACACAGGGATTTCACCTGGATCAGCACATCCCCTGCCAGCTTCAAAGGCTTCTGCCAGCCTCACATTTCTGTCACTGCTGATTCCTGCCTCATCGCTTCCTCTAGCTAGTCCAAAAGGAACATTTTTTTACAAAGGAAAAGGGAAAATAAAAAAAAAAAAAGGGAAATTAAAAAAAAAAGAGGAACATAGAAAATTAAAAAAAAAAAAAAAAGGAGAAAAACAGAAAATTAACAAATAAAAAGGAATAGGGAAAATTTTATAAAGGAAAATAGAAATTTTTTTTTTAAAGAGAACGGTAAATTTAAAAAAAAAAAAAAAAAAAAAAAAAAAAAAAAAGGAAAACGAGCCCCCAGGAATGTAATTTATTCCAAACCCCACGTTCGGAGGGAATGATCTGCCAGGATTCCTCCAGACTCAACCGCACAAGAAACTCACAACAACGTGTCCGGTCCTATGCTCCCAAATTCCCGCTGCCAAAATCCCATTGCCAAAATCCCGCTCCCAAATTCCCCTCCCGGGAACAGGCGCGGGGATCGCGGGCTGAGATCCCCGCGGAGTTTCAGCCGCTCCTTCCCCGCAGAAATCCGATCGGGCTCCATCTTCCCGCACACAATCCCGGGGAAATCCCGAATTTCGGAACTCCCGGGAAGTTTTGGGGCACACGCGGCCCCCGCGCTCCCGTTCGGGCTCCTTCCCCGGCGGAGTTGGGGCCGCTCCCATTCCCCCTTCCCCACCCCAAAAATTACAGCCGAGGCGAAACTTTCCAGCTCCTAACGCGGCAAAAAACCCCACAAAAATCCCCAAAAAGCGCCGTTTAACCCTTGAATTCCTGCCTGAGAAGCGGCTCCGCGGCACGGAAAGCGGAGAGGAACGGGAGCCCGCCGGTCTCACCCCATCCCCGCCGCTCTCACCCCATCCCCGCCGGCTCCGCTGCGCGATCCTCCCGCGCCGCCGCCTCCTCCTCCTCCTCCTCCTTCTCCCCTTCCTCTTTCTTTCTGTCCTTCTCCGGATCCGGATGCTCTTTAAATTTCCTCCGGAATTTCACTTTGAAGCGTTGCTGCTGCTGCAGCTGCTGCTCCGCGGCTCCGGGAGCGGCACCGGGAGCGGCACCGGGATCGGCACCAGCACCGGGGAGTGGTCCCGGGAGTGGCACCGGGATCGGTACCGGGATCGGCACCAGCACCGGGAATGGCCCCGGGAGTGGCTCCGGGAGCGGTACCGGGATCGGCACCAGCACCGGGAATGGCCCCGGGGCGCTCCGGCTGTGCCCCGGCGCTTCTCCGCCCGCTGCTCCGCCGCTCCCCGGTTCCCTCCCGGCCGGCGGGGAGCGGCTGGATGGAGCCGGTGCCTCTCCGAGCCTTTTGTTCCCCCGGTCCGAGCGTTCCCCCCGCGGGCAGCGCGTCCCGAGCTGCTCGTTGCCCGCTGCCTGCCGCTCCCTGCCGGTCCTTCCCGGTCCTGCCCGCTCCCTACCGGTCCTGCTCGGTCCCTGCCGGTCCTGCCCGCTCCCGCCGCCCCATCCCGCTCACGTTTGGCCGCTTTTCTTCTCCCGACTTTATTGGCGGCGCCGCCAGCACCACCTGCCGGGACAGCGGGCCCGGTGCCACCCCCGGGACAGCGGGGACAGGAGCCCTGAGCCCTGGAGCCCTCTGAGCACAAAACCTGCAGCCCTGGGGGCTCTCGGAGCCCCAAAACCCTCGGAGCCCCAAAACCCTTTGCCCCCTAAAACCCTCTGAGCCCCAAAACCCCCTCACCCCTGGAATCCAGAATTCCACCCCGGCAGCGCGAACACGAGTGAGATAACCCGGGTGTGATAACACGCGTGTGATAATACTAACCCGGGTGTGGTAACCCGGGTGTGATAATACTAACCCGGGTATGATAACGTGGGTGTGGTAACCCAGGTGTGATAACATGGGTGTGATAACACCAGTGATAACCCGTGTGTGATAATGCTAACCCAGGTGTGATAACCCGGGTGTGATAATACTAACCCGGGTGTGATAACCCAGGTGTGATAACACCAGTGATAACAGGGGTGTGATAACCTGGGTGTGAGTGGCACCGCGTGTGACCCCAGGTGAGAGGTGACACTGTGTGTGACACCGTGTGTGACACCGTGCTGGCAGCAGCAGATGCCGGCTCAGAGCAGTTTTGGCACCGTTGTCTTTTCCTGGAGTTTTGTGTCCTCACAAGTCCCTGTCCCCGTCCCCATGTCCCCATCCCTGTCCCTGTCCCCATTTCTGTTCCCAAAAAGCAAATTCCCATTGAACGCTGCATCTCCTCTCGCCCCGCTGCCATTCTGTCACTGTGGAACCCCTGAGTTCAACACTGCCAAATATTTAACATCAATAATGGTTAGTATTCAAAGGTTTCAGGATTCGAATTCAGGATTTTTATTTAGGATTTCAATTCAGGATTTCAATTTAAACCACTGAAATTCAAACTCCTGAAAGGATCCCTCATCTCTTCCTAGAGCAGAAAAATCTCCAATAAACACCAAAATCTCTCCCCAGCTGCTGCTTTTAAACCCAAAATTCCTTTTTTTCCCCACACACACTCAAAGTTCCCCTCCAGAACGGCCCCTGAGCCAATTTTCTGTGAAGCTTTATAGAAATTAATCCTCCAGCACTAAAAATACCCCAAATTCACCTTCCATTTTCTGTTTAAAGCAGCTCATTAAAGCCTCCCCGTGCCCCTGGGGCTGCTGCTCTGCTGCTTTTCCAGGAAAATTGAAATTATTCCTCACTGGCCGGAGCCTTCCCCTCCATTTCCCCCCATTTTTTACAATTCTGAGGAAGCAGAAATTTGCTTTTTACAATTTTTACATTATACTATATTACATTCTATTATAATCACACTATATTTTACTATATGATTACATTAATTATATATATTACATTACATTATATAATATACTAACTATATATTGTATTAATATTATCATAGTATATAATAGTATATATTATATTATTATTAATATTTTGTTATCCTATTTAATAATAAAGAAACATAATCGGGTTGTACTGAACAATAACTCCCAAAGCAGGAGTTGCCACCCCAAGCCCAAAGCCAATATTTGTAATTTCTGAGAAATAAATACTAAATAAATGTAATGAAACAGAAATAAATATATAATACAATAAATAAATAGAAGGAAACAGAAATAAAGCTCTAATAAATAAGCACAATGCAATGTCATAAAAGGAACGCGCTGCAGCTGCAGCAAATCCTCCCCAGCTGCAGCTCCCGCCCGGCCAATTAGCCGCGATTAATTGGGCCGGGATTAATTGGGCTGGGTAATTAAAGCTCCCGGGAGGGCGGGGCTCGGCCTCGGGAGGGGACAGGGATGAGGGACAGGGGAGAGGGGACAAGGGACAAAGAGAGGAAATGGGGACAGGGGACAGGGATGGGGACAGGGACAGGGAGAGGGGACAGGGATGGGAATGGGGAGAGGGGACAAGGGACAGAAAATAGGACAAGAAAGGGACAGGGGACAGGGATGGGGACAGGGACAGAGAATGGGACAGGGATGACAGGGACAGGGCAGAGGGGACAGGGACAGAGAATGGGACAAGAAAGGGACAGGGGACAGGGACAGGATGGGACAGGGATGAGGGTGGGGACAGGGATGAGGGCAGGGACAAGGATGGGCATGGGGACAGGGAGTGGGACACCAGGCAGGGACAGGGACACGGCTGGAGCCACCTGGGGTGGCAGGAAGTGTCCCCAGGTTGTCCCCAAGGTGTCCCCAGAGACGTCCCCAAGCTCTCCCCATGGTGTCCCGAGGATGTCCCCAAGGTGTCCCCAAAGTGTCCCCATGGGCTTTGAGGTCCCTCCCACCCCAACCCCTCCCTGACCCCACAGAACTGCAGGAACCCCAAAATCCCAACCCCAGAAATTCCAACCCCCAAAATCCCAAACCCCCAAAATCCCAAACCCTGAATTTCCAACCCCCAAAATCCCAAACCTGAAATCCCAACCCTGAAATCCCAAACCCCCAAAATTCCAAACCCAGAAACTCCAAACCCCAAAATTCCAACCCCCCAGAATTTTATTGGCACAGAGAACTCCAAGAGTCCCAGCCCCAAACCCAACAAAAGTCACCAAAAACCCCAAAATTTTATTTATTTCAGAAAATCCCCGTGGGGGTTTCAGCTGTGAGATATGCAGGATTAAAAAGGTGATTTAAAAGGGTTTTAATTAGGTTTTAATCAGAAAATGTAGCTGCTGTAAGGTAGGGAAGAAACCAAAAGGAGAATATTTGGATTTTTGAGGCCAGGCTTTATTTGGGCAAAATAAAAATTGGAAGTAGAGTGGGAGGTCAAGAGGAAAAAAACCAAAAGTTGTACAATGATTTTTGGGAAAGAATTAATTCCAGTTTTTGGTGAGGAATCCCATCCCAAAAATAGATTTTGACCCCAAAATCCTGCTCTGCACCCAGAGGAATTCCAAATTCCACCAAAACGAAAAATTTCATTTAATTGAAATAAAAATAAGAATGCACCTCTCCTGCAAAGGGCCAAAGTCAGAAGGAAAAATCCAAAGGAAAGATGACAGGAAGCAGGAATTGTCCAGCTCTACATTTATTGGATTGAACATTTCTACCAAAGTGACACCAAAACGGGGAAAAAATCTTCATTTTTCCTCTCCTGGGATGGAAAGCTGCACGGAAAGGAGGGAATCTGGGGTGGAATTCCAGGGAAAATCTGAAATTTGGGATGGAAAATCCAGACTTTGGGGTGGAATTCCAGGGACAATCTGAAATTTGGGATGGAAAATCCAGACTTTGGGGTGGAATTCCAGGGTAAATCCAGAATTTGCAATGGATTCCACAGAAAATCTGAAATTTGGGATGGAATTCCAGGGAAAATCCAGAGTTTGGGGCGGAATTCCATGGAAATTTTAAGTTTGGGGTGGAATTCCAGGGAAGATCTGAAATTTGGGATGAATCCCAGAGAAAATCCAGATTTTGGGGTGGAATTCCAAGGAAAATCCAGAGTTTGGGGTGGATCCCAGAGAAAATCTGGAATTTGGGAAGGAATTCCAGGGAAAATCTGAAATTTGGGATGGATCCCAGAGAAAATACAGAATTTGGGGTGGAATTCCAGGGAAAGTCCAGAGTTTGGGGTGGAATCCCAGGGAAGATCCAGAATTTGGGGTGAAATTCCAGGAAAAATCCGACCAAAATCCAGCAGAGACAGCACGGGAGGGAGGGGAGGGGCCCTGGGGTCTTCATGGAAGAGAGCCTGGAGCTGGAATGAGAGAAAAGAGGGAAAAAGGAGAAATGGAGGGGAAAGAGAGAGAGAAAAGAGAATAAAAGAGGAAGAATAAAACAGAAAAGGAGAGGGGGAAAACAGAGGGAAAAAACAGAGGGGGGAAAAATTTAGGGGAAAAGAGGGGAAAATAAGGGGGGAAAGAAGGGGAGAAAAGGGGAGAAAAAAAAGGAGGAAAAAAAGAGGAAAAAGAGGAAAACAAAGAGGAAAAAACGAGGGAAAAAAGAGAAAAAAAAGAAAAAAAAGAGAAAAAAATAGGAAAAAAAAAGAAAGAAAAAATAGGAAAAAAAGAAGGAAAAAAAAAAAAAGAGGAAAAAAAGAGGGGAAAAAAGAGGAGAAGAGATTCTCAGAAATCAGAGAAACTTCCACCAATGAAGATTTTGGGGTCGCAGAGCACAGAAGCCCCCCAGAAGGGCTGGAAGGATTTTGGGATTTGGGATTTTGGGATTTGGGATTATGGAATTTGGGGCCGCCCTGCACTCACCTACTTGCTGGCCCGTTTCTGCCGGTACATCTGCATCATCCTCTGGCGGAAAACGTCGAACGCGTCCTCCCGGTTCTCCTCCCCCGCCACTCCCAACCCCTCCCCCGCCGAGGTGGCGCCCCTGGGGGAGAAAATCTCACATCAGAACCAAAAATTCCCATTTTTCCCAGCAATTCCGCATCCTTCGGTGCCTGCTACAGCCAATTATTTGGAATTAAATTCAATTATTTGGAATTAAATTCAATTATTTGGAATTAAATTCGATTATTTGGAATTCTTCGCAATTATTTTGATTTTTTTTCAATTATTTTAATTTTTCCCCCCTAATTCCCATTAGAAGGTGAATTCCCAGTTGAAAAACCCGTATTCCCATTAAAACCCCCTATAAATCCCCCTATTTTCCCCTGTAAATCCCCCTGTTTTCCCCTATTAAACCCCCATATTGCCCACATTAAAAACCTGTATTTTCCCCTATAAATCCCCATATTTTTCCCTATAAATCCCCATATTTTCCCCTATTAAAACCAACTATTTTCCCCATTAAACCCCCATCTTTTCCCTCATATAACCCCCATATTGTCCCCTATAAATCCCCCTATTTTCCCCTATAAATCCCCTATTAAACCCCCATATTTTCTGCTATGCATCCCCTATTTTTCCCTATAAACACCCATATTTTCAGCCCCTATAAATCCTAAATTTCCCCTATAAATCCCCATGTTTTCCCCTATAAAACCCTCTATTTCCCCTATAAATTCCCTATAAACCCCCTACTTTTCCCCATGAAACCCCCCTATTTTCCCCTATAAATCCCCTATTTTTCCCTTTAAATCCCCCACTAAACCGCAATATTTTCCCCTATAAATCTGCCTACAAATCCAATATAAACCCCCATATTTCCCCCTCTAAATCCCCTTCTATCCCCCATTAAATCCCCATATTTCCCCCTATAAATCCCCATATTTTCCTCCATTAAACCCCCATATTTTCCCCCATAAATCCCCATATTTTCCCCCACAAACCCCCACATTTTCCCCCACATTTTCCCCACATTTTCCCCACAAACCCCCACATTTTCCCCATTAAACCCCCACATTTTCCCATATAAACCCCCACATTTTCCCCCACAAACCCCCACATTTCCCCCATATAAACCCCCACATTTCCCCCCACAAACCCCCTGTTCCCCCCTTACAGGTGGACGGGCTCGCGGATGCCGCGGCCGCGCGTGCCCAGGCCGTGCCCCTCCTGCCAGCCCATCCTCTGCAGCATCTGGAACCCCACGTTCCTGGGGCTCAGCCTCTTCGGGGGCACCTCCGGGTCCTTGGGTTTCTGGGGAAACGGGAAAGATCCGGGAAAAATCCGGGAAAAATCCGGGAACTGATCGGGCTGGGAGCGGGGAGGGTGACAGGGCTGAAATTCCCATCCAAACGGGGATAAATTGCATTTTTTTAATGGAAATTCCCCTTTTTTAGAAGGAATTTCCTTCATTTAAATGAGTTTTTAAAGGATTTTAAGAATTAATTTCCTTCTTTCCAGAAAAAAACAGATTTCCCCCCCACTTCCCCCAAACGATTTCTCATTTCTGGCTGGATTTTGGGGCAGAAATGTGAATTTTTTACCTTTTTCTTCTTTGTGATGGGGCAGCCCCGGGGTCTGTCATAAGCAATCCTGACAGGTTCGTGCACTGCAAGGCAAAGAAAGCCAAAATTCAGCTGGAAATTCCAATTAAACTCATTTTAATCAATTTAATTGGAATTTATTAATGAATCCAAATTAATTTATTCATTCCAATTAAATTTCAGCTGGTCATTCCAATTAAAAATTGGAGTTTTTCGGTCAAAAACTCCAAAGCACAACTAAAAAATCCTCCACAAAAATTGCATTTCAAGCCTGGACCTAAAACAGAAGCAAGAAGAGGAATTAGAAATAAAAATGAAATCATAAAAATAAAACCTAGCAATAAAAAAAGATCAGAAATAATTAAAAATTTTCAATCTAGAATCAATTTAATATAAATATATGCTCAGACAATATGGGAAGATGTTTGATACAAACTTTGCTGTTGGCCTATTTGTTCAGCTTCTCTTTTTAAAGTGAATTTTGGGTTCATTTTTGTGTTGAAAAATGCCATTTTTAAGTGACAAAACACCTAAAAACTCAAGATTTTTGCCCAAATTCTCTTCTATTTTAATATAAAAGTGAAATATTTCAATTCCCACTAACCTTTGGGCTCCTGGACGAGGCAGATCCTTTGTCACTTCAGTGAAGACTTCAAGTGAATTTTGTATTAAAAAATGTGATTTTTCAATCAACAACACCTTAAAACTCAGGATTTTTACCCAAAAACTCAGGATTTTTGCCCAAATCCTCTTTTATTTCAGTATAAAACCGAACCATTTCAATGGCCACTGACCTTTGGGCGCCTAGATGCTTTTGGGGCTGGGATCATCCCAACTTTCAGGGACTTGGAGCTGAATTTTTTATTAAACAAATGCCATTCTTTAAAGTGACAACACCTAAAAATGGGGATTTTTGCCCAAATGCTGATTTATTTCAGTATAAAATATATTTTTTTCAATTCTTACTGACCTTTGGGCTCCTGGACGAGGCAGACCCGTTTTGGAGCGGGATAAAGCCCACCTTCAGCGACTTGGAGCTGACGCTTTTGCATTAAAGAAATGTGAATTTTTACAGGTCAAAACACCTATAAAATGGGGATTTTTGCCCAAATGCTGATTTATTTCAGTATAGAAGTGAAATATTTTGATTCCCACTGACCTTTGGGCTCCTAGGACGAGGCAGACCCGTTTGGGGCGGGGATCAGGCCCACCTTCAGCGACTTGGAGCTGAATTTCGTATGGGGATTTTTGCCCAAATCCTGTTTATTTTACTATGAAATATATTTTTTCCAATTCCCACTGACCTTTGGGCTCCTGGACGAGGCAGACCCGTTTGGGGGCGGGGATCAGGCCCACCTTCAGCGACTTGGAGCTGACGCGTTTGCGGGGGAAGCGCGCGCCGGGGGCCGGGCCGGGTGCCTGTGTCGACAGATTTGGGACAGCGCCGTCAGGGGGGCTGGAGAGCCGCACGTCACCTCCTGCCATCTCCTCTCCTGCTCTGGACACCAACTCTTCCTCTAGGTCTGCCACCCTTCTACCTGCTGCCACGTCCTCCTCATCATCCTCCTCATCCTCCGCAGGTTGGGAGGGTTCAAACTCAGCTTCTTCCTCTTCTTCTTCTTCCTCTTCTTCTTCCTCTTCCTCTTCATCCTCCTCGTCCTGCTGGAGCTGCAGGGCTGTGCCTGCGGCGGGGGCAGCTCCTGCAGCCTCGGGGCTGAAGGTGATGGAGGGACACAGCTCCAGAACTTTCCGCCGGTAGAACTGGAATGCGGGGCTGGTCGGATCCTGGAGGAACCTGAGAGGGGAAGTGAAGGGTGAAAATGTGGAGGGGTAAGGTCAGAAATGTAGGGGAATAAGGGTAAAAATGCAGAGAAATAAGGTCAAAAAGTCCAGGGGAAATAAGGGTAAAAATGCGGGGGGGAAAGGGTAAAAATGAAGGGGAATAAGGGTAAAAATAAAGGGGAATATAAAGTCAAAAATGCAGAGAAATAAGGTCAAAAAGTCCAGGGGAAATAAGGGTAAAAATGCAGGGAAATAATGTCAAAAATGCAGGGGAAAATAAGGCAAAAAATGCAGGGGAAATAAGGTCAAAAGTCCAGGGGAAACAAGGTCAAAAATGCAGGGGAATAAGGGCAAAAATGCAGGGGAATATAAGGTCAAAAAGCCAGTGAAATTAAGGTCAAAAAGCCAGGGAAATTGAGGTCCAAAGCAGATTTTCTTCAGCTGGAGTGATGCAAGATTTTAGGAATTTCCCCTGCAGCTGATGGTCAGCAACACCCCCAGACTCCTGGGAAGAAGGAACTCAGTGGGAAGAATTAATTAATTACTTGAAAATACTTAATCAATTCATTAGAAATAGTTAATCAATTCAGTGGGAATAATGAACTTAATTCATTGGGAAGAATTCATCAATTCATTGGGAAGAATTCATCAATTCACTGGGAAGAATTAATTAATTGGAAAGAATGAATTATATCAGTGGGAAAAATTAATGAATTTATTGGAAATAATTAATGAATTCATTGGGAAGAATGAATTCAGTAGGAAGAATTAATGGATTCATTGGGAAGCACGAAATGAATTCATTGGCAAGGATTAATGAATTCATTGGGAAGAATGAATGAATTCATTGGAATCTTGAACATTCAAGTTTCAGGCTTGATTAGGACCAAAACGAAATCCAGCTGATGATCAGGAATCGCACATTTAAGCGCGGATGGGATTTCCCCTGAGGGATTTCAGCTATTCCCAGAACAGAGGAGCACTGCCCCAAAATCCCGTGTCCCTGGAGCCCAACAGCAGAATTCCAGCAGGGAGGGTGGGCTGGGCTCACCAGAGCTCGGGGCTGTCGGCGCTGTGGGCGATGCTGAACTGCTCCATCTCGGGGCCCTCCTGGGCCACGAACCTGGCCAGCCTCTCCGCAGTGTCCCTGCTCCTGGCATCCACTGCGGGGACAGACATCCTGAGACGGGGCAGGGGCTCCAAAATTCACATTAAACACTCGGGCTCTGGCACTCCCAGCGGGAACTCCTCTTGGCACAGAAACATGGAAATTCTTTTGGAAATCCCAGCAGAACTGCTTTGTGCATTGCAGGAGAAATTTGGGTTTGTTTTTTCTTGATGGTATTTAAAATTTCAAATCTAACCCCACACCAGTGCAGCTGAGAACTTCCCACTTCAGAATTAAACACACGGGCTCTGGGATTCCCAGTGGGAACTCCTCTTGGCACAGAATCATGGAAATTCTTCTGGGAATTCCAGCAGAACTGCTTTGTGCATTGCAGGAGAAATTTGGGGTTTGTTTTTTCTTGATGGAATTTAAAATTTCAAATCTAACCCCAAACCAGTGCAGCTGAGAACTACCCACTCTATAAATACAGAATTAAAGAAATGATCTGGGGTTTCCAGCAGGAATTTCTGTGAATTGCAGCAGTTTGTTTTTCCTGGACACAATTGAACATTCCCAATCGGTTTTTTTCCTGCTATGATTTAAAATCCCAAATCTAACCCCAAATCAGTGCAGCTGAGAACTTCCCACTCTATAAATACAGAATTAAAGAAATGTTTGGGGTTTCCAGCAGGAATTTTTGTAAATTACAGAAGACGTTTGGGGTTTTTTTCTGGACACAATTTAAAATCCCAAATCTAACCCCAAACCCGTGTAGCTGACAACTTCCCACTCCATAAATACAGAATTAAAGAAATGATGTTTGGGAATTAAAGAATTAAATAACTGGTGTTTGGGGTTTCCACCACAGAATTACAGAAATGCTGTTTGGGGTTTCCAGCAGGAATTTTTGTGAATTGCAGGAGAAGTTTGGCTGTTTTCCTGGACACAATTTAAAATTTCAAACCTAGCTGTCAGCTCTTTCCCCTGCCAGGCTCCCAAACCCCCAGCGGAACCCCAAATCCTCACTCACCATCGGCACACGGCGAGCCCGGGGCTGGCAGAGGCTCGGGAGACGCTGCTGAGGGCTCAGGAGATGCCCTGTCCTGCCCTGGCATGGGCACCTGGCAGCTGCTGGCACCCTGGGCAGCACCCTGGGCAGCACCCGGAGCCACCCCGGGCTCCGTGGGGGCACCCTGCGCCTGGACTGGCCCTGGGGGGTTTGGGTCCGGCTGCTTCAGCACCGTCCCCGCTGAGAGCAGGGTCTGGGTGGCCCTGCTGGCCCTCCTCACCCTCCTGGCCCTGCTGGCACGGGGAAGGGCAGTGCCAGGCTTCTTTTTCCTCTTGAAAAGTCTCCTTTTGATGCTGGCCACCCTCCTGGCATAGAGCAGGGCCCGCAGGGACTCTGGGGCTGCTTCCTCCCCGGGCTGGCTCCTCCTCTGCACCTCGGAGAGCCGCAGCCTGTAGTACTTGTACTCCAGGCTGTCCTCGTCACACAGGAACCTGGGAAACACAGAAAAGGGAGAGATCTGCTGAAAATCCCCATTTCTACAGCCCCAGCCTGTAGTACTTGTACTCCAGGCTGTCCTCGTCACACAGGAACCTGGGAAACAGAAAACAAGTGAGAAATCTGCTGAAAATCTCAATTTTTACAGCCCCAGCCTAGTGAGATTTGTATTCCTTGTCACATAGGAACTTGGGAAACAGAAAACAAATGAGAAATCTGCTGAAAATCCCCATTTTTACAGCCCCAGCCTGTAGTACTTGTACTCCAGGCTGTCCTCGTCACACAGGAACCTGGGAAACAGAAAACAAATGAGAAATCTGCTGAAAATCCCCATTTTTACAGCCTCAGCCCGTGAGATTTGTACTCCTTGTCACACAGGAACCTGGGAAACACAGAAAAGGGAGAGATCTGCTGAAAATCTCCATTTTTACAGCCTCAGCCTAGTGAGATTTGTACTCCAGGCTCTCCTCATAACACAGGAACCTGGGAAACAGAAAATAAATGAGAAATCTGCTGAAAATCTCCATTTTTACAGCCTCAGCCTGTGAGATATCTAATCCTTGTCACACAGGAACCTGAGAAACACAGAAAAAGAAGAGATCTGCAGAAAATCTCCATTTTTTAAGCACAAAACCCCTCAGCATTCCAGCTGGTTTGTTTTTTCCAGGTGTTTAGCACGAGGCTGAGCAGGTTTTTCTGGGATCAAGGAAATAAATGCTGGAGGGGTTGGACAGGAATGAATCAGCTGACACACCTGGAGGTGCCTCAGCTCCCCCTTTTCCAACATTTTCCCTGGAATTCTAAACCCTGTTACCTTGCTGGATGCCTCCATCACCCGACTTTGCTCCTAAAATCCAAATTGCTTTGAACATCTCGAATTTGGGTCGACAGAGAGCCATTATTGGCACATCAAAAGCAACACCACAAACACCAGGATCATTTCCAGGGATAATGAACTCCAGGAAAACATTCCCCCACTTAAAAAAAAAAAAACAAAAAACCAAAACTGATTAAATATACAACAGGCTTTGATCAATCCCACCGAGTGAAGGGCTGAAGTTTTAATTCTATCAAGTCCAAATTTCCCCCACACCCACCAATATTCAGGAGAGTTCTTCTGAGCACTCCTGTCCTTGGCAGACAGAGTTCCTGACACGATGCTGCTCACCAGCTGCTCAATGGTGTCCACAACTTTCCTGTCAGCTCGCTGGGGGGCTGTGGGGAGAAAGAAATCCCATTAAAAAACAAAAAAAAACACATTAAAATAAAATAAATCCCATTAAAAAAAACACCCACTCCTTGCTTTATTCTCATCCAGCAGCAGTGCATCCCTCCCAATCTAAAATCAGTGAAAACTCCACATTTGAACTGCAATTCTGCACATGTTTGTTATTAAAAACACCCTGGTCTAAAAAACCACATCCAGAACCACCCTGGGCAAGTGGAATCATCCTTAAAAAGGCAATTTCTTAATGCAGCAAAAAGATTTTTTTGTGGAAAATCAGTTTATTTGAATGCTGCTCTGAAGGGCTGAGTGACAGATTTTCAACCATTTGCAAAACCTCCCCGAGAAAGGATCTGAGGCTCAAGAAAAAAAAACCAGTTTTTTGGGGAAAAAATCAGGATGAATTAGGAAAAACCAGGATGAGCAGGAATGTTTCAGGCAGGAGGAATCACTGCCCAGCTCAGGGATGGGATATGAACATCTCCAAAGGAATGCACCTAGATCTGATTTCAGTGCTGATGCTGACATCTCCATATTTGCATATATGCAAATATTTACTCTGTGATTAAGCCAGTTCCAGGTTGGTCCTGGTTTTCCTGCCTTGAGGTGGTGAAACTGAGGTGAAAATCTTGGATTTAAGGTCTAAGCAGGTGCCAGAAAGAAAAGGAAGGACATGATTTCACCCCAGAAACTTCCACCCTGCTGGGATTTACCTGGAATTCCCTCCCTGACTGGGAGTCACCTGGAATTCCAGCTCTGCCCCAGCTTTGATTTGGATTCATCTGGAATTCCCTCCCTGCTCCTGTTCTGACTTGGATTCACCTGGAATTCCTTCCTTGACTGGGATTTACCTGGAATTCCACCCCTACCTCTCTTTCGACTGGGATTCACTTGGAATTCCCTCCCTGCTCCTGTTCCCACTGGGACTCACCTGGAATTCCCTCCCTGCTCCAGCCCTGACTGGGATTCACTTGGAATTCCCTCCCTGCTCCTGTTCTGACTGGGATTCACCTGGAATTCCAGCCCTGCCTCAACTTTGATTTGGATTCATCTGGAATTCCCTCCTTGACTGGGATTCACCTGGAATTCCACCCCTACCTCTGTTTCGACTGGGATTCACCTGGAATTCCCTCCCTGCTCCTGTTCCCACTGGGATTCACTTGGAATTCCCTCCCTGCTCCTGTTCTGACTGGGATTCACCTGGAATTCCCTCCCTGCTCCTGTTCCCACTGGGATTCACCTGGAATTCCCTCCCTGCCCCAGCCCTGAGTGGGCCTCCCCTGGAGTTCCCAGAGTCAGGAATTCCTGACCCCAAAATCGAACCCCCTCCTGCGAAGCATCCCCCTCCCCGTTACCTTTGCTGCCGGGGGCGGCTGCTGGGAGCTGCTCCGCGGCTCCTGCCTCCCCTCTCTTCATCTGGATGGGATAGCCGCTCTTCTCCAGCCAGGCCTTCAGGTTCTCGATGTACTCCCTGCCGAAGAGTGTGGAATCGTCGAAATTGGGGAAGGCCGTGGGCGCCGGGGCCATCTCCTGCAGCCCCACGGCCTCCAGGATCTTCTCCTGCCGGAAGACGGAGGCCAGGGCGAAGGTCTGGCCCAGCAGGGCCAGGGACTTGCGGCACAGGGACACGGTGGTCTCCAGGGCGCCGGCCACGTCGCCAGGGTGGCCGAAGCCGTTGGTTTTCACGCTCAGCTCGTAGGCGTTGCAGGCCATCAGCAGCGGGGTCACCCCCTTGAGGAGGCGGTCCTGCAGCCTCATGATGTACTTGTCGAAAGGTTTGATGATCTCGAAGAAGCAATTCTTGGTTTTCACGGCTCCCTTGTCCAGCAGCATGTTCAAGAACTCGTTGTCCACCTTGGGGGTTTTCAGGGCGGCGTGCTGCAAGCTCCTGATGGTGAAGAAGCAGTAATCCCGGTGCTCCGGCCGCAGGGAGCACTTGAAGGAGGCCAACATCTTGGCACAGGTCTCGGTCTCCAGCTCGAAGAGGGCCCCGAAGAGCCGCGAGAACTCGGCGTCGTTTTTGATGGCGTGGAACCCGGCCCACTTGATGATCTCCACGCCGAAGGTGGAGAAAATGTCGGATTTATCCACCAGGTCGAAGCTGAGGCTCCTGGAGACGTGGTCGGGCTTCGGCAGCCTCAGGACGGGCCTCTGGGCCGCCCCGGGGTGCGGGGGCAGCTGGGGGCCGGGGCGCTGCTGGAGGGGCTCGGCGACGTCCAGAGGCTGATCCAGAGCGTCGGCATCCAGGCCTGGCTGGGCTTTCTTCAAGCCCCACTTCTTCAGGGGGCTTCTGAGCTCTCCTTTGAACACTTTGGGTTTCACCACCCCCCTGGCCGGGCGCTTTCCCCGCAGGACTCTCCCCCTGCCCACGCCTCCCCTGCGCGGCGGCGCCCCGAACTCCTCCTCGTACTCGGGGTCCTCCGCGCCGCCAAACTCCTCCTCCACCGGCCCGGGCGGCCCGAAATTCCCCAAAACATCCGGGGAGCCAAATCCTGCTCCGGCCTCCCAGGAATCTGCAGGGCCGTAACCCTGCGGGTACTCCCGGTCCCGCTGCCCGTACTCGTGGTGCCCGTACTCCCTGCTGGGGGCAGCTCCACGGCCAAATTTCCCGTAATCCCGGGCGAATTCCTGCTCCCGGGGCGCGGGCCGGGAGAAGTGTCCGTGGAAATAATTCTCCTTGCGGAGCAGGGGGCTGGCGGCTCTGTAGGAAGGGCCGGGGTAGTTTTCCCCGGGGTAGTTTTCCCCGGGGTAATTCTCTCCAGGATAATTCTCTCCAGGATAATCCTCCCCAGGGTAGTTTTCCCCAGGATAATCCTCCCCGGGATCCTCGCTCCAGTCCTCGTGCTGGCAGTTGGCGTGAGGGAAGCGCCCGTCGTGGTGGAAGCTCTCGTTGTAGCGGGGCCGGGGCAGCGGCCGGGAGTGAGCTGGGCAAAGAAATTTTAGAGGTTGCAAAGAGATCAAAACTGGGGAGAGTTCTGAAGGATATCCATATCACCATATTCCCATTCCCATGTTCCAATCCCTAAATTCAGGAGCTCGATTTCTCCTCCAAATCAAGTATTTCTTTGCTCATCGCCGTCTCAAGCCTTCTACCTGAGGCATAAAATCCATCAAAACTCTGAACTTTCGGCTTTCCCAGAATTTAGAAACTGTCAAAGACCTCCAAGACCAGCAATTCCAAGCTTTGGCCAATCCCCACCTTGTCACCCAGAATTCCCAGGAGGAATTCTACAGCTGGACAGACATTCGGATCTTCTACAAACTCAACCACAATTCTCTTGCTATTGCAGGAAATTCTCATTATCCAAAACCTTCGTTCCCCAAGCCCAGAAGTTCAATTCAGAAAATAAATACTTGGCAAAAAATAGAAGTGTTTAATATAAATGATTTCTTCAGGGCTCATACAAGTCTAAAAATAACAGACTTCATTTTAAAGCTCTCCTATGAACGTCCACCCCTGCCAATGCAATCCAAGTGTCTGGCTGGAGATTTTAAATCCCAAATTTAGGAGGTAAAATAATTTGGGGACCGCATTTTGCATTATGTTCATGAGGTTAATGCCCTGCTTTGAGATTCATCCCCCAAAACCAAGACCAAACACAAAGCCCCAAAGGCTTCCAGCACACTCCTACATTGATTTAACTCATCAGCCATCACCAGCATTCCATCCTGGCGCATGGAGCCCTGCCTGGAACCGGACCCGCTCTGTGAGGCTGAGCAGAATTCCTTTGTCTGAATTCCCGTTTTTTCCCCGTTCCCATTCCGGTGCCGATCCTTTCCCCAGCACGAAAATGGATGTGGGAAAGCAGCACCGTGAGGCGATCGATGGCGGGCGCCGCTCCCCCTACCTCGGAAGGGATGCGCGGCGTCCCCCGGGGCCGCGCTCCGCTCCAGGCGGTACCGCGGAACTTTGTCCTGCGCCGCGGCCTCCAGCGCGGGCCGGGGCATCCTCCGTGAGGCCATCTTCCCCTCCCGGTGCGGCGGCGCGGCGCGGCGAGGCCTGGCCCCGCTCCTGAGGGACGCGCGGCCTGAGGGGAGCTCACGCTGGCCCTGGCAGCGCCGGCGGAGAGAACGGGCAGAGAACGGGGAGGGAACGGAGCCGAGCGGAGCCCGAGCCCAGCCCGCCCTCACCGGGCGCCGCCGCCGCCGCCACACCGGGGCCTCACAATGGCCACGCCCCTTTCACCGGCGGACACGCCCCTCCCGCCATGGCCACGCCCCTCCCGGGGCTAACGGAGCGCCACGCCCCCTGATAGACCACGCATATAATTTGTATAACCACGCCTCTAATTTGTATAATCACGCCTCTAATTTGTATAACCACGCCTCTAATTTGAATAATTACGCATCTGATTTGTATAACCACGCCTCTGATTTGTATAGCCACGCCTCTAATTTGTATAACCACGCCATTAATTTGTATAACCACGCCTCTAATTTGTATAAACACGCCTCTAATGTGTATAACCACGCATATAATTTGTATAACCACGCCTCTAATTTGTATAACCACGCCTATAATTTTGTATAACCACGCCTCTAATTTGTATAACCACGCCTATAATTTGTATAACCACACCTCTAATTTGTATAACTACGCCTATAATTTGTATAACCACGCCTCTAATTTTTATAAACACGCATCTAATTAGTATAAACACGCCTCTAATTTGCATAACCACGCCTTTCCTCCGCGCGGGCCGCGCCTCCTCACGCCTTAACCACGCCCCCGCGTCTCCGCCGCGCCTGCGCTGAGCGGAGGCGCCTCGTCCGCCCTACGCCGGCGGCGGGAGCGGGGCGGTGCTAACAGCGCGGGCGCGCTGCCGGTAAGCGGGACGGGAGCGAGGGGAGCGGCCTGTGTCTCTGAGGGAGCGGCCGGGCAGGACCGGGGACGCTGCAGCGGGGCGCGGCAGCCGCGGGAGCGGCGGCGGCGGCGGCAGCGGCGGCGGCGGGAGCGGCGCGCATGCGCAGTACCGCCCCCCCGCGCTCTTTTTCGCGAGGCGTGAGGGCGAGCGGCGTGAATTTGGGTGGGGGCGCATGCGCATGGAGCGCCTACGGCGGCTGGGTGGGGCCGCGCCGCCCGCGCGGTTCGTGCGGCGGGAGCGCAGGTGGGTCGTGAGGGGAGCGGGGCCGGGGCGCTGCCGCGGCTCCCCCGGTGCTCCCCCGCCGCTCCCCCGGTACTCCCCCGGTACTCCCCCGGTGCTGCCGCCGCTCCCCCGGCACCACCGCCTTCCCTCGGGAGCGCTGAGGGGTGCGGGGTGCCCGGGGAAGCGGGGCGGGCGGGCCGAGGGCCGGGCGCGGTGCCCTCGGTGCTGCAGCGGGAGCCGCGTCACGGTGCTGAAATCGCACCTAAATCCGTTAAATATTGCTGAAATATCTCCTTATTCCTCTGCCCGGCCGCGTTTTCCCCGTTGAATCAACCCAGCCGTCGGTTGGGTGTCGTTGATGCAGAGTTTCAGGTTTTGTCTCCGACATGGCTTTCGAGCTGAACGTATTTTATGTTCTGTCCTTATATAATTTACATCTCAATGATTAAACTTATTTAGGTGCTCCTTGAAGCGCGTATCTTATTCCTAAAAAAAAACTTCCCCCACATACAGTCTTTATTTTAACAGTATGTTGGAACCTAAAACTATATTTAACACACTACTTAAGAGAATTAATACAGCATAACTTTCTAACATTGCACATATAGTATTCATTGTAATATTTGCAAAAAGCCAATCATAAAATATGCATTTTTCACACTTACATTGTTCTATTGTATACTTTGACTTTATTCAAGAATGAGTTTCTCATTATGTTTCTTAAGCTTCTGACCACAGTTTCTCGTGATTATTCTTACGATTATATTTATTTATTATAATTATATTATTATTATTGTATTTAGTACTTATATTTAGTTATTAAACAATCATCATATCTAAAAATTATATAATTTATCCTGTACTAGCTACACAGGTGCAGTTCTAGCAAGTACAAGGCCTGCACGTTCCCAGGGTGTTTTCTCAAGGCGTGTTGAGATTAATTTTCCTCCTAAGACTAATCCCCATGATTTTAAAATGTTTTCTCATCAGTGGCAGAAGATGGGCTCCAGGCAGATCGCCCAGGAGACGTTTGACGAGGCGGTGCAGGAGAACATCACCGAGTTCCAGATGGAGCCCGAGGAGGCCGTGAGGGAGGCGGTGCAGCAGTTCCAGTCCCAAGGTGACTGTGGAAACTCTCCAACTTTTACAAACCCCAGGCTTTAAAGGATCCTGCAGCACGGCAAAGGAGCCTTTGTGAAGTGCAACACAGGCACCATTAATGCTGACCTGCTTTTGTGGGTTAATCATGACTGCAAACTGCTTAGAGGGAAGCTGGAGGGCAAAATTTGGTCAGTGAAATTAAATTCTTTCTTTTTTTTCTCCCCATCAAATGACATCCAGCTTTGTTCCAGGCAGAATCTGACCCTGATCACTTCAGCATCTTCACAAGTTCATCTTTGTTCTCTGTGGTTGCCTTGGCAGCTTTTCCCTAGAACTGGAACTAATACAGTTTATTTGACTCTGATTATCCTGGAACCAATATTCAGCTTGGTTTTATTTCCCCTTCTAGGTGTGGACCTGAGCAATATTGTGAAAGCTGTGCGACCTGTCTCTGAGAACGGGCAGAGGCAAAAGCATCAAATCCTGCTGGTAGGGGCTCAAATTGTTGCTCTCTCTTGCGGTTATATAATAATAATAATAATAACAATATAAGTACTAGGCCAACTTCTGCCCCTGCCCCATTTCTCCGGGAGCTCTCCAGGCAGTTAATCCCATTTTTTCTGGAAGGATGAAACGCTCCAAGAGCTCCCTGCACTTTTCAGGGAAGGCTCTGTGTGAGTGAGGCGGGGTGGGGCTCTGCTCCCGGGGCAGGACAGGAGGGAACGGCCTCAGGGTGTGCCAGGGGAGGCTCGGTGGGACATCAGGAGAGGAGGTTTGGGGTCCCCTGAGGTGCCCAGCAGTGACAGGACGTGGCACTGGGCTGGGGACAGGGTGGGGATCAGCCCTGCTCAGCCCAGCCTGGCTGTGGGCGCTTGCAGAGCTGCAGTGTGCTGCTCAGAGCCCGCTCAGCTGGTGCTGCTCAGCCCGGTGCCTGCTGGGGCTGTGCCAGAGGTGGCAGAGGGAGCCCCTGTCCCTGCGGGGGTGGCGTGCACGGAGCCATAACAGCACAAGCACCGCTCCTTTCACACCAACCCGATTTCCAGCCTCACAATGACCAGCTTGCTGTCACTTGCTGTCATTGCTGTCCCTCCTGTGTGTCCCGCAGAGCCTGGAGAGCCTGGGCAGAGCCGTGGCGGAGCAGGACGTGGCGCAGCTGCCCGAGCTGCTGGCGGCGCTGGCGGCGCAGTGCAAGCAGGAGCCGGCGTGCCGCTGCCTGGCCGCCCGGCACGGCGCTTACCCCACGCTGCTGTCGGCGTGCCAGCTGGCTGCGGGGCACGGGGCCGCGCTGCCCGCCGCGCTGGGCGCGCTGGCCGCGCTGCTGGACGGGCAGCCCGAGCTGCTGGACGCGCCGGGCCGGGAGCTGCTGCTGCGGGGCCTGCGGGAGCGCGAGGCGGCGCTGGCCGGGCTGCGCTGCGTGCGCCACGCCTGCCTCCGCCACGAGCACAACCGGCAGGCCTTCGTCAGCGCCGGCGTCCTGCCGCTGCTCACCGCGGCCATCGCCCAGCACGGCGGCGACGCCGAGCTGGTCAGGGCGGCAGCCGCCACCCTGCGCGCCATGACGCTGGACGACGACATCCGTGTGCCCTTCGGGCACGCCCACGAGCACGCCAGGATGATCGTCCTGGAGAACGACGGGCTGAGGGTGCTCATCGAGGCTGCCAGAGGTACAGCGGGCCTGGGGGCGTCAGTCCTGCTGGGGAGGCACTGGGGTTCCTTCTTGTCTCGGGAGTCACTGGTGGCTGCTTCTCCCGTTGTCTCAGGAATCATTTGTGGTTTCTTCTCCCATCGTCTTGGGAGTCACTTGTGATTTCTTCTCTCAGGAATCACTTGTGATTTCTTCTCTCAGGAATCACTTGTGATTTCTTCTCTCAGGAATCACTTGTGATTTCTTCTCTCAGGAATCACTTGTGATTTCTTCTCATTATCACAGGAATCACTTGTGATTTCTTCTCCCATTGTCTCAGGAGTCACTTGTGATTTCTTCTCATTGTCTCAGGAGTCACCTGTGATTTCTTCTCTCACTGTCTCAGGAATCACTTGTGATTTCTTCTCCCATTGTCATAACTTGAAGATCCTCAGAGGGGATTCAAGAATTTGTCACTCAAATGGGGTTGTTTAATTCTGTCCATAAAATGTGGCCTGAGAGAGCCAAAAAATGCCACTGTGCTGCTGCTGCTGCTACCCTGTGAGCAGTGAGGTGATCAGAGGCGTTTTCCACTGTATTTAGGAAGCATTTTACAGGTTTAGGGCCCTCTTGTCTCTGCTCAGGTGCTCCTTACCCAGAGAAGACATTGTGCCTGGCTAGGAGCAGAGTGAGCAGGTGTCACCCTGCTGTTGTGATCTGTAAAATGAAATCCAGAGTTTCCTGTGCCATTAATCAGAGTAAAGCGCGTTCACTGTGCAGTAATTGACTCCCTCTCTGCTCCAGCCTTCAGGGATGACTGCGGGGTTCTCAGCGAGCTCTGTGCCACCCTCTCTCGCCTCGCTGTCAGGAATGAGTTCTGCCAGGAAATCGTGGACCTTGGGGGCTTGAATTTCTTGGTGACTCTGCTGGCAGACTGCGTGGAGCACCCGGTGAGCTGTGGGAGTGTTTTGGGAGTGGGCTGGGGGGAACTTCTCATCCTGAGCAATGAGGTTCGTGTTCATGAGCGAGCCTTAGCCTGTGCAATCAGGTTTGGAGCCCCTCTGATCCCTATTCACCCCATACATGCAGAATTCAACGCTCTGCAGGTAAAATTTGTGCGTTTTTTACTCAGAATCATCCCTGTGCCCTCCAGCTTCCAGCAGCAGAACTCTGCCTGCTCCCAGAAAAGCTGAATGCTTGGTTTTCCACCAAAAAGAGATTTTTTTGCTTTTTCCACCAGAGAGATTTTAAACAAAGGATGTTTAAAATCAAGTCCCAGAGGGTGATGTCTGAATTTTGGATTTTTTGGAGACCTGGCAGAGGTCTCGGAGGTCCCTTGTGCGGCGAGGAAGCGACCGAGGGTGGAGTTGTTGCAGCTGATGATTTCCAGAGCCGTTTTCACGGCGTGGGGGGATGTTGGCTGTGCTTTGCAAGCTCTCAGGCTCTCCCTGCTGCCCCTGAGCTGCTGTTTCCCCGGAGCAGGACGTGGTCAGGCAGGTGCTGGGCGCCCTCCGCGCCGTGGCCGGCAACGACGACGTCAAGGACGCCGTGGTCAGCGCCGGGGCCACCGACCTCATCGTGCTGGCCATCAACCGCCACCTGGGCAACCCTCAGGTACCCCTGGGTGCCCCAGGTACCCTCCAGGGTTTGGGAGTTCCCTCTGGGTGGGGATGGAGCTCAGCTGGAGCTGCAGGGTGTGTGTGTGTGAGCGGGAATGGGGAAACCTGCAACGCCCGGCTGTGGAGCGTGCAGTATTTGTGTGAATTTAGGGTTTTTCCACAGTGTATTGGTTTATTTTCCTTATTTCTGAATCAGATGGTTAGTGGGGATGGTGTTTTACACTCTGGTGTGCAAAACACAGAGTCATGAAAGTTGGAATTATCTCTAAAATCATTATCCAACCCTCCCCTTGCTTTACGTGCGGGACGCCGCAGCGGGAGAAACTTTAATTTAAACAGTAAAACCAGCTCCAAAAGTGCCCTAAAGGGGAAGACACCCCACTTTTACCTGTCTGCGAGGCAGCTCTGCGGCAGTGAGGGTTTTTGCCTGTGTGTTGCAGATCTGTGAGCAGGGCTGTGCAGCCCTGTGCATGCTGGCCCTGCGCAAGCCCGAGAACTGCAGCGTCATCGTGGAGGGCGGCGGGGCCCTGGCAGCCCTGCAGGCCATGAAGGCTCACCCAGGAGAGGCAGCTGTGCAGGTAAGCCCCTCACAGCCCCTGCTGAGTCTGGCAGGGCTGCTTTGGGGGCTGTTCATCTGTTTTTTGGGATTTTTCCTCCTTGTGCTCATCAAATCCTGCCGGGTTTTGAATGCGTTGGGAGGGCAGCGGCTCAGTGCAGCCCCCCTGCATTTGTCACCCTGAGCTGCTCAGAGCAAAACTGAATTGAGCTTTCAAATCCACCTGAATGCAGGTTCTTAAAACTGTGCAATGCCAGTTCCAGGCACTCCTTTTCCTCAGAAAGAGGATGGGCTCTTTCCAGCCCAGCCTGTGCCATCCGTTCTCCAGAGTCAAACCAACCACCTGCATGGCAAGAAGATTGCCTCTGGTTTCTCCTGCAGGTTTCAGCAGGTTCTGTGTCCACTTTGGTGCTTTCCACATGTTAAAAAATAGAAAATAATTTCTGAAGGAGTAGTTTGAGTGCCTGGAACAGCATGGAAAGGCAGGGCTGCTGTACTGGAGAATTTTTTGTGTTATATAAGAATTAATTGGTATTGCCTGGCTGGTGTTGGAGATTTGCACAGAACTCTTGTTGTCTAAACTTCAACAGGGGAAAAACATCCACGGATTTTATTCCTGTGGAGAACAGTTGCTCTGTAGCATCTCACATTTGGGCTTCTCAGGAAATACTCTTTAGCTGATTTGCTCTGTGCATGCCAAAACCCTCCATGGCTGCATTTCCCTGCAAAGCCCCTGGGCTTGCCTCAGGAGCCCAGTGACCTCCCTGCAAAGCCCAGTGACCCCTGGACCTGCCTGCAAAGCCCAGTGACCCCTGGACCTGCCTGCAAAGCCCAGTGACCCCTGGGCCTGCCTGAGGAGCCCAAAACTGACCCCTGGGCTTCCCTCAGGAACCCACTGACCTCCGTGCAGAGCCCAAAACTGACCCCTGGGCTTGCCTGCAAAGCCCACTGACCCCTGGGCCTGCCTGGAGGGTCCCCGGACGTTCCTGCAGAGCCCACCCTGACCTGTGCTCCCCTCCCCAGAGGCAGGCGTGCATGCTGCTGCGGAACCTGGTGGCGCGCAGCCGGGAGCTGCGCGGGCCCATCCTGGCCATGGGCGCGGAGCCGCTGATCGCCGAGGCGCGCGCCCTGCACCGCGACTGCGACGACGTGGCCAGGGCCGCCCTCAGGGACCTGGGCTGCCACGTGGAGCTGCGGGAGCTCTGGACGGGCCAGAAGGGCAGCCTGGCCCAGTGAAGCCTCCTCTCAGCCCAGCAGGGAAGATCCGGAGTGTCCACAGCCCCTGGAACGCGGTGGGAACGGCGTGGATGGTTCTGCCCGGCGCCCCGCTGGAACACCCAGTTCAGGAGCTGCAGGGAGCTTTTCTCTGGGGAGCTACAGCTGGAACGGCTTTCTGCACCCACAGGCTGCAAACCAGCTCTGTGTGCTGATATTCCCTGGACCACATAATGGCTGAAGATGATCTGCTCCCCCCTGGCATCCCTGGCGTGCAGCACAGGGCTGTTGTCACTGCTCTGATCCCGTGGTGACAGCGGCGCTGGCTCTGTCCTGACCAGGGTTTGGAGCAGGGCTGGCTCTGTCCTGCCCAGACTTTGGGACCAGGGTTGGCTCTGTCCTGCCCAGAGTTTGGCACCAGGTTTGGCTCTGTCCTGCCCAGAGTTTGGCTCTGTCCTGCCCAGAGTTTGGAGCAGGGCTGGCTCTGTCCTGCCCAGAATTTGGAGCAGGGCTGGCTCTGTCCTGCCCAGAGTTTGGCACCAGGGCTGGCTCTGTCCTGCCCAGAGTTTGGCTGCTGGTTTCCATCTGTTCCTCTGGCTGAGGAGGAATCCCAGCGTTTGTGCATGTGCTCTCTCTGTTCTTTTCCTGCTGAGCCCACTCTTGTGTTGCTGCTTTGTTTGGGATTTTTCCACCAGCGTAACGTTTTAAACAAAAAAGAAAAAAACCCCAAAAGAGCAAAGTGAGGATTTGGGATAATACCCAAAGGAGCCGTTTTTATCCAGGAGGAAAGTTCAGTGAGAGGAGCAGGGCAGGGACCAGCAGCGGGGGTGGGAATTCCCAAGTGAGACCAAAGCAAGCATTCCACGCTGCAGGAAGCACAGGCAGTCCCAGAATCCCGGGCTGTGTCACCCCTTAGCCCTTCCCTGGGCCCAGGGGTGCTTTCACCTCATGGGCAGAGCTGTGGGTGTGTGGGCAGAGCTCACAGAAAGGCTCTGAAGTCCCACCCCAAAGCGTTTGTGCAGCCCTGCTCTGGTGCTGAGCCTTCCTCCCGCGCCCCGGTTTTGTGAGTGGTATTCTCTGTACAAGTGGTGACCTTACATAAAACCATACTAAACCTTCCAGGGCTGGGCGGCTCTTTGTGGAGCCTTTTTTTTTTATTATTATTGTGGCAGGAAAAGCAAGGTGCTGGGAGGTACCTGGGCGCTGAGCTGGTGAGTAAAGCCTCGTGCAGCCCCACATTGCAAAGGTCAGGGTGTTCTGCAAAGCTTCCTCCCCCGGTGCAGCAGGAGAGGCTGCAGGGGTGGCGCTCCCACCGCCAGGCCCCGGGCTTTGAGCCCTGAGGAGCCGCGGGCACCGGGCACGGCACCGGGCACGGCACCGGGCACCGGGCAGCACACCCGGGCCGTGCTGCACAGCGAAACCGGGCGGGATCCCCGGGCTGGCATCCCGGGCTGGCATCCCCGCGCGCTCCCCGCTGTGATCGGGCGGGATCTCCGTGCCCAGAGCCGGTGCTGCAGGGTAGAACCGGGCGGGATCGTCGCTCCTCGGGGCGGGAACGCGCCGGGGCTCCCGGTGGGGCCGTTCGGGATTCCCGGTGGGGCCGTTCGGGATTCCCGGTGGGGCCGTTCGGGATTCCCGGTGGGGCTCTTTGGGCTCCCCGTGGGGCCGTTCGGGGTCCCCGGGCGGTCCCGCCGGGCCCGGCCGCGCTCCCGGCCCGCCCCGTGCCGCTACCGGCGCCCCGCCCCTCGCCTGTTGCCACGCCCCCTCCCTCACTCGATTGGCCATCTTCTCTGTCAATCCCACCGGTTTAGCCAATCCCCGCGCACGGCTCTGCCATCGCTGCGCCGATTGGTCGCGCCCCAGGGCGAGCCCCGCCTCCCGCGGCGCAGCGGGGGCGGCCTGGCGGCGGCGGACGCGGCCGGGACGGACGCGCAGCGGAGCCGGTGAGAGCGGGGCTGGCCCGGGGCGGCACCGGGGAGTGCGGGGCCGGGAGTGCGGCACCGGGAACGCGGGGCCGGGAGTGCGGCACCGGCCCGTGCGGCACCGGCAGTGACCCGGCCCGGGCGGCCGCTCCCGTTGTGGCGGTGCCGGTGCCATTGCCGCGGCCTCCCGCCGCTCGCCCGGTGCCGGCCGGGCCCGCGGGGCCGTGGCGCGGCCGCCTCGGTGCGCTCGGGACAGCGGCGGTGACCGGGCCGGGCTGCGGGGGAGCGGCGGCGTCCTTGGCCGTGCTCGCCCGGGGCTGCGGGAGAGCTCCGTGAGGGCTCCGGGACAGCTGCGCTGCTGCTGCGCCGCCTTCCCGGCTCCCGGGCCCTGCTCCCGGCTCCTTTCCCTGCTCCCGGGCCGTGCTCCCTCCTCCCGGCTCCTTTTCCCTGCTCCTTTCCCCGCTTTCCTCCCGGCTCCTTTTCCCTTCTCCCGGCTCCTTTTCCCTTCTCCCGGCTCCTTCCCCCTGCTCCTTTCCCTGCTTTCCTCCCGGCTCCTTTTCCCCGCTGCTTTTCCCGTTTCCCGGCTCCGTGTCCCGGCCTTTCCCGGCCCGGCCTGCCCTGCTCGCACCCTGTCGGTCCCGCTCTGTGCCCTGACACCTTCCCTGTGTCTCTCTCTGTGCCTTTCTTTATTCCTTTATTTATCCCTTTATTTAGGTAAAATATTTATTTATTCATTTATTTATATAGAAATATTTATTCCTTTATTTATTCCTTTATTTATGTCAAATTATTTATTTATTTATTCCTTTATTTATATAGAAATATATGTTCCTTTCTTTATTCCTTCACTTATTCCTTTCTTTATTCCTTTCTTTATTCCTTTCTTTATTCCTTCACTTATTCCTTCACTTATTCCTTTCTTTACATCCAATTCTTTATTCCCCTCCGAGTCCCAGGTGATTTTTTGGGATCCCAGGCTCTGAGGGGGGGTGTCACAATCCTCTGCCAGGGAGCTGCAAAAATTTCAATTTAGGTTTAATTTCATTTTTAAAAATATAATTTAATTACATTTTAGTGCTGCTGCTTGGGCTCCAGGTGGTTTTGGTGTGTCAGACTTTAGGAGGCTGCAGAAAAAAAAATCCTCAAGAGGCAGGAGTAATTTTTGAGTCATTGTGCTGCTACTTGGAGGAAGATTTATTCTGATTTTTTTCACCTCAATAATAAGATTTCTCTTTTTTCCAGAAAATAGCAAAATTTTTTAATTTCCCAGAAAAAAAATCATATTTAAATTAAAAAATTTCCAGAAAAATCCCGAATTTAAATTTAAAATTTTCAAGAAAAAAAAATTAAATTTTTTCCAGAAAATTATCAAATTAAAATTTAACATTTTTCCAGAAAATAATCAGATTTAAAGTCAATTTTTTTCTGGAAAATAATCAAATTTAAATTTAATTTTCTCCAGAAAATAATCCAATTGAAATGAAATTTTTTTCCAAAAAACTTAAATTGAAATTTAAAATTTTTCCAGAAAATGTATTAATTTCTTTGCTATTTAAAAGAAAAAGCAGAATTGAGTTTTTTCTTGGCAGAAAAAACTTTTTGTGGCTCCCTGCCAGGGGCTGTGTCCCCTGAGATAAAACTGTCAGCAGGGAAGGGCCAGGCCTGCAGGGCAGAGATTGGCTCTGAATAATCCAAATTAATAATCACAATAATGGGAAAAATGGGAATAAATAATCACAATAACGGTAAAATGGGAATAATCCAAATTAATAACCACAATAATGGAAAAAATGGGAATAATCTGAATTAATAACCACAATAATTAGAATTAATAATCACAATAATCCAAATTAATAACCACAATAACGGGAATAAATAATCACAATAATGGGAATTAATAACCACAATAATCAGAATTAATAACCACAATAATGGGAATAATCTGAATAAATAATCACAATAATGGGAATTAATAATCATAATATGAATTAATAATTAATTTAATTGTTAAATTTAATGCTTATTAATTTAAGTATTATTTTATTAATAGTATATTTTCTATTTTTATATATTTTTATTAATATTTTTATTTTATTTTAAATTCTTCATTTAATTATTAATTTAATTATTCCCACCCCAAACCTTCAGCACAATAAAAATAACCCAGGAGTGGGTTAGGAAAAAACCACATTTAATCCCCAGTTTGTTTTTTTGGGGGTTTTTTTTGGGTTTGTTTTGGGTTTTTTGTATATTTTTTCTGGCTTTGTGAACACAAGGAATGACTGTGTGGGGAGAGATCCAAAATAAAGGGATTTAATAAAAATATCCAGCAGCTCCACGTGGCTTTTGCTGGGCTACTTAATGAGTCAGGTTGAGCAGATGCCAAAATAATTTTTGGTTTTACATAGCCAGGCACTGCAAACTGACAGCAAAACTCTGAATTTGGGCTGAATTTTAAGATAATTGTTGGGTTTTGTGGCTCCAATGTGAATTATTATATAATGGAATATAATGGAATGGAATATAATGTAATATAATGGAATGGAATATAATGTAATGTAATATAATGGAATGTTATATTATACAATGTATATTACATTATATTATATTAATATATAAGTATACTACGTAATTATATATAATAATTATCATATAATTATCATTTACATTCTATTCTATTCTATTCTGGATATTTTGGTGTTTCTGCCCCTTTTCCCTGGGAATTATTGGTCGAAAGAACCCCGGAGATCAGAATGCAACCCGGGTCCCAAATGAAATCCCTCCAGCTCTGAGGCCAGCAGGAGGGAATAAAAGAATAAAAAAAATGCCATTTTTGCATGTTGGAGTGTGAAATGGAGCACGTGAACAGGTGTTTGTAGGCACTAAACCCTAGTTTATGTAGAATTATATATATTTAAATAGGAATATATATATTTATAAATATTTATATGAACATATATATTTAAATAGAAAAGGAATGCGTGTGAACAGGGAGAAAAAGGGAATATTGTGGATAAATGCACCTCATCCTCATGCAAAAATAAATCCATTTGGCAGTTTTCCTTCCGGGCCTCTCTTTCCAATTGTTCTGCTTTAGAAGAAAGTTGCACTTGGCGTTGCTGAGCCCTTTAGCACAATTTCTATTTTTGCTGGGCAAGGAGGGATATTTTTGGCAGAGATAAATCTGATATTGTGCCCTACATTCCTTTACTGCAGGCAGGGCAGGGGCAATGTCTCCACCTGTGGATTCCTTCCCGAGAAAAGGGAATTTTCCAGCTCGGTTTTGTGAGGGCTGTGAGATCAGGAGGGGCGAGAAGGGAAGGACACGGCTGCAGTCATGAGGAATAATCAGAATTAATTAGAAATAATTGGCTGTGCTGCTCAAGTGCAGGATAACTGTGGGTGATCTCTGCTCCTGGTGGGGTTTTTGTGGGATGTGAGGGATTTTTTCCTGCTGTTCCACCCCATCAAAACCTCCATCCCAAAACTCTGGGAGGAAAGGGAGGCAGCACACAAATCCCTTTGTGGCCTCTGTGGCACGTGTGAGGCACTGGATCCTTCTCTTCCCAAAAATAAATAACCTCTCCTTGCTCGTGGCCAGCCTGGGGACGCCTTCCTGGGGCTATTTTTTATCCCTTTGCCAGAGGGTTTTAAATTTCCACCTTCCTTCTCCAGTGTCTCGTCACTCAGCAGCCCAAGGAGCCACCAAAATGCTCACTGAAAAGGGAGGATCTGCTCCTTTTCCCTGAAATTATGGATATTTTGGTGTTTCTGCCCCTTTTCCCTGAAATTATGGATATTTTGGTGTTTCTGCCCCTTTTCCCTAGAAATTATGGATATTTTGGTGTTTCTGCCCCTTTTCCCTGGGAATTAATTGATATTTTGGTGTTTCTGCTCCTTTTCCCGGGAATTTTGGATATTTTGGTGTTTCTGCCCCTTTTCCCTGTGAATTAATGGATATGTTGGTGTTTCTGCTCCTTTTCCTGGGAATTGTTGATATTTTGGTGTTTCTGCTCATTTTCTCTAGAAATTATGGATATTTTGGTGTTTTATGGCAGCTGAGTTCTTTGAGGGGCGAGAAGGGCGGGTATGAATGGCACAGTTTTTATCTGGCACCCCCTAAAAATCCATTTATACCTTGAAGGAAGGGAATGGCACCAGGATCCTGGAAATGCCCTTTTCCTGGGAACTGGGAGAGGGTTTTCCCACTGAAAATGGCCCTGGGGGCGGGTCACTGCCCATCCCCGTGCTGTATCACCGGGTTATTTCCCACTTTTGACCTTTCTCCTTTGGTTTTTGGGTTGCCTGTAGGAGCTGGAGCTCTGCTGGCCCCGTGGAAGCGTGACTGGTATGGGTAATGGTGTGAGAGGAGGTCCAGTGGAATTGCAGAGGGATGTGGAGCCCGTCCCAGCCCGAATTCCAGCAGAGGTGAGAGCAGGGGCTGGGCTGGGCAGGGAGAGCAGCTCCGGGGACAGAGCTGAGATCCCACCTGCACTTCTGCAGTGAGCCCAGGGCAGGCTCCAGGATGGGCAGAGCGGGGCAAAAGCTGGGAAAATTGGGATTGTGCAGCCTGGAAGAGCTCCAGGGACATCTCACTGTGACCTTCCAGTGCCTGAAGGAGCCACCGTGGAGAGACACTTTGGATAAAGGATGGAGGGACAGGACACAGGGAATGGCTCCCACTGCCAGAGGGTGGGATTGGATATTGGGATGGAATTCCTGCCTAGGAGGGTGGGGAGGGAATGGGATGGAATCCCTGGAAGTGCCCAAGGTTGGAGAAGGGAAGCTCCAGAGAAACCCTGGAGCTGCTCCCAGAGCCTGGAAGGGCTCCAGGAGAGGGATTTGGGATGAGGGATGGAGGGAATGGCTTCAGACTGGAAAAGGGGAATTTGTATGGGGTATTGGGAAGGAATTCCTGACTGGGATGGAATTCCCACCCTGGATCCCTGGAAGTGCAGCCTGGGCTGGTGGAAGACGGCCCTGCCTGTGGAATGGGATGAATTTTCAGGTCCTGCCACCCCAGGGCAGTGTGGGGTTTGAGCTCTGGCCTCCCAAAAGCTGCAGTTTGTGCAGTCCATGGGGTGCGAGGGGATCCAGCCCTTGGGAAGGGCTTGGGCAGTGCCAGGGCAGGCAGGACAGGGCTGCCCTGCTCCTGGGCTGCTTGGGATCCCCGCAGAAGGGAGGTGGCTCCAGCCTCGCTGTGCTTTAGCCCAAACCCGGGGCTGAAGTTCACCTTTGCTCGGCTGGGGAGGGGGAATTGAGCTGATCCAGGGGTTTTGGGGCATAAACATTAACTTCGGGGTTGGGAAACACAAGGAAAATGTGAACTCCACTCATCCACAGGGTGTCAAAAGTTCACACATCAAGCCTGGGCTTGTCCTCGCTCCACAACTTCCACAGGGTTGGATTTTGTGGCTTTTTTCTCTCTGTGGGAGAAAAATGCTGATTTTATAAATATGAGCTGCAGCAGGAATTCCAGCAGCAATATCCCTCTCACCCCACCCATCAGAGGGGGGAAAACTGCCTGGATTTACCCTCAGGAGCTTGGGAATGATGTGGGAATAGGGCTTGGGTGCTTCACTTCCAGAAACTTCCCTTCTGCCCATGCCTAAAACTCGTGGGGAGGGAGAAGAAAGAGAAATAACAGGGCGAAAACAGCACATGCAGGAGGAATGCTTGGAATTCTGCCTCACGGCCCAAGCAGCAATTCGCTGTGCTGCAAACTCAGTGAAACATTCTGACCCAAATCCTGACCCTGGGGTGAATGCTGCAGAAAAGGTGAAATATTGTTCCTTGATTTTTTTTTTTTTTTTTTTTAATTTTCCCATTATTCAATGCTTTTTTTTCCCCCAGGAGAGCCAGGAGAAGGAGAAAGTGCTGAACTCCCTGATGTCCGGGGCTCTGGCTGGGGCTGTGGCTAAAACTGCAGTGGCTCCTCTGGACAGGACAAAAATCATGTTCCAAGGTGAGAGCTCTGGCCTTTTTTCCCCAAATTGTTTTTAACTTTGAGCCCTCTGTGCTCATCCAGCTCCTTTTCCTGGAGATGTGGAGACTCTGGGAAGGGGGAGCTGGGCTGGGGGAGTTCCCTGCTGAAGGCTGGGTGCCCAAATCGTGTCATCTCTCCCCAAAATGCGAGGCAGCAGGCACTGGAGCTGCTGCACGCCTGGATCTGTGTGCTCTGGCACCCCTGAACTGTCACAGAAAATGACTTTGCTCTGAGTGGAACAGAGAATTTCCGTGTGTTTAGCAGGATTTGGGGATTTTGGGATCTGTTGCAGTGCAATTCCTCCAATTATCCCAGAGGGAACAGCACAGGCCTTTAATTCAGTGCACATTTGGGAAAGCCAAGAATTTTAAGCCTGGTGACGTCCCAGATTAACCGAGCTGGGCTCAGCCTAATCCCTGGCTGACATTTAATTTAGAATTGATTTTTCCTCACATGATTTTCATTCTGGGCAGAGCAAGGAGCTCTGGAATCGCTGGGATGTGGGTCAGGGAGGCTGGGATTGCTCCCGGGACCCGGATTTTTGGCTTTTCCCACCAAAACCACACAGCCAGGTTCATTTTAGGGTGGAAACATCAGGAGCAAGGGTGGGAGGGAAGCCACAGAGCCAGGCTGGGGCGGCAGCTGACCCAGGGGATCACCTGGAATTTGGGCAGCCACCTTCCTAAAAATCCCGAAAAATTCGGCTCATCCCAGTGGCTGGAAAGGTTGGGATTAAAATTTTCCAGCGTGAGCAATTTCTTGGGATCTGAGGGGTTTTTTTTAGGTTCTTGCTGCGCTAAAGGGTTTAATTCCCTGGCTGTGAGGAAGGAAAACATCTTTGGATCATCAAGTGATGCCTTGAGTTGGAAACTGAGGAATGGGGCTTGGGGTAGTGGAAAGTGTCCGTGGCAGAGGGGTGGGTGAGCTTTCCCAGCCCAACAGCTCAATAAATTTCCCACAACTCAATCATTTTATTATTTTTAAGCATTTTTTTTAGAGGAACAAAACCCCCTCGATAACCATAGCTGTTCGTCGAGGTGGGTTTTTATTCCTTAAAAAAAAAAAAAAAAAAAAAGAAAAATTCCAAATAAAAGCGTTGAATTGCACAGAGGAGCAGCAGAGGGGAAAAATGGATTTGCATGGAATTGTTGGATACACTTGAGAGGCTCCCGAAGTCTCAGCTGAGCGAGGCAGGAGCTGCTGCAGCCCCTTAATTGGAGCCACGTTTCATTAAAGCTTTCCAGGCAGGGTTTTCCCTTCCTGCGGCAGAGCTGCCAGACAAATCCTGCTGCCCAAATCCTGCCTGTGGATTCCAGGGATAAGGAGGTGCTGTCACTTCGGATGGATGCAAGGGAAGGGGGGGAAAAAAAACTATAAAAAAAATCAGGGGGTTGATTTGAGTTTTGCTGGGATGGAGCTGCTCTTGCGTGCAGCTTCGCTCTGCCCTCGCTGCGTTCTGGAATGAGGCTGGCATGGAAATGCTCTGAAAAAGAAGCGAGCAGTGCACTTTGGATGGTTTTTCTTTCGTTAATTGTTTTTATTTATTCATTTATTCCGCGCAAACTGAATTTTCCTAACAGGCAGCAGGGGAAAAAATGGACTTTTGAGCTAAATTATGGGAGTGTTTACAAGGCAAAGAATCTCTGTTTCCTCCGGCATTCATTCTTTTCCTTCTATTTTTATCCCTTTAGCCAAAACACCTGTTCATTTATCCCTTATTTAGGGATTCGTGGATCAAATATTTATTTTTGTCTTGCAAGCCCTAATCTTTTTTTTGTTTTTTATTTTCAGTGTCTTCAAAACGATTTTCTGCTAAGGTGAGGTGACGTCTGTCTGCTGTTGCCCTTAAGTGTTAAATTAATCTTTTGTTGACCTGTATTGCACTTTTTTGGGGGGAATTTATCAGCAGCATTCCATGAAAACATAGAGGGAAAGACTGGGAATGGTGGTTTTAATTACAGGATTAATTAGGACAGTGATTGCTGGGGTGATTCAGACTCCAGGTTGTACCTGTGACGTGACAATAAATGTGACTTCACTCAGGGCTTTGGCTTTTAGGACCTTTTTTAGTGGTTTTGGGACCTTTCCTGGTGATTTGGGGACCTTTCCGTGTGATTTTGACCATTTCTAGTGCTCACTCCTTTCCCCCAGCCACACAGTAGTTGTTGCAGCATTTATAGGGAATTAAATCTGGGATCTGAGTGCTTTTTCCCTGTGCATTCCAGCTTTTCCATGTGTGGTGTGTGTGATCCAAACCTTCCTGCCTGGCCCCCAGGAGATGAATTTGGTTTTGGGAAGGGGTTTTGTGCCAGTTGTGCCTTCCCTGAGAGGGAAAATGAGGCAGGCTGGGATCCAAAAATCCTTGTTTGCTCTTGTGTGGAGCTTTCCTCTCTCCTCGCTGGATTCTGGAATTAGACTGGGATGTGGGCATGGAAATGCTGTGAAAAACAAGCAAACAGTGCAATTCTGATATTTTTCTTTCATTAATTTCAATTTATTTATCCATTTATTCCACACAAACTGCCTTTTGGAGCACGTGGATGTGCCGGGGTGGCCACGGCAGCTCCGTGGGAATGGGTTAAGATGTGAGGTCAGCTCTGGATTCTGGAATTAGGCTGGGATGTGGGCATGGAAATGCTGGGAAAAACAAGCAAACAGTGCAATTCTGATATTTTTCTTTAGTTAATTTCAATTTATTTATCCATTTATTCCACACAAACTGCCTTTTGGAGCACGTGGATGTGCCGGGGAGGCTCCGGGGTGGCCATGACAGCTCTGTGGGACGGGGGTTGGAGGGTTCAGCTGTGGGGCAGCTCCTGCCCCCCATTCCTGCTCTCCCTGACCCTGGTTTATCCCCGCAGGAAGCCTACAGGCTGATTTATCACACCTACCTCAACGAGGGCTTCTGGAGCCTCTGGAGAGGGAACTCCGCCACCATGGTGCGGGTGATCCCCTACGCCGCCATCCAGTTCTGCGCCCACGAGGAGTACAAGCAGATCCTGGGCAACTACTACGGATTCCAGGGAAAGTAAGAGGCAGCAGGGCTGGGGATCCTGCAGGGATCCTTGGATCCTGAGTGGGGGAGCTCCGAGGGGGACGCTGTGAGGGGGAAACTCCAAGATGGAAGCTCTGATGCTCCAAGATGGAAGCTCCGAGGGGGAAGCTCTGAGGGGAGAGTTCTGAGGTGGAGGTTCCAAGGGGGAAGCTGTGAGGGGAAGATCCAAGATGGAAACTGTGAGGAGGAAACTCCAAGATGGAAGCTCTGAGGTGAAGGTTCCAAGGTGGAAGCTCTGAGGGGAAGATCCAAGGGGGAAACTATGAGGGGGAAGCTCCAAGATGGAAACTGTGAGGGGGAGCTCTGACCTGGAAGTTCTGAGGGGAAATCTCTGACCTGGAAGTTCTGAGGGGAAATCTCTGACCTGGAAGTTCTGAGGGGAGATCTCTGACCTGGAAGTTCTGAGGGGAGATCTCTGACCTGGAAGTTCTGAGGGGAAATCTCTGACCTGGAGGTTCTGAGGGGAACGCTCTGAGGTGGAGGTTCTGAGGGGGAAGCTCTGGAGAGGAAGCCACAAGATGGAAGCTCTGAGAGGGAAGCACCAAGGTGGAGGCTCCAAGGGGGAAGCTGTGAGGAGAAGCTCCAAGATGGAAGCTCTGAGGGGAAAGCGCCGAGGTGGAAGCTCTGGGGAGGAAATTCCGAGGTGGAAACTCTGAGGAGAAGCTCCAAGGGGAAAGCTGTGAGGGAAAATTCTGAGGGGAAGCTCTGAGGAAGAGGTTCCAATGTGGAAGCTCTGAGGAGCAGTTGTGAGGGGAAGTTCCAAGATGGAAGCTCTGAGGGAGAAGGCTCCAAGGGGAAAACTCCGAGGTGGAAGCTCCGAGGTGGAAGTTCTGAGGTGGAAGCTGTGAGGAGAAGCTCCAAGGTGGATGTTAACCAGGGGGAAGCTGTGAGGGGAAGTTCCGAGAGGAAACTCTGAGGAAGAAGCTCTGAAGGGAACCTGTGAGGGGGAGGAAACTGTGAGGGGGAAGCTCCAAGATGGAAGCTCCAAGGGAGAAGCTGTGAGGGGGATGCTCCAAGGTGGAGCCTTTGAGGAGGAAGCTCTGAGGCAGAGGAAGCTGCGAGGGGATGCTCCATCTGAGCCTCTCCTCCCCACGGATTTTCCCTGTGGGGTGGCTGGGAATGCCCAGCAGGCAGAGCAGTGCCGTTCCCAGCAGCCAGGTGGGATTTGCAGCTGCAGGTGACGTTTGGTCTCTTCTCTCACCCCATTCCAGGGCACTGACACCTTTCCCTCGCTTCATTGCTGGCTCCCTGGCTGGCACCACAGCTGCCATGGTCACCTACCCCCTGGACATGGTCCGTGCCCGCATGGCTGTCACGCCCAAGGAGATGTAAGTGCCTCATGCACAACTTTTTGGGTTTTTTACAAGGTTACATGGCTTTATTGCCATTTTTTGGGGTCATTTCTTGCTGGGAGCCTTTGGTGGGATTAAGCTCTGGGGTCTGAGTGGCAATTCAATGTCCAGAGGTGTGGATGTGGGAGGAGATGGATACTGGGAGACCAGCTGGATCCAGGAAGACCCAAGAGACAGCACAGCAGGGCTGTGGGAGAGCTGAAACCCCCTGTGAGCTGCCTGACGAGCTCAGAGCCAAATTAATTACCAATTAATGCATCAGGGAGCCCTGCTGGGAACAGCCCAGGCGCTGACCAGCGCAGGTCTGCTCTCCCCGTGTCCCCACGCCAGGTACAGCAGCATTGTCCACGTCTTCATCCGGATATCCCGGGAGGAGGGGCTGAAAACCTTGTACAGGGGCTTCACGCCCACCATCCTGGGCGTCATTCCCTACGCTGGCCTCAGCTTCTTCACCTACGAGACGCTGAAGAAAGTGCACGCAGGTAAATCGGGGAAGTGCTGGAGGCTGCTGGAGTCTGGTGTCGGGGTGGAGGGTCTGTGCAGCTCTGGGGTCTGTGCAGCTCTGGGCTGTGAACAAGGAAAGCTGCAGGGAGGCTCTGCCTGTTTTATGGAGGGAAAAAGTGGAATTTCCAGGTGGAGAAGGATTTGGTTGTGCACTAAGTTGGGAGTGAAGCCTGGGGAGTTGTAGCTGTGACATGTCAGTAAATGTGATATAACTTGGGGTTTTCTTTCATGGGACCTTTTCTAGTGATTTGGGGACCTTTTCTAATGATTTTGCTTGGGAGCTCAACCTGGGCAACAACAAAACCTTGGGAGCTCAGCCTGGGATAAAAAAAGCTTGGGAGCAAAACTTGTGGAACAAAACTTGGGAGCTCAGCCTGGGGAACAAAACCTTGGGTGAGCAAGCTTGGGAACAAAACCTTGGGAGCAAAACCTGGGGAAAACAAAACCTGGGGAACAAAACCTGGGGAACAAACCTCAGGAACAAAACCTCGAGAGAGAAACCTGGGGAACAAAATCTTGGGAGCAAAAACTGGGGAGTGAAACTTGGGGAATGAAACTTGGGAAACAAAACCTCGAGAGTGAAACTTGGGGAACAAAACCTGGGAGCAAAACCTCAGGAGTGAAACTTGGGGGGCAAAACCTCGTGAGTGAAACCTGGGGAGTGAAACTTGGGGAACAAAACCTGGGGAGCAAAACCTGGGGAGTGAAACTTGGGGGGCAAAACTTGGGGAACAAAACCTGGGGAGTGAAACTTGGGGAACAAAACCTGGGGAGTGAAACTTGGGGAACAAAACGCTGGGAGCAAAACCTGGGGAGTGAAGCTTGGGGGGCAAAACTTGGGGAACAAAACCTTGGGAGCAAAACCTGGGGAACAAAACCTCGGGAGCAAGACTTGGGGAGTGAAACCTGGGGAGAACAACCTGGGGAAAAACACAGCCCGTGTAAGGACACCTCACGAGCGCACGCTCGGGAAGGAGCCCCCAGGCCTGCAGCCCGACCTGTGAGCGGATCCCCAGGACTGCCCCGTGTGCCCCTCTGTGTCCCCCCAGAGCACAGCGGGAAGGCGCAGCCCTCGCCCCCGGAGCGGCTGCTGTTCGGGGCGTGCGCCGGCCTCATCGGGCAGTCGGCCTCGTACCCGCTGGACGTGGTGCGGCGCCGCATGCAGACGGCCGGCGTGCTGGGCCACAGCTACAGCTCCATCCTGCTCACCATGCAGGACATCGTCCGCGAGGAGGGGCTGGTGCGAGGCCTGTACAAAGGGCTCAGCATGAACTGGGTGAAGGGCCCCATCGCCGTGGGCATCAGCTTCACCACCTTCGACCTGACGCAGATCCTGCTCCGCAAGCTGCAGCGCGGCCCCGGCCTCCAGAGGTAGTGGCTTTGTGGCCCACCACGTGTAGGAAGAGCAGTTTGTTCTTCCCCGGCCTCCCACGTGCTCCTGCGGCTGGGAACTCGCCCGTTTGTTGGGGGTTTTTTTGGTTTTTCCTGTCGTTCCCAGGTATTTTTGGTTTCTCCCTTTTTAATTTGGAAGCCTAACCGTTCCCTAAGTGAAAAATCCCCGATCCTGCAGAGCTGAGTCCTCCTCCAAAGCAGCTGCCTCAGCCTTCTGATGGACTGTGCCCCCAGGAGTGGAGCCTCCCACCCCACCCGTGCTGCTCCTGGCTCCTCTCCTGGCTCTCCGTGGGCAGAAGGAGGCGGTGGATGATGGAAGAGGGGGCTCGGAGCTGTTGGGAATGACCCCCTGGATCTGGGAAGGGGCAATTCTGTACTCCCTACATTCTGCCAAGTGCAATATCCCAGTGCAGTCCCTCGGGAATTCCAGGTTCCTGTGGGCTGTGAAAGCAGGGCAGAGCAGGCCCAGGACACTACACTTGTTCCGAAAGCTGAATGTTTCCTCTGGCTGGGAACGCTGCCCTTTCTCCACGGATTTTCCTTGGGTTATTGGGCTGAGCTGCATCCAAGTCCCTCGTGTGTGGTGTCCCTCTGAGATTACCAAAGACTGGAGGCAGCAGAGGAGGGGAGCTCCGAGCCCTTTCATAGAGGAAATTTCCCTCTGTGCGCTGTCGGTGTCGCCGAGCGAGGCCTGGATTCCCAAACTGGATCCACTCCAGCTGCATTTGTATTTCCCCTCTGGGCTGCCTGCCCTGGAGAGGCAGCGTTTCCCAGGGCTGCCTGCACTGGGGGAGGAGGGTCCCCTCCTCCCAAACCCCGTTTGCATTCAGTGTTAGCGCTGCTCTGTGCACCGTGTGAGGACAAACCCCGCTGCACCCCAAAAAAGCTGTCCCGGGAGCTGGGCCAGCTCTGGGCGTCCTGCTTGTCCTGTTTGGTACCTGCTGTGTCGGTCCTGTCACCTCTGCTCATTAACTCGTCCCTGAAATTCCCCTGGGAGTTCAATCCTTGTGGGCACCGCAGCGTTGACCCGACAGTGCCAATCACTTCCAGCTGGGATTCGACAACGAGCGGCCGAGAATCTCTGGGTGTTCCTCTTTCCAGTCAGTTTTCAGGGAAATGGTGATTGTTCTTTTGGTGGATGATCATTCCCTCTGTTAAATTCAGAGGTCAGAGCAGACTTCAGACTCCTCGTGATCAGATGCCACAAACCAAGGTGGAAAAATCCCTTTCCAGGGAGTCCATAATGTGAGGAAAAAAGAAAAGATTTACCTTCAAGCCTGTCCTTTCCTGGTTGTTGTGTGCTGGAGCTGCTGCAGCTGGATGGGAAGAGTGGGAATGGAAGGAATTGCACAAGGGGGTGGGAGCAGCCTTCTCCTTTCTTTTTTGTCTTTGCACTTCTTCGGAGCACGGAGCTGCTCCTGATGCCAAATATTTCCTTGGGAATCGGGGTGTGGGAATGGCACTGGAGTGGTGGCACACAGAAATTCCCAGCATTGGGGCAGACTGGAACTGGGATTTGACCTCAGGAATTCTGCCCCCGAGCCCAGCAGGGCAATGTGTTCCCTGATTGACCTGGGAGTTAAAGATCCCTGGGCTTTTGGGAGGTGATGGCCACGAATTCTGGGTCATTTTTTTGGGCTTTCCCCTCGCTCAGCCCCCCCCATTTCTTTTCTCCAATGGAGAAGCCAATTATCCTGCTCTTGTCCTGATCCAGAGGGAGGAATTCCCAGCCCTGCTCATATCCCCACGTCCTGTCCCTTCCTTGTCCCCTCCCAGCTGGGAAAAGCAGGAATTCCAGCAGCCCGGCGGTGCTGACAAGTTGTTCTTTAATTAGCAGCTGCACCTGATTTAAATTCGGAATTTCAGCCAATTTCCCCACAAGTTTTGCAGGCTGGGTGTTCGTCCAGGGGCAGATCCTTGAGTTCAGCCTGTGATGGTTTTGGTGCTTTTGTTTCTCTCAGAGAGTGTTGCTGCTTTGGGTTGGTTTAAAAAGCGTTTTTTTTTCCCCCCTTTTTTTTTTTTTTTTTTTTTGTTTTTTTTTTTGTTTTTGAATGTAGAAAAGGGGAAACAGAGTGTTCCTTTCCTTTCTCTTCTTCCCTGCATGGATTCAGACACGTTCCAGATTTTTTTTCTGAGGTGTGCTGGCCAGGAAGAGCTCTGAGAAAGGAAACAACTCAAAACAGGAGTTTTACCCTTTTTTCCTTTCCTGCAATTCCCTAATTTTTCATTTTATTCCTCTCAAATTTGATTTCCCCCTCCCCTTTCTCACGGATCCTTAAAGCATCACCACCAGATTTGTGCTTTTTGGTTTTCTTTTCCTCTCCCTCCTCCTGCTTCTTCCTGCACCTTGAGCCCGGCACTGGCACTTCGAGAAAACCAGGTCCAAAAAAATGCACCCAAAACGTCAAAATTGCAGCTTTTTAGCATTTTTCAAACAGCACAACCACGTTTTCCCCTCACAGCCTGGATGCTCCAGGAATTTCAGGCACCACGGGATGGTTTTGGGGAACTTTCCTGACTCCTTGGCCAGTTTGGCATCTTCACTTTGTACCTTCCAGGGGCTGATTTCCCCCTTTATTTCCCCCTTTATTTTCCCTTCCCCTTTTTCCTTTCCCCTTTCTCCTTTCCCCTTTTCCCCTTTCCCATTTCCCCTTTTTCCTCTTTCCCCCTCTCCCTTTCCCCCCTTTCCCTCCCTTTTTTCCCATGTTTTCCCCCCAAAATCACCACGAGCTGCAGGGTGTCCCAGCACCGGTCACTGCCCGTGTGTTCTATGCATCTCTTAATTAGCACAAACACTGTTAATTGCCTTTTCCCGTGCCCTCACCATCGATGTGTGCGTGTCGATTTTGACGGCTTTTCTTGGATCTGGATTCTATTTTATTGCAGTGAAGACACTTTGTTATATAATGTTTATATATTTTACGATTTGTGCCAAGAGAGGATGTATATTTAATAAAAAATATGATTGACTTCGGGGCTCTCCACGGGTTCTCTCTGGTTCTCAGGCCTGGAACCTTTTGGGGGATTTCTGGGGGGATTTTTGAGGGGTTTTGGGGGTGTTGTGAGGAGATTTTTGGGGGGTTGTGAGGAGATTTTTGGGGGTTTGTGAGGAGATTTTTGGGGGGGTTGTGAGGAGTCTTTGGAAGGCTGTGAGGGTTTTTTGGGCGTTATGAGGAGTTTTTGAGGGTTTGTGAAGGGGATTTTGGGGGGTTTTGAGGGTTTTTTTGGGGGGATTATGAAGGGTTTTTAAATAAATTTTTGGGGGGTTATGAGGAGTTTGTTAAGGGTTTGCAAGGATATTTTGGGGAGGGGTTTTGGGGGGTTTATGAGGGTTTTTTTGTAGAGCTTGCGAGGATTTTTGAGGGTTTTTTTGGTGAGGATTTTTAGGCGTTTTAATATGTTTTTTTTGAGGGTTGTGCCCCCTTGACCCCACAGATCTCCTGCCGTGCTGTGGCTCAGGGATTTTGGGAGGATCCCGGGCCGAGCTGTCGCTGTCGCTGTCCCCAGCCTGGTGGCAGCAGGTGGCACTGTCGGCTCGGGCACAGCCTGGAGCTGCTCCAGCCTAAAAACCGCTCATAACTCCCAAAAAAACCCCTCAGAAACCCCCGAAAAAACGCCTCAAAACGCTCAGAAAAAAACCTTCAAAACCCCTTTAAAAAAAGCCTCATACCCCCCCCCCAAAAAAAAAAAAAAAAACAAACTCTCAAAACCCCCCAAAAAAACCCTCCTAATCCTTCCCCGGGAAAAAAAAAAACCTCAAAAAACGCCTCAATACCCCTTAAAAACCCCTTAAAAAAAAGCCTCATAATCCCTCCCAAAAAAACCCTCAAAACCCCTTTATAAACGCCTCATAACCCCCCCAAAAAACCCTCAAAACCCCCGAAAAAAACCCTTGAAAACCCCTCAAAAAACGCCTCATAAGCCCCCCCAAAAGGCTTCACATCCCCTCACCAAAAATCTCTTCACAATCCCCCCAAAAAACCCTTTAAAACCCCTTCATAATCCCGCCCAAAAACCGTCAAGAAAACCCTCACAACCCCTCAAAAATCCCCTCAGAAACCGTGCCAGGAATCCCATTTGGGATGGAAATGGGGTGGGAAAGGTTTCCCTGCCACGGATCCCATTTGGGGTGGAAATGGGATGGAAAAGGATTCCCCACATCCCTCCCTGCCAGGGATCCCATTTGGGGTGGAAATGGGGAAAGGATTCCCCACATCCCTCCGTGCCAGGGATCCCATTTAGGATAATATGGGGTGGGAAAGGATTTCCTGCCAGGGATCCCATTTGGGGTGGAAATGGGGAAAGGATTCCCTGCATCCCTCCCTGCCAGGGCTCCCATTTGGGGTGGAAATGGGGAAAGGATTCCCACATCCCTCCCTTCCAGGACGATCCCCCGCCCCAGCATCTCCCGGATCCGAGCCGGATCCCCGGGAAGAACCGAACGGAACCTCCCGGTGCCCCTCTCCCGGCTGAGCCCCCAAATCCCGGCAGCCGCGAGGGGCCGGAGCGGGGCCGGGGCGGCCCCTCGCTGTCTGCGCCGCCGGCTGCTCGATCTGTCACTGTCGCCGCCGGGCCGGGTCACCCGTCTGGGCACCTCCCGGGGGACGCTCCGTCTGCGCGGCTGCCCCGCCGCCGCCCGGCCCTGGCAACGGCCCGGCCGCGCCCCGCGACACGGGGACAGCGGCACCGGGACAGCCCCGCGCCCCCAGACCCCGCAGGAACCCTCCTGTTTGGGGACAGCGGCACCGGGACACCCCCGTGCCCCCAGACCCTGCGGGAACCCTCCTGTTTGGGGGACAGCGGGGCCGGGACACCCCCGTGCCCCCAAACCCCGCGGGGACCCTCCTGTTTGGGGGGCAGCGGCACCGGGACACCCCCGTGCCCCCAGACCCTGCAGGGACCCTCCTGTTTGGGGACAGCGGCACCGGGACACCCCCGCGCCCCCAGACCCTGCAGGGACCCTCCCGTTTGGGGACAGCGGCACCGGGACCCCCCCGTGCCCCCAAACCCCGCGGTGACCCTCCCGTTTGGGGGGGCAGCGGCACCGGGACAGCCCCGTGCCCCCAGACCCTGCGGGAACCCTCCCGTCTGAGGGGCAGCGCCCAAATCCCACTGGGATGGGCTGGGATGGGCTTTGGGCTGCCCATTTCTCACTGGGATGGGTTTTGGGTTCCCCATTTCCCACTGGGATGGGTTTTGGGTTCCCCATTCCCCACTGGGATGGGTTTTGGGTTCCCCATTTCCTCCTAGGCTGCGCTGGGATGGTCTTTGGGCTCCCCATCTCCCACTAGGATGGGTTTGGGCTCCCCATTTCCCACTAGGCTGGGTTTTGGGTTCCCCATTTCCCACTAGGATGGGTTTTGGGTTCCCCATTTCCCACTAGGCTGGGCTTTGGAATCCCCGCTTGCAAAATGGGACTTTCCCCCTCTTTTCTTCTATTTTTTTTTCCCTCAAACATCCACGGCGAGGATTCCCGGGAAGCGGCAGCAGCAGGAGGAGGAGGAGGAGGAGGAGGAGCTGGATTAGCCCAGTTAACCCCGGCCCAGCGCCGCTCGCGGCCCTCGGCAGAGGGAATTAAGCCCATTACAAGGCAATCAAACAGGATCAGAGCCCCCGGCCCTTTCTGCCGGCAGCCCAGACCTGCTAATCCTGTTTCACGCAGCTGCAGCAGCACCCACCCGTGGGCCAGCTCGGTCACAGGGACCCCCGCCCCGTCCCCACCGCCCCGGTGACCCCAGGGACAGGGACAGGGACAGGTCTGCTCCTGCCCTGGGACCTGCTCGGGGCGGGGTGGGGGCTTTGGGGACACCCAGAGCAGCTTTTGGGTGACGCCGACGCTGGTGTCACTTGTTTATTGTGAAACAGCCGCCCCGAGGCTGCTGGGCCCGAGGGGTCACACGGAGCGCGGGGGGTGACGGCGGGGTGCAGAGACCCTCCAAAAACCCCCTCAAAAAGCCCCTCAAAAAGCCCCAAAACCTCTGCTGGCCGCTCCCGGAGGTCCCCACCGTGTCCCCAGCGCACCAGGAGCCGCTGCCCTCCAGCAAAGGCAGCCCTGGAGTGTCCCCACGAGGGGCAGGCACAGCGGTGACACAAAACCCGTCCTGGTGGCACCCATGTCCCCGTGTGTGTCCTCAAAGTGGGACAAGCAGACAAGGCAGCAGCGAGGGACCGGCAGCACCAGTCCCACCCAGTCCCACCCAGTCCCTCCCAGTCAGGACGCTGCCAGGTACTGGTGGAAGTAGAGGCCAAAGAGGCTGGTGACCACCTGGCAGGCGGCCACCCACCAGGTGAGGAAGGAGAAGAGTCCTCGGAAGAAGAGGGGGGTGAAGATGCAGCCCAGGACCCCCGAGATCTCCTGCACCACCACCTGCACGTCCCCATCCACGTCGCCCTCGGGGCGTGGCGGGGCCACCGGCGCTGCTGGGGACACGGCGGGGGACTCGGGGTACAGCCCCCAGGAGTGGTGACCTGCGGGACACGGGGGACAGCTCGGGGGGTCCATGTGGGACACGGGGGACAGCTCGGGGGGTCCATCTGGGGCAGCACTGGGGTCTCTGTGGGGCAGGGGACAGGTCTGGGGGTGTCTGTGGGACACGGGACAGGTCTGGGGGTGTCTGTGGGACACCACAGGGGACAGCTCTGGCATGTCCCCATGCCTCCACCCTGCTGGTGGCACAGTCCCAGCACCGAGTTTGTCCCCACTGCAAAGCAGAACAGAACCACGGGCTGGGGGCGGTGACAGCTGGGGACAATTCGGGTGGCAGTGACCTCCCCCGGGCCACCCCAAAGCCCCCCAGGCCCCTCCTCACCCAGCGTCTTGAGCAGCAGGGCGCAGTGCAGCGTGAGGATCACGGGCCCCAGGTACTGCAGGCTCACCACGGACACGTAGCAGTAAATCCTGGCGATCTGCGGGAATCCGGAACGCTCAGCGGGAATTCCGGAGTCCTCCGTGGGAATCCAGCAGCCACACCCCAATCCCAACCCCAACTCTGATCCCGGTCCTGCTCCCAACCCCAGTGCTAATCCCGACCCCAATCCCGGTCCTGATCCCAATCCCGGTCCTGGTCCCGGTCCTAGTCCCAGCGCCCATCCCGGGTCCTGGCCCCGGTCCCTGTCCTGGTCCCGATCCTGATCCCGGTCCCAGTCCCGGCCTCAATCCCCATCCCAGTGCCGGTCCCGATCGCGGTCCCAGTCCCCATCCCCATCCCGGTGCCGGTCCCTGTCCCAGTCCCCATCCCAGCGCCAGTGCCGTCCCCGTTCCCTGTCCCGTTCTCTGTCCCATTCCCGTCCCCGTTCCCGTCCTGGACCCGCTGCTGCACCAGCCGTGCCGGGACCCATTCCCGCTCCCATTCCCGTTCCCTGTCCCGTTCCCGGCCCGGACCCGCTGCTGCACCATCCGTGCCGGGACCCGGCCCGCCTCCCGGCGCAGGCGGCGCGCCCAGCGCTGCGCCAGCCCCAGGTACGCCTGCAGGTGGTGGCGCGTCCCCAACAGCCGCAGCAGCGACAGCGACACCACGGCCCAGAGCCGCAGCGTGTCAAAGGCCGAGTCCGAGAGCCTGCGGGGACAGCGGGGACAGCGGGCTGGGGACGGGGACAGGGGGCTGGGGACGGGCTGGGGACAGGGACAGGGGGCTGGGGACAGGGCACAGGGGACAGGGGACACAGGGCTGGGGACAGGGGACAGGGACACGGGGCTGGGGACAGGGGACAGGGACATGGGGCTGGGGACGGGCTGGGGACAGGGGATGCGGACACGGGGCTGGGGACAGGGACAGGGACACGGGCTGGGGACAGGGGACAGGGACAGGGGCTGGGGACAGGACCCCCAATCCACAGGGGACACGGGACACAGGGCTGGGGACAGGGCACCTCATCCACAGGTGACACGGGGGCTGGGGACAGGACCCTGAGCCGCAGGGGACATGGGGGACACAGAGGGTCACAGGGGTCACAGGGGGTGACTGTGGGGACACTGCCGCAGGGGTCACGGGGGTCACAGGGTGTCCCCAGCTGTCACTCACATCTGGCCCGGCTGCCGGCCCAGCGGGGCCTGGCGCAGGAAATCCCGGCCCAGCGGCCGCACCCACAGCAGCACCACCAGCACGGGCGCCAGGAACCCCACGTGCAGCAGGGCCCTGCAGGACCCACAGAGACCCACAGACCCCATAGAGACCCACAGAGATCCACAGAGACCCCACAGACCCCACAGACCCCACAGAGACCCCACAGACCCCACAGGGACCCCACAGACCCCCAGTGTGTGTCACCGACCCCACAGTCCCCTCCCCTCCCACCCCAAACCTCCCCCAAAGCCAGGGGGGTCCCAGCACCGAGCCCTCCCTCCCTCCCCAGCTGTCCCCCACTATCCCCAGGTGTGCCCAGGTGTGCCCAGGTGTCCCCCCAGCTGTCCCCAGGTGTCCCCAGGTGTCCCCCCACTGTCCCCAGGTGTCACTGACTGTGTCAGAGGCCTGTCCCGGGCCATGCTGAGCATGTCCAGGTGTGCCCAGGTGTACCCAGGTGTCCCCAGCTGTCCCCAGCTGTCCCCAGGTGTCCCCAGCTGTCCCCAGGTGTCACTGACTGTGTCAGGGGCCTGTCCCGGGCCATGCTGAGCGCGTCCAGGTGTGTCTGTGCCAGGCGCAGCCCCGGGAAGGTCAGGCAGGCCCCCAGGAAGGAGCTCAGGGCCACCAGCCCCACCTTGAAGGCCAGCGTGGCCAGCGGCAGCCTGGGGACACGCGGGGACAGGGACAGGGTGGTCCCAGTCCCAAACCTCCCAAAAACCGCCCCAAAAATCGCTCCAAAAAGGGCCGGGACAGGGCCGGGACCCCCCACACCCACTCACGTCCACTCCCAGCCCCGCGGCTTCAGGATGGGCTCCAGGCTCGCGGCGACTCCGGCCAGCCCTGCAGAGTGACCAGAGAGTGACCCGTGAGTGACCAGTGCAGAGTGACCAAAGGGAGTGGGGAGTGACCAATGAGTGAGGAGTGACCACCACAAGTGTGGAGTGACCCCTGGGAGCGGGGAGTGACCCCTGGGAGCAGGAACTGACCCCTGGGAGCAGGGAATGACCCCTGGAGCCCCCAGCACCCCGTCCCGCCCCGTGCCCTCCCGCACCGGCCTCCAGGCCGAACTCCAGGTACTCCTCCCGGACCAGCAGGGCCAGCATGGCGAGCAGGAGGAAGAAGAGGGCGGCGCTGAGGCACACGGAGCGCTCCCCACCCTCCTCCGAGCGGAAATAGTGCCGCAGCACCATCAGGAAAACCTTGCTGGGGTGGCACGGCTGTCAAGGAAAGCGGGGACACCGAGGGACCCCGGCCTGAGACCCGTCTGCTCACCCCTGAACACCCCCATGAACCCACCACCACCTCCTCCTCTGTGGGATTGAAATTCAGATTTGATCCCTCTGCTCACCCCTAACACCCCCATGAACCCACCACCACCACCTCCTCTGCAGGATTCATCACAAACAACCTCCGAAATTCAGATTTCTGCCTCAGCTGGGAGGAAGAACAAGGGCAGGGGGGGTTCCCCGTTCCTCCTGGCGCCCCAGATGCGGATACAGGCAGAAGAGGAGGGTGAGCAGGCACCAGAGCACGCCCAGGTTGCTCTCCCTGGCGGGGCTGGCCAGGCAGAAGTAGCCCTCGCTGAAGACGTAGACAGCGCCGGCGTAGACGGCAAAATCCACGAACCACTGGTACTCCAGGAAATAGCGCAGCACTGCGGGGTGGGGACACCTCAGCGCCCTGGGGACACCCCACGGCGTCCCTGGGTGTCCCCAGGGTGTCCCCGGGGTGTCCCTGGGTGTCCCTGGGGTGTCCCTGGGTGTCCCTGGGGTGACCCTGGGTGTCCCCGGGGTGTCCCCAGGGTGTCCCCGGGCCAGGGGGGGCTCAGGGGGTACCCAGCGCATCCACGGCCGTGATGGGGCTGGTGTCCAGCTGCAGCTCGATGTCACAGGGCACCGACAGCTCTTTGTCCTCTGCCACCCCGCCGGCCCTCCTGCGGGAAAGCCGCGGGCTGGTGACGCTGTGTCACCCCCCCAGCACCCTGGGGTGACCCCCAACCTTTCCCCTTCCAGCCCCCCGGGTGACGCTGACCTGTCCCTCCTGCTCCTGGGGCGCTGCTTCCCGGCCAGGGCACACAGCTCCTCGTCCGTGGGGTGCTTGTAGCGGTACAGGCTGTGGGGACAGCGGGGTGACATCCCCAGGGTGTCCCAGGGTGTCCCCAGGGTGTCCCCAGGGTGTCCCCAGGGTGTCCCAGGGTGTCCCCAGGGTGTCCCCAGGGTGTCCCCAGGGTGCCCAGGGTGTCCCCAGGGTGTCCCCAGGGTGTCCCAGGGTGTCCCCAGGGTGTCCCCAGGGTGTCCCCAGGGTGCCCAGGGTGTCCCCAGGGTGTCCCCAGGGCCGTACCTGCCGTTGCAGAGCAGCCAGCGGGCGAAGGAGCAGTGCGGGGCCAACTTCTGCATCAGGCTGGCGGCCAGCAGGGTGACCACCACCTGCACCCCCATCACCGCCTGCACCGGACACCGGGGGCACCGGGGTCACCGGGGGCTGAGACCCCCGGGCAGTGACCCCTGGCCATGAATCCCCCACTCAGAACCCCCGGTCCGGTCCCAGTCCCCCCGGTCCATCCCGGTCCGGTCCCGCTCAGAACCCCTGCTCCATCCCGGTCCCTCCCGGTCCCTCCCATTCCCCCCGCTCCCCCCGGTCCCCCCGGTCCCCCCGGTCTCTCCCACCATGCCGGGTCAGCGCAAAGGCGCCCGCAGGAAGCCACGCCCCCACGGGCACGCCCCTCTCACGGACCAATCCTCGGCCGTGTTCCCTTTGATTGGCAGGTTATTGGCCAATGACAGGGCGGCCGTGGGAGGGGGGCGGGCCGTGCGCGGCGCGCGGTTCCGCGGGCGGGGCCCGGCGGGAGCGGTGGGGCCGCGGGTTCGAGTCCCGGCGGCGCCGGCCCGCAGCGCCGCGCGGGGATCGATGGCTGATATCGGTAATTAATCAATCCCACCCGCGGGCCTGCCCTCAGCCCCGCCCGTGGCTGACCCTGGGCAAACGCCAGGGACCCACCCAAGCCCACCCACACAAACCAGACTCGACTATAATTAAATTAATTTCATTTATTACCAACCAAAGCAGAGCGGCAGAATGAGGAATAAACCCAAATCCCAGTGCCAGGACCCAAATCCCAGTGCCAGGACCCCCATCCCAGTGCCAGGACCCAAATCCCAGTGCCAGGACCCCGATCCCAGTGCCAGGATCCAAATCCCAGTGCCAGGACCCAAATCCCAGTGCCAGGACCCCGATCCCAGTGCCAGGACCCCGATCCCAGTGCCAGGACCCAAATCCCAGTGCCAGGACCCCGATCCCAGTGCCAGGACCCCCATCCCAGTGCCAGGACCCAAATCCCAGTGCCAGGACCCCCATCCCAGTGCCAGGACCCCAATCCCAGTGCCAGGACCCCGATCCCAGTGCCAGGACCCCGATCCCATTGCCAGGACACAAAATCCCAGTGCCAGGACCCCCATCCCAGTGCCAGGACCCAAATCCCAGTGCCAGGACCCAAATCCCAGTGCCAGGACCCAAATCCCAGTGCCAGGACCCCCATCCCAGTGCCAGGACCCAAATCCCAGTGGGAGGACCCGCAGTAATCCCGGCCCATCCTGGCCCATCCCGGTGCCCCTGGGGCTCGGTGCCGCCGCTCCTGGGGGTTGCCATGGATATCGATCATGGATATCGATCATGGGTATCGATGATGGATATCGATCATGGTTATCGATCTCCCTGGTGACGGGATGCGCTTCCCACCAGATGTCGCCTCCTCCCGTGCCCGGAGCATCCCCCGAGGGCTCGGGGTACCTGGGGGGGGGGGGTGACACCCCAAAACCCCTCCCCTGGGCAGCCCCCGCCGTGCCCCCCTCACCATCCTCTCCGCTGCTAAAAATCCCCCAAATTCTCCCAGAATGACCCGGCCCCGGCTGCCAGCTCAGGGGCACCGCCTGCTCCATCATCTTCGCTGCCTGCATGCCCTGAGCCCCCAAACCCCCCAAAACCCCCAAATCCCCCCAGTTTGGGCACTGGCGCGGCATCCCGGCCGCTCCGGGAGGAGCGCGGAGCCCCGGGACCCCCGGAGCCCCCCGGAGCCCCCCGGGACCCCCGGAGCCCCCCGGGCCGGGCCGGGCCGGGCCGCAGAGCGCGGAGGTTTCGGGGGGTGGAAGATGGATGTCGGGGCACCCCCGGCCCCGCGGGGACACAAAGGCGCTTTGAGGGCCGATTTTCCAGCGCTGCCCATCAAAGGCGCGCCCACCGCGGGACTCCGCCGGTTCGCGGGCCCCGAACGTCCCCGGAGCGTCCCCAAAACGCTCCCGGCGGCGACATCCCCGCGCCGGCACCGGGGGGACCGGGAAACTCCGCTCCTCCTCCGTCCCTTTGCCCGGCCGTTTGTCCCCCCCTCCCCATCCCTAAAAAAGGGGGAAAAAATGAAAATCCGAGTTTCCCGCGGCGCACAAAGGCGGCGGGCGGGCATTGTCCCGGGGCTGCATCGCATTACCGGGGCCGGCAGAAATTCCCGTGTTTCACGCTCCATGGAGCAGCTGCCTGGATGGATGTTCTGGGCTGCACTTTTAGCATGACAAAAGCAGAGGGCCTGTGAACTCCTTGCTCTCCAGACCTCTCCGAACCGTCCCCCCTCGCAGCCCCTCGGTTCGCATAACAAACTGCCGCGCTTCCCTCCTGCCCTCCTTTTATCCATTCCAGCCAGAGGAGTTTTTCGGTTTTAGGTTTTATTCCCCACCCATTTAACGCACAGCTCGATGTTTGGGGGTGGGAGGGATCGGGGATTTCGGGGATGTCCCTGCTGAGGTTTGTCACGGCTCTTTGTCACCCAGAGAGGTCTGGTGGCATTTTGGAGCTGGAGTCACCAAACTCTGCCCAGGTCCTGCTGGGGCTGGGGCTTTGCCTTGAAATGTGGTTAAAAGGTGGAAAAAATGGGAATTGTGGGGCTGGAATGAGGCTCACAGGGACCTGTTGGGGCTGGAGCAACCTGGCCCTGTCCCCAGCCTGTCCCAAACCTGTCCCCAACCTGTCCCCAGCCTGTCCCCGAGGTGTCCCACCTGTCCCAAACCTGTCCCCAGCCTGTCCCCAACCTGTCCCCAGCCTGTCCCAAACGTGTCCTGGGATGTCCCCTGGCCATCCCCTGGTGTCCCCTGGTGTCCCCTGACTGTCCCCTGGCTGTCCCCTGGTGTCCCCTCGGGTCACCTGTGACAGGGACAAACGGGGTGAGCCCCGTGCCGGGGATGGGCTGGGATGGACTGGGATGGACTGGGATGGACTGGGATGGACTGGGATGGACTGGGATGGACTGGGATGGGCTGGGATGGACTGGGATGGGCTGGGATGGTCACACATGGACAGGGATGGGCTGGGATGGACTGGGATGGACTGGGATGGACTGGGATGGACTGGGATGGGCAGGGATGGACTGGGATGGGCAGGGATGGGCTGGGATGGACTGGGATGGTCACACATGGACAGGGATGGACACACCCAATGTCACTTGCCGTCCCCAGGAACGTCCCCGCTCCAGGAGCATTTCCAGAAGTGCAAAATCCTGGTTTTCCTACCCTCAAATCCTTGGTTTATTCATTAGCATTGCCCTGAAACGGACCGAGATTTCCCCGGATTAATCAGATCCAAATTAAGCAAAGAGATCCAAATTAAACAGATCCAATTTAAACAGATGAATCTCCTCCCAGATTAAACAGATCCAGCTTTTCCCAAATTAAACAAACAGATCCAAATTAAACAGATCCAAATTAAACAGATCCAAATTAAACAGATCCAAATTAAGCAGATGAATCTCTTCCCAAATTAAACAGATCCAGCTTTCCCCGTTCCTATTTCCCAGGGCACAGGGGAGCCCCTGGAACCTCCCGGCACCCCAAGAAAGCCCCGGGGGGAAATCAGGGACCCAGAGCCGGATTTGGGGGGAATTTGGGGAAATTTGGGGGAATTTGGGGGGAATCTGGGGGAATTTAGGGGAATCTGGGGGGAATTTGGGGGAATTTGGGGGGAATTTGGGGGGAATTTGGGGGAATTTTGGGGAATCTGGGAGAATTTGGGGGAATTTGGGCTCCCGGAGGTCCCTCCCCCCTCCTCGCCAGGCTGGGAACAGCTTGAGTGTCCAGGCGGGAATTCATTTGCATAAATTTCCATAGGGATTAATTCCAGCTCTTCCCGGATTGGGGGAGATGGGAAACGAGGAGGAGGAGGAGGAGGAAGAAGAGGAGGAGGAGGCGGCTCCATCCCGCCCTTCATCCCTTCCTCCCCAGCTTTGGAACGCCTGGAGCCCAACCCTGGAATTTTGGTTTTCCAAGAGGTTGGAAGCCCAAAATTCCCAAAATTCCCCAAATTCCCGAACTTTCCAAGAATCGCCCCCAGCCCGCCAAAAAAAAAAAAAAAAAAATTGGGGTGAAAAATGGGATTTTTTTGGTGGATTCTGGAACGTCCCCATGGGGGATCTGAACCTGCTCCTGCCATGGTTCCCACGTGGAATTTTATCCATTAAAAATGGGAAAATGGAGAATTCAACCCAATTTTTGGGTTGAATAATAAATAAAATGAATAAATAAGTAAATAAGTAAATAAATTTCAATGGATAAATAAATAAAGTTCACTAGAATAAGTAAATAAAATATCATAATAATAATTAAAACACACTAGAATAAGTAAAAAAGTATAATAATAATAAATAAATAAAATACACTAGGATGATAGAATAAAATATAATGAATAAATAAATGAATACAATTAAAATAAATAAAAGGAATAGGAATGTAATTTAAATAAATAAATAAATAAATAAATAAATAAATAAATAAAAATATAATATAATAAAAATAAATAAAATAAAATAAAAAATTAAAATAAAATATAAAATAAAAGATAAATATAAAGTAAAATATAAAATGATAACATGAAATGAAATGAAATAAAATATTAAAATAAAAATAAAATAAAATAAGATAAAATATTTAAAATAATAAAATAAAATAAAAAACAATAAAATAAATCAAAATATAAAAAATGCCACTTCCCAGTTTTTCCCAAGGGAAAATCCCGGATTTTCCTCCTCTTCCTCGGTGGGAAACGCCCGGAGCACTGAGCTGAGCTGCGGGAGCTTCCAGGGGTTACTTCCCTGTCCCTTCCCTGCCCCATTCCCACTCCCATTCCCAATCCCATTCCCGTGCACTTCCTGTCCCTTTCCTGGTCCCATTCCCGCTCCCATTCCCAACCCCATTCCCAGACCATTCCCAACCCCATTCTTGCTCCCATTCCTGCCCCCAACCCACTCCCATTCCCATTCCTGATCCCAATCCCAATCCCATCCCAGTCCTATTCCCAGTCCCATCCCTGTCCCAATCCCATTCTTGATCCCATTCCCATTCTGGGGCTCCTCCAGGAAAACACTGCCGTGTGTCACCTCCCGAGTGTCACCTGTGCCACCTCAAGCGTGTCACCGCTGTCACCTCCCGCCACCTCCCGCCCTTCCCGGGCCGACAACGCCCCTGTGGAAAGAGCTGGGCAGGATGGGAGCGGCTGTGAGGCCAAAATAATGGGATTTTGGGGGATTTTGGGGGATTTTGGGGATTTTGGCTCCTTTTCGAGGCTCTGCACGCCGCCCACGTGGGGCAGCACACGGGGCGGGACACGGAACGTTCCGGAAACATCCCGGAAAACCCGGGCGGGAAACGCGAGTTTAACCATGAGGCGAAGGCCGGAAAGAACCTCAAAAAAAACCCAAAAAACCCCAAAAAACCCCCCAAAAAACCCCAAAAAACCCCCCAAAAAACCCCAAAAAAACCCAAAAAAAACCCCAAAAACCCCAAAAACCCCCAAACACCCATGGGGGAGCTGAGCCGGGCCCAGGCCCGTCCCCAGCTCGCCGGGCCGGGCCGGATCCCGGGGCAGCGCCGCAATCACCGCGCGCCCTGCCCGGCGCCCCTGATTGTGATTAGGGCGGCTAATTGCAGCCGGCAGCTGGGCCCCCTCATCTGCATATGCAAACGGCGCTGATTTGCTCCTGGGGCCGGCCGGGGAGGGGGGAAGGAACAAAGAAACCCCACAAAGGAGCCGGTTGGGCCTTACGGGGAATTTTCTCGGTTGGCGAAAATGGGGGAGTTGGTCTTAAAGGGAATTTCCTGCGTTAAAATGGGGGAATTTGGTATTAAAGGGAATTTCCTGCGTTAAAATGGGGGAATTTGGTATTAAAGGGAATTTCCTGCGTTAAAATGGGGGATTTGGTCTTAAAGGGAATTTCCTGCGTTAAAATGGGGGGATTTGGTCTTAAAGGGAATTTCCTGGTTGGTTAAAATGGGGGGATTTAGTCTTAAAGGGAATTTCCTTCATGTGCCAGAACGGGGAGAGTTCGTCCTTACAGACGAAAATCCCCGGTTTTCCAAAATGAGATTTTGGCATAAAGGGAATTTCCTGGGTTTGCCAAAATGGGAGAAATTTGGTCTTGAAGGGAATTTTCTTGGTTTGCTAAAATGGCGGAATTTGGCCTTAAACGCAAAAATCCCTGATTTTCCAAAATGAGATTTTGGCCTTAAGGAAAATTTCCTGGGTTTGCCAAAATGGGAGAGTTTAATCTTAGAGGGAATTTCCAGGGTTTGCCAAAATGGGGAGATTTCGACCTTGCAGCTGAATTTCTTTCTCATTTTTACCAAAATAAGGTTTCGGCCTGAGAGATGAATGTCCTTGTTTTCCCAAAATAGAGATTTCCCATTACAGCCAAATTTCCCCAGTTTTTTTCCTTTCCCCCTTTTTTTTCCTCCCATCTTTCTCCCAATCCCAAACGCTTCCTTTATGTTTATTTTATTTTATTTTATTTTATTTTAAATTTTCATTAAATCCACAGGAATTATTGGGAGGTGGCACCAGGAGGAACGGAACCCTCGGGATCACCCCGGGAGCAGCTCGGCTCTCTCTCCATCCTTCCTTCTTTCCTTCCCTTTTTTCCTTTTTAATTAATCTAAAAATTTAATTAAAATATATTATATTTGTCCTCTTTTTCTTCTTTTTTTTTATTTTTTTTTTCTCCCAGCAATGGAATAAAATTGTGAATGGCAAAGGAGGAGGCCGGGCTGGATTAGAACCGAGAGGAGACAAAAGAAGAATAAAAAATAAAAAATCATCCTCGCTTGTTTTCCTTTGCCGCGGGGAATCCACGTGGGAAAGGCAGGGAAAAAAAATGGGAAAAAATTTAAAAAAAGTGGGAAGAGAAGAGAGAAATGCTGGCTGGAAAAGCTCCGAGGGAGATCCACAGCCCTGCCCGCCCGCCTGGCTGGGACACGGGGAGGCCAAAGCGACGATTTTCCCCTTTTTTCTCCATTTTTTTGGGATTTCTGCTCCGTTTTCCTCCCTCTCGGGTTGATTTTCCCTCCTCCTCCTCCTCTCTCTCCCCCTTTCCATTTTTTCCCTCTCCCCACGGATTTTTCCTCTTCAGGAATTCAGGGGCATTTCCTGATATTTTTGTCTGGAAATTGCAGGTATTCTAGAAACCCAAAAATTCATCCCAAAAACCCCAAAATTCATCTCAAAATGCCCCGAAATTTATCCCAAAAATCTAAAATTCATCTCAAAGCCACTCAAAATTCATTCCAAAAATCCAAAATTCATCTCCAAACCACTCAAAACCCCAAAATTCATCCCAAAACCCCAGAATTCATCCAAAAAACCCAAAATGCATCCCAAACCCACCAAAAATTCATCCCCAAACCACCCAAAACCCCAAAATTTGTCCCAAAAATCCAAAATTCACCCCAAAACCCCCCGAGTCCTTCACGCTCTGCCCACGGCGGGGGCAGGGTTAAAAAAATCCCATTTTCCCTCGATTTCCACCCAAACTGGAGCCAAAGGGAAACTCCCAATGTGGGTCCGAGTCAGGAATCCGGGCCAGAGAAATGAATAAATTCGATATAAAAATAAAAATCCACCATAAATATCTGTATAAAACCCCATAAATGTATATATTTTATATATTTGTTTGTTAGTTATATATTTATTTATATGCTTATATATTTATATACACATATGTAATTTTAGATTTCTATATTTCGTGATATTATCTATTTTTACATTTGTATATTTTATCTATATTAATATAGTATATATTTATCTACTTGTATATTTTTTTGTATTTCTTTATGTATATATTTATATAAATATATTTTTATATTCATATATTTATACTTATAATCCCCGCCTATTTCTTGTTTCAGGTGGTTTTTTAAGTTTCCCTGGAATTTAATCCCCTTTAAATATTCCCAACATTCCCTTAAAATATTCCCAATTTTAAACAAATCAATCCCAGCAACTCTTCCAGAAAACACCCGGGGGCTTTTCTGCTTTTTATTTCCCTTTTATTTCCCTTTTTCCAGGCGTTTTCCAGGTTCTAAACCTCCGCTGGCCCCGGTGGATAAATCCCACCTTGGGCTGGGAAAATTTGGGAATGGGAAAAACTTGGGGGGGAAAAAAAAGGAAAATTTTTTTTCCCCCAAGTTTTTCCCATTCCCAAATCTTTTTTTTTTTTTTTTTTTTTTTTTTTTTTGGTGTTGGAATCCCCTCCAATCCTCAATTCCTTCCTTTCCCATCCCCAAAAACCCTGGGAGAAATCCCAAAAAAAGCTTCACCCACCCATCCAAGGCTGGGGGAAAAAAGGGAATTTTGGGAATTTGAGGATCAGAGAGGCTCAAAAATTGACTTTTTTTGGGGGTTTTGGGCGGGTTTTTTGAGGTTTTTTTTTTTGGACCACAACCGTTGGCCAAGGATGGATCCAGCGGGAAAAAGGCTGGGATGGGGGTGGGAATTTATTTCGGATTTAGGAAAAACTCCTTGGGGCAAAGAACTGAGAGGGAAGGGTGGAAAAATGGGGGGGAAATTGGGGAAAATTGGGGGAAAGGGGGGAAAAATGGGGACAAAGGGAGAAAAGGGGGGAATTGGGGAAAATTTGGGAAAGTTGGGGGAAAAGGGGGAAAAAATGGGGAAAATTGGGGGAAGGAGGAAAATCGAGGGAAAATTGTGGGGAAAGGGGGAAAATTGGGGGAAACTGGGGAAAATTGGGGGGAAATGGGGGAAATTGGGGTAAGGGGGAAAACATTTTGGAAAATTGTGGGAAAATTGTGGGAAAATTAGGGAAAATTGTGGAAAATTGGGGAAAAGGGGGAAAATTGGGGAAATTTGGGGGAAATGGGGGAAAATTGGGGGAAAGGGGGGAACTTTGGGAAATTGGGGGGGAAATTTTGGGAAATTGGGGGGGAATGTGGAAATTGGGGGAAAGGGGGAAAACATTGTGGAAAATTGTGAGGAAAGGGGGAAAATTGGGGAGAAATGGTGGGAAATTGGGGAAAACTGGGGGAAAATGGGGGAAATTGGAAGAAGGGGGAAAATTGGGGAGAAATTGGGGGAAATTGGGGTGAAATTGGGGGGAAATTGGGGGGGAAAAGGGAGGGAGAGAGCGGGGGGTGAGAAGAAAGGCTGGGAGAAAAAAGGGAACCTCGGATGAGCACCCGGCTGGGCAGGGGAGGGCAAGGGGGGGTTGATGGCTTAATTACCATATTCAAATCTAATTAATTCCCCTTTGCATAAAGAGGCCACGGCCGGGCGTGGGACCAGCCTTGCAGATGGCGTCTCAGGCTCAGAACCATCGCGGGGCCACCGCGGCCATCCCACGGCACGGCGGGAGCGGGGAGGAGGAGGAGGAGGAGGAAAAACAGGAGGATGAGGATGAGGAGGAGGAGGAAAAGGAGGAGGAGGATGAGGAAGAGGAAAAGGAGGAGGATGAGGAAAAGCAGGAGAAGGATGAGGATGATGAGAGCAGGAAAAGGAGGAGGAGGATGAGAAGAAGGAGGAGGAAAAGGAGGAGGATGAGGAGGAGGAAAAGGAGGAGAAGGAGAAGCAGGAGAACCCCAAACTTACCCCATCCAGGAGAGGGGATCCTCAGGAATGCGGAGCCGACGTCCTGAGGGCCCCACGGGAACGGGGCCGGAGCAGACCCCAAAGAGCCGTTCCCAAATCCCAGGGCAGGGAATCCCAGTCCCAGCCAGACGGGAATTCGGGGGTTCGGGCTCTTCCCAAAGCTCCGGATCTTCCGTCCCATTCCCGGCCCCATTCCCGATCCCGGTCCCGTTCCCGATCACGGTCCCGGTCCCGGTCCCAGTCCTGGTCCTGGCCAGGGATGGGGCTGGATCGGGGCGAGATGAGAATTCTGCTCTGCAAAAAATGGAGTGAGAGGTTCTGTCAAACCTTCACTGATCACTCCCAAACTCTCAGAGGTCAACTCCAAACCTTTTTGTCGGCCTTTTTAGCCCCAAAATCGGCCCCTCCTGTCCCTGTCCCCGTCCCCGGGCCCAGCAGAACTCCAGGCCATCCATCCCCAGCTCACAGGGAGGAGCTCGGGATAATCCCAATTTCAGCAAAGCTTGGGATCAGTTAAAACCAGGTTTAATTTCAGCAGGGCCCTTTCCCTGCAGCATTCCCAATCCCACATCAGGAACAGGGCAGCTCTGGGATTCTGGGATTCTGGGATTCTGTTTTTCTGGAATTCTGGGATTCTGGGAGATTCTGGGATTCAGAGATTCTGGGATTCTGTTTTTCTGGAATTCTGGGATTCTCAGATTCTGAGATTCTGGGATTCTCAGATTCTCTGATTCTGGGATTCAGAGATTCTGGGATTCTGGGATTCTCAGATTCTCAGATTCTGGAATTCTATGATTCTGGAATTCTATGATTCTGTTTTTCTGGGATTCTGGGATTCTCAGATTCTGGGATTC